TGCGTGACAAGGACAGGTCTGTGTATTGTCCCTCGGCACTTTGTGCTTTGTACTTAAGACAGACTCAATGCAAGACTCCTCTGCTGAATGAGTGGATGAATGAGTACAGATGCTCCTTGATTTATGATGAGTTATGTCTCAATAAAGCCACTGTAAATTGAAAGTATCTAAAATTGAAAAATGCATCTAAAACCCTGACTTACGGAACATCAGCTCAGCAAAGCTGCAGAGTATCTGATGTTTCCCCTCATGACAGCAGAGCTGGCAGAGCTGGCTGCACTGCCCTGCTTTGGTAGTCCCAGTACTCAAGAGTTTGAGGCAGGGGGATCATGAATTCATAGCCTGGCTATCTAGCGAGACCCTGTCTCAAAAAATTAAAAGTCTGAAATTAGTTCCTATTGAATGTGTACTGCTTTTGCACGTTAAAAAGTTGGATAAAGCCAGGTGCCAGTCATTCACATCTGTAATCCTAGCTACTTGGGAGGCTAAGATTGGGAGGATTGTGGTTGAAGGCCAGCCTTCGCAAATAATTTACAAGACTCCATCTCCAAAATAACCAGGTATAGCTCAGTCAGTAGAGCCCTTGCCTAACAAGTAATAACACCTTGAATTCAATCACCAGTACTAAAAAAAAAGAAAAAAAAAGTTGAATAAACTGAACCCTTGTAAGTTGAGGACTGGCTGTTTCTATTTTTAGTGCAACAGGACAACATAATAGATGGCCTTGGGCAAAGTTATAAGTTAGGCAAGATTTCTGTTTGTCTTTACCTGCTTGTACTTCCAGCTCCTCTCCCTGTTTTGCCTCAGCTCAAGCTTTTTTGCTGAGAATTGAACCCAGAGCCTCACACATGCATTCTATTCCCGAGCTACAACCCCAACCCTTGCTCACTCTTTTAAGTGTCTTCCGGGTGCTTATTGCATGTCCCCTTTTCTGTGGATGTGCTCTGGTGTGGAACAACCATTGCTCTTCCCCAGACTCCTACTTCTGAGTCTTCCAGGGGTGCTCCTCCAGCTGGTTATCTCCAGGGAGCCGGGGTTCACCCTCACAGAGATAACTCAGAGCCTGCCACTGGGGATAGTCCCTGTTGGTTCTCGTAAAATCAGCAGTTTTCTAAAATATACTACGGGATGCTGATGTGGACACTGTGAGCACACACCGCTGGCGGTTATCGTGATACATTTCTAGACAGCAGCTTGGTGATAAGTATCAAGAGTTTGAGAATAAAATAAAATAGAAAGTTAATATATGTACTCTTGAACCTAAAACTGTACATTAGAGCTGAACATGACTATAATACCCAGAATTTAGGAGGCTGAGGCAGGAGGATCTTGAGTTCAAGGCCAGCCTGGGCTACATAGCAGAAATTTAAAACAAAGGGAAACTCAGTCAAAATAAAATGATTAAATACATTATGATACAGTCATGATGAAATTTTATGCAATCATTAAAAGTATGTTTTGAATTACTTTAAAGACTTACTAAAATGCTTACTAACAAGTGAAAGAGTGAAGGTTCAATTTTTTTAAAGAAAGTTTAATAAAAATGTGCATATAAAAATATAATGCTGGCTGTGATGGCTCATGCCTGTAACCCCAGCTACTCAGGAGGCAGAGACAGGAAGGATCATGGTTCAAGGTTAGACCAGAAACTTTTTTTGAAGTCTTTCCCAATTCTTCAGTAGAGCCCTTCCTGACTGGCCTGGCCATCCTCTCACTGCAGGGCACGCTGGTGTTGGTCACTCCTAGGGGAAGTTGTCCCAGCGTTTGCCTGGATCCAGCCTCAAGTACACAGCTTAAATTGTATTCTGGTCTCCACTTTGCCACTAACTGGAAGAAGACCTCGGACACATCACTGTATTTCTTGGGCCTTGGGGGGCGGGGTCCTCATTTATAAAATTAAGAGTCTGGATGGAATGATCTTTTGGGGTTAGATTGTGATTGTGATTCTGATAAGCTCATTGTGAATAGGGTTCCATGATTTACCCTTCTCCACTGTATGGATCTTAAACAGACGACTTTAACTAAAGCTAAAGGAATGACTCTCTAATGGGAGAATTTCATATCAAGCTGTTTAGTCACCTTCACACAAACACGGCTTTCTGCACACTGCTAACATATGCTTGGCATTATCTGTCCCTTCATGACAAAAGCGGAAGGAGGGTCAAGAGGGTCAGTGACCTTTGTGTACCAGCCCCCAGCCCTGAGAGGGAGAGGTGTCTGCCTAGAAAAGCAAGACATATTCCTGGGTCTGAAGGTCCTTTCCCTTCTCAGTCTCAGCTGTCCACTGCTGTCTCTTCCCTGTGGTTGAGTTGGGTTTATGTCAGTGTGGTTCCCTGGCATCTGAGGAAGTTCCCTGGTAGCCTTGTGGCATAGCCACCACAGCCCGTCTTGCCCTGGGATGGAAGGTGTGTGACTCACTCCCCAGATCCAGTGAGTCAGACAGGATGGGCTGGACCAGGGTCTTCCCTCAGAAGAGGCAGGTTGCAGGTGTGCTGTTGCCTTAACTGTCCCTCCTGGAGACTGGTGGGAAAGAGGACTGATCTCTGACTTTTGTGAGCTCACTTGGGAACCCCTCTTGCCAAAGAAAATGCCACCCTTTCTAAGCCTTGAAAACTAGAGCCTAGGTGCCTCCGTGAGGGAGGAGCCAGCCCAGCTTGACAAGAGCAGATCTTCCCAATCTCTTGGTCCTGGGTTTGAGCCCAATTGGGTTTCAGAGCTGGATCTTGGGTTTGAGCCCAATTGGGTCCTTAGAAAGCAATTCCCTGGAGTCATGTGACCTTAGGAACTCATCTCATGGGATTGCTAGGCAGGAAATAATCTAGCGCCTCCTACTGGAAAGGGAAGGGAAACTCACTGCTTTTGGACTGGTTGAGGCCATACACTGGCAGCACAGCACCTTGGATCCTGCCAGACCTCTGGGACTGAGGGTGGGGGGCTAAATGTCAGTGACAGGCCTGCAGGGTTGCAGTGCTGGCATCCAGGATAGGGATGCCAGGTGAGGTTTGGGAGTCACCTTGAAGTTGGTTTTGTTGTTTGGGGTTTTTTTTTGGGGGGGGGCTTATGCAACATTAGACCATTAGAGCCATACCTCCTACCCTTTTTTGCTTTGGTTATTTTTGGAATAGGGTCTTGCTTATGTCCAGGCCAGCCTGGCTGAAAGGCATGTGCCACCATACCCATCTTTTATTTGTTGAGATGGGGGTCTCACAAACTTTTTTCCAGGGCTGACCTCAAACAGCAATCCCTGCCCGAGTAGCTAGGATTACAGGCACGAGCCACCATGCCAGGCTTGGGGCTAGTTTTGGAAGACATCTCTTCCTTTCCACAGCCTGGAGCCCCTTCTTCAACTCTAGAGACTTCTCTTCCCTTCTTGGCACCTGAGTGCTTTTCCTTGCCTGGCGAAGTGCCTGACTCTTAGGTCCAAATAATCAATAAGGGTGACTGGTCCTAGGAGAACCAGCACGACTGATATTTCCTTTTGTTTCAGGTGCCAATATGGCCTGGGAGGACATTGTGTTGTCTGTCTGTCTCTCTCACTAGCTCTCTATGTATGTATGTATATATATACATATATAAATATATATAATGTGTAATGCATATCCGTATGTCTAGTATACTTTAGTATACTAATATAATATATACACATATGTATATATATACTCAGTATACATTAACAATACAAGGGTGTTTCACTGTGGTAATTCCATACATGCATACAGTGTACTTTGAACAAGTTCACTCTCTCCATTATATTCCCACTCCCTCCTCTCTTCTTCCCCTTTTTTGTACAGTGTTCAGAGGGTTTCATTATGCTGTCTTCAAACATACATATAGTCTATTCCAGCCCTCTTCCCTTCCCCCTCAGTATTCTTTCTTTTCACCCTCCCTCTCCCATTTATCTCCCCCTCAGATCATCTCCCTTTCACATTCATGTCCCATCCATCATCATCATTTTAGGTCCAGGTTCCACAAATGAGTGAGAACATGCGATATTTGACTTTGGGGACATGGCTTATCTCACTCAGCATGATGAGCTCCAGTTCCATTCACTTTCCAGCAGACACAATTCTACTTTCTTTATGACTGAGTAATATTCCATAGTATATATACACATAAATGTATGTATACATATTATATATTATACTTTATTCTGTCTTGATAGTTTGTTCATCATGGATATTTTGGGTATTAAATTTGATTTTTGAAAATATTGCATTGTTTGAGTGAGGCACTGGTGACTCACACCTGTAATCATAGCTATTTGGGAGGCAGAAATTGGATTTGAGGCCAGCTGTGGAACCCGAACCCATCTCCAAAATAACCAGAGTAAAATGGACTGCAGGTGTGGCTCGACTGGTAGAGCACCTGCTTTTACAAGCGTGAAGTCCTGAGTTCAAACTCCAGTTCCATCAAAGAAGAAATTGCGTTCAAGTATTATTTATCTAGATTATTGAATTCCTAGGCACCCTAAAAGTTTACCCCTAATGCCAACATCTCTGGCTCTGGATTATTTTTTGGGCGGTGGGAGTAGGGGAGGGCCAGCCGTTATAAACCTGTGACTTTCCTGTTAAGGAGCTATCTTCTCTGCTGTCCCCAAAGGCTAGGGCAAAGTTCCCAGTCAGTTCCACTCTATCCACTCACTTCCCACATCCCTTTCCACCGGCTTGGGGTGGCTCCAAATCCTTGAAACCCCTTCAGTGCTAAGTGTTAACCCAGGGCACCATGCTAAGTGGCAGGCCAGCACCAGCTTTGGACTGCTTGGAGGGAGCTGAAGAGGCTGGCGCCGGGGGTCACCTGATGGGGCACAGCGGGACGGCAGCGCGCTGGGGAGGTCGGCACTGTGTCCTTGCGCGCCGACCGCGGGCCCGGCTAGCCTGCAGGTGTCGACATCCCGCCAGGCCCACTTCCTGCCCCGAGGCCCGCAGTCTCCGGCTCTGGATCCGCGCCAGGGAGGCGTCGCCGGCCCAGGCGGAGCGGCTTCCTGGGCGCGGGCAGCGCACCTGGGTCGCGACATGGAGGACGGCGTGCTGAAGGAGGGCTTTCTGGTGAAGAGGGTGAGTGTGCGCCCGAGCCTCGCCACAGTGGCCAGGGCGCGTCTCACCTGGCCGAGGATGGGGTGCGCGGTGGGGGGCGACCCGCATGCCCCGATCCACACCCCAGCTCCTTTGGCGGGATCTGTGTGCTCGGGGCCCCGCTGCGCACACGTCCGTGGGGACAGAGGAGCGGGCGGTAATGCGACATCGGCACCGAGGCGGGACACAGCTTTCTGAAACAAGCTGGGGCCCGCACGGCGGCACCCGCACCGGGGAGGGTGAGAATCCCTCTCGGCTCGTGTGCTTTGGGGTCGGGGCGGCGGGCGCCAAGTGGGTGTCTTAAAACGGCTTATTGGGGTTGGGGATGCAGCGGGTGGCAGCTCCTGGCGCGTGTAGCGCGCACGAGGTCCTAGGTGCAGACCCCAGCCCACTGTGCACACACGATCTTAAAACAAAGGCAAAACCCAAAGGAGAACCTTAGTAAATTAGACTGAGTAAGGGGTGGCGGAGAAGGAGAGGGGATGGTTAACAGGTACAGGGAAGAAAGGATAACTTCTAATATTTTGTAGCATGGGTAGGAGGATTACTGTGGCGGACAATAATTATATATGTCAAAATCTTAGGCAAGAGGATTTTGAATGTTCCCAACCCAAAGACATCTTCAGTGTTTGAGGTGCTAGATCTGACCATTGCACATTGTGTACATGGATCGAAACGTCACACAGTTCCCCGTTAATATGTGTTGATTTAAAAACGGAAAAAGTTACCCATTAAAAATTGTTTTTAAAAGGGGGGAGGTAGGATAAGAAAGAAACAGAAGGAGTGAATTTGATCAAAGGGGTGAATTTGATTGTAGGCATGCGTGGAAATGTCACCAAGAAACCCCTGTGTACAATTAATATGCACTAAGAAAAAAGAGAAAAAAATTACGAATAGTGTAATATTTAAATACAATTAATGAAAGCAGCATGGATGTGCCCTGTAGTTACCATGCAGTGTTTCTTCAGCACTTACCTGTTTGTGTGTCCTGGACATTGTCTTGTTTAAGACTCCCAGTAGTCCTACAGGGCAAAAGAAGCTCAGAGCAGTTTCCTGTGCCGCTGAGACCAAGCATGGTTGTATGGTTATCACTGTTACAGATGAGGAAACTGAGGACCGGAAAGATGAAGTGACTGGTCCACAGCCAGTATTAGATGGGTCGAGAACCCTGTCCTCCCTCAGTCCTTCCCCATCACCCCATGTGATCCACAGTAAGCAAGAGTCCAAATCGAAGCAGAATGAATGCCGGGGATCAAGGTAGAAAACAAATGAAAGGGAGGAAGTTTGACATTTTAAAGTTATTTTAGGGCTGGGTTTGTAGCTCAGAGGTAAGTGCTTGCTTAGTGTGCATGAGACGCTAGATTTGATCCCTAGCAACTAAAAAAAATTAACATTGACACTAACACTAAACATTTATGCTAATGCAACAGCATAGCATGTGGATATATGGCTCATGAGTTTACAGCTTGGGGAGGGTGTAACCAGAGACCAAGGGGCTCTCCCTCTCATTCCCTCACCTGGTGGCCCCACCAGGGCTGAAGGCTCAAGTCACTTTCATATTTCAGCTTACAGCAGGTCTGTACTATGTTGCGCAGTATTTGATTCAGAGGCGGTGTGTTGTTTGCTCAAAGGTATGAACAACGAGGGTAAGAGGCGGAGGCCAGATCAAGGGTCAGATTAGATACCAGCAGTTCAGAATTCCAGGCCTACTTTGTGTCATTGGGACTAAAATGATAGTCTGGTCCCTTAGCATCTGTGGAGGTGGCTGGACCTCAGAGTGACAACCTGTGAGGGCCTTCTGCTGCCTTCCTCTGTACTGCAGCTCATGAGGTGACAGTGTGAGTTTTGGTTGGGTTGTTGGTCACTGAGCTAGGTGGAGTTAATTCGAGGCCAGACCCGTCAAATGAGCCTCCGTGGGCCGCCTCCTCCTCCCAGGAGTTACCTATACCATGCAAAGTTACCTTCATCACACAAAGTCAGAGAGCCACAGAGCATGGCTATGTGGGGAGAAGGATGGCTGGGTTTAGGAAGGAGAGGCAGCAGGTCTGGCCCCAAAGCTCACAGAAAGGACAGGGCTGGGCTGCAACACCTATCTCTCATTCCAGCTGAACATGGACTGGGATTTGGGGTCTTCCCTTGAGGCATGTGTGGAAGTCACATCTCTTCCTGCCCCAAGAGAGAGAGTTGACCCCAGTGCCCCTACTGTGACCACCACCTGCTGATAGATCCCAGTCACCACTCCATATCCCCTTTCCTTCCTCAGAACAGCAGCCCCTGTGTCTGCTGGAGAAGTTTCTGGGCTGTGGTACTGGGGATCTGAAGCTTTAGGAGGGTTTATAGCCCGGAGTGGGGCAGGCCCGAGCTGGAAGCCAGAGAGCAAACAGTCATCTCTGGGAGGGCCACGCTGGAGACAGGCAGGCAGAGGCACGAAGGATTTGTCTCCTAATCCTGCCTAGGCAAGAAAAAAACCAAGCTGCAGGCAAAATGCAGGGAGCTCTCTGGGCCTGGCTGTCTCGGGAGGGAGAGGCAGAAGGCAGGAAGCAGCCCACGAACACGAACCCACTCTGCCAAGCTGCTGGCCTCTGAGCTTAAACAAACACTGCAATGCTAGCAGGCTTTGGCCTGGGAATTTCACTGGTAGGAATTCATCCTAAGGAAATACTGCAAAAGCTTTTTGAACAAACTCTTATTCATGTATCTGGAAATTTCCTACATGTCCCCCTGAATAAACCAATGACTAATTAAATTATTGTTAGCAAACGTTAAAGATGCTTACAATACTAAAATCCAAAGAGTCAAAAGAGAGCTAGGGGTGTGGCTCAAGTGGTAGAACACCTACCTAGCAAGTTGGAGACCCTGAGTTCAAACCCCAGAGTAAAAGTATGCAAGTATGTGTGACGAAAAAATATAGACATAAAAGAAAAAAAAAAAAAGACTAGAAGGAGTTCTGGAGGCTGCAAGTCCAAAATCAAGGTGTTGGCAGGGCCAAACTAACCTCTGGGGAGAATCCTTGCCTGCCTGTCTGTTCTGGTGCTTGCTGGCAATGTGTGACATTCCTTGACTTAACAGATGCATTCCTGCAATCTCTGTCTGGTAGGCACATAACATTAGATTATGCCCACCCTAGTCTGGCGTGACCTCATCCTAATTTGATTACATCTACAAGAGCCTTATTTCCAAGTTAGATCACTTTCACAGGTACCAGAGGTTAGGACTTCAACATATCTTTTGGGAGATGAAATTCATCCCATAATAAGTACTAAGTACTGTCTCTGCTTTTTTAGGAGATGGGGGATTGTAGGATCTTGGACAAGACTTTCCTGGGCCCCTGTTCTTCCTCTTTAAAATTAGAAAGTAGAGTAGGCCTTTTCCTAGGGTCTCTCCAGCTGTGACATCTGTGCCTCCTAAACCCAGCTCTGAGGGGCCATCCCAGCTTGTGTGCCCCCTCCTTTCCCCTAAAGGAGCTCCTGAAACTCTAAGTCTTTCACTGCTCCAGACAGTTGCTTACACACAGGTGCCTGGAGAGGGAACCTTCTCTAGGTCTGGGACCAAGTGCAGTGGGAGAGGGCAGCCCTAGTTCTTTTTCTGCTTGCTCCACAGTTTTTTGGCCCCTGGCCTGCTTTGCCCGGTGACTTGGACCAGTCACTCACAACCCCTGTTCACATGTGGCTTATCTGCCAAGCAGGGAGACTGGGGCTTTCCTATCAGTTTCATGGATTATTCCAGTAGCTTCCAGGTGAGTTCCCCTCTGCAGTCTCACCTTCTTCATTCAACTGATCTTTTCATTTTTGTCATGCTTTCTTTTGAGATAGGGTCTCACTATATATCTTAGGCTAGCCTGAAACTTGAGATCCTCCTGCCTCAGTCTTCCAAGTGCTGGAATTACAGGTATTCACCACCACATCTGGCCAGAGTGATCTTTTAAACATGAGAACCTTGAACTTGTTATGCTTCTGTTAGAAATTCTGCAAGGACTCCCCTTGAGCTACAGCATAAAGATCAAACTGCAACACAGCAATTGACACCATTGCCTACTTGGTCCCTATTACTTCCCCTCCCCTTTGGGTCTCTGAGCTCAAGTCATATAGAACTAGAGGAATTTCCCAAAAGTAGAAATATTTGCAATGTTTTCAGGCTGGGACGGAAACCCCGGGCCTCGTGCATGCTAGGCAAGTGTGTTGTTGCTAAACTACACCCCCAGCACTGGAGAGGTTTCATGCTCATCCTTGCCAGCCTTCCTTACCTTGCCACGGCCTCACACCTATAGGCTCAGCCCCAGAATCGGCTCCTCCAGGGAATGTGCCTAACCCCAGTCCACCCTCTTCTGACCTTCCTCCCCGACCTGGACTCCTCCTTGGGGTTGGAGTCATGTCCTGTATTATTTATCTATAATTATGTAGAATTACCCCCAAATTCAGCATCTTAAAACAACAGATGTTTATTATCTCACACAGTTTCTGAGAGGCAGGTAGCCAGGAAGTCTGGCTCAGGGTCTCTAATGAAGTTGTCACTACCTGCTGTGGCAGTCACCTGAAGGTGGCACTGGCTGATGGGCTCATTTCCAAGCTCGCTTCCATACTGTGGCTGGAGGCCTCTGTTTCTCACCTTTCTATAGGACTGCTTGTGACATGGCAGTTAGATTTCCCCCAGAATGAATGATGAGAGTGAGAGAGAGAGAGAGAGAGAGAAAGAGAGAGACTTTTATAACTTAATGTCAGAATTGACACATCACTGGGTTATATTTTGTTGGCCACACAGACCAGCCCTTGTAAAATGTAGTTGTGTGTGTGTATGTGTGTGCGTGGTATGTATGCGTGTGCACATGTGTGTGCATTTGTGTTTGGAGGTACTGGGGTTTAAACTCAGGGCCATTGTTTTACCACTTGAGCCACACCCCAGCCTTTCCCCCTTTTTGAGGATCTTGCTGTGTAGCCTCGGCTGGCCTTAAACTTGAGCCCCTCTTGCCTCAGCCTCTCTAGTGCTAGGATTACACCCAGCTTGAATGGGGAGTTTTCTATCTCCCCTACTGGCTTGGGCAGAGTTTTCCCATCTTTGTCTTGTGCAGTGGTATTTTAGTCATTGATCATTGAATGAAAAGATGAACGAAGGAATAATTTTCCTAATCATCTCATCAAGATTTTTGTTTGATATTAAATTTATTTATTTTTCCATTGTAAAAATAATACATTCTTGGGTTGGAGGTGTGGCTCAAATGGCAGAGTGTGAGCAAGTATGAGGCCCTGCATTCAGACCCCAGTAACACACATACACACACACACACACACACACACACACACACACAGAGTACATTCTAAGCCAAGTACTACAGTGTTTCGTGCCTGTAATGCCAGCACTTTGGAGGCTGAGGCAGGAGGACTGAAAGTTCAAGGCCAGCCGGGCAGGTGAGACCCTGTCTCAAACAAAAATAAAAACACCAATGCATTCTAAGGGTTGGAGTTATAATTCAGTGGTAGAGGGCTTGTGTAGTATGCACAAGGCCCTGGGTTCAATCTCCAGCACAACAAAAACCAAACAATCATATTATTAAAAACAAACACAGGCTGGCAGAGTGGCTCAAGCAGTAAGAGTGCCTGCCTAGCAAGTGTGAAACCTTGAGTTCAAACCCCAGTGCTGCCAAAACTAAATAAATAAGAATTAAAAGCAAAAGCATGCTAGGGCTGCTGGAGTGACTCAAGTGGTAGAACACCTGCCAAGTACACATGAGGCCCTGAGTTCAAGCCCCAGCACTGCCTTCCCCCCAAAAAAGGCTGAGCATGGTGACTCATGCCTATAATCTTAGCTATTTAGAGGCAGAGATGGGGAGGATTGAGGTTTGAGGTCTGCCCAGGCAAGAAAATCAAGAGACTCTATCTCAAATAATAAAAGCTGTATTTGGTTGTGCATGCCTGTTATCCTAACAGGAGGTGTAAATAGGAGGATTTCTGGTCCAAGCAGGCTCAATCATAAAGCAAGATACTACTTCAAAAATAAGCAGAGCAGGGCTGGTGGAATGGCTCAAGTGGTAGAGCACCTGCCTAAAAAGTGCAAGACCCTGAATTCAAACCCCCCAGTACCACCAAATAAAATAACAGAGCAAAAGAAGGTCTGGGGCAGGGGGCGTAGCTCAAGTGGTAGAGTGCCTGTATAGTAAATTCCTGAGTTCAAACCCCAGTATAACCAAGACAAACAAACAAACAAACAAAAAACCCCAAAACTTCCAAAACCAACCAACTGGAAAAAAAACAAAAGCCCAAAGTAGAATAGTAGTATAAAGGGTGTAGAATGGAAAATAAATTTCTATTCTTATCTCTGTGTATCCAGTCTTACTTACTCTCTAGAGATGAATACTTTTAACATTTCTGGAACATTCCAAAAAATTTCTAAAATACTAGAAATACTTGCACCGTAGAAATACTTAGATACTAAATATTTAAAAAATATTTTCTAACATACTACTGTAGTTATTTTAGGTATCATATGAAGTAATGTAAATAAAAGTGCTTTGGCCATTGGCTGGGTGCTGGTGGCTCACTCCTGTAATCCTAGCCACATGGAGGCTGAGATCAGGAGGATCAAGGTTGAAGGTCAGCTCAGGCAAATAGTTTGAAAGATCCCATCTCCAAAATAACCCAAGTAAAATGGAGTGAAGGTGTGGCTCAGGCAGTAGAGTGCCTGCTTTGCAAGAACAAAGCCCTGAGTTCAAACCCCAGTACCTCAAAAAAAGACCACTGCTGAGCCAAATATGGTTGCTCATGCCTCCAATCTCAACTACCTGAGAGGAGGAGATGGGAAGATTTCAGTGTGAGGTCAGGCCAGGCCAAAAAAAAGTGTTAGACCCTATCAAAAAAAATTACTAAAACTGGGGCGGGGGGTGTGGCTCAAGTGGTAGAGCATTTGCTTAGCAAGTGCACGGCCCTGAGTTCAAAACACCAGAACCACCAAAAAAATAAGACTATCTTGTCACTGATTCTTGGTGGTTGACATTGTGGAGTCTGACCTTGTGGGCTTCACCAGTGGTCTGTTGTCACTTAGGGTTGGAATCCTGCTACTGCAACTCCCAGTATTATTAAACACCAGGCACTGTATTATTAAATGTTAAGATTACATTCCTTTTTTCACTGTTATCAGCAGTGTTCCTGTAAGTGCCTCAGTGCATGAAACCTTTTCCATATTTTAGGTTATTTACATAGCACAGATACCAAGGTAGAATTATTGGGTCAAAGGATTTGAACATTTGCATGAGGTTCACAGCTTCTTTGAATTTTCTCCCTCCTGGTACATCCTTTCTCATTGGCCTTTTTCCTCAGATTTCTTTGCTTCCAGTCAGAATTCTTAGTTGCTCACAACGCATTCTACTCTGACTAGTTGGGACAGAAAGGATTCATGGAGGATTTTCAATAACTCGGGAATATTTGGGAGACCAGCAAATCAGGCTGGAATCTATGCAGCCAGGGATGGTGCAGTCAGACAAAAAAGGCCCTGGTGGCTCACGCCTGTAATCCTAGCTACTCAGGAGGCAGAGATCAGGAGGATCACAGTTCGAAGCCAGGTCAGGCAAATAGTTCATGAGACCCTATCTCAAAAAAGCCCTTCACAAAAAAGGGCTGGTGGAGTGGCTCAAAGTGTAGGCCCTGAGTTCAAACCCCAGTATCACAAAAAAAAAAAAAAATGCCCAATGGCTCCAAAGTAGGTGTCATTTCTATTGGAAGCTGTTTCTGCTAGAAAATCACTGCTGACACTGTTTGACACTTGTCCTTAATAACTCTAAGGCCTGGGTGACAGACGAAACTATACTTCTACTGTGGTCCTAACCAAGAGTTCCCGTTTCTCCACGCTGTCAAGCATGCATCAGTGCTCTATGCCCAGAATTTAGTCACCTCCTTGTTCTCCTAAGTGCAAGGAGTTCCCGAAAGCATAACATTTTGTCCAAGAAAGTACAATCTCTTTGTATGTGCCTTTTCTGCTCAGCATCTGCTGATTATATTTTTCCCTTGCACCTCCAGCTCTCTTCCTCTTCTCCCTATGGTATTAGTTTGCTAGGGGCTGCCATAATGAAACTTCACAGACTGGGTGACTTTTTTTCTTAGCATTCTGGAGGCCAGAAGTCCAAGATCAGGGTGTTGTCCAGTTAACTCCTGACATTTTTTCCCTTGGCTTGCAGATGGCCTCTTTGCTGTGGCCTAACACCGTCCTTCCTCTGTGTTTCCAACTCCTCCTACAAGGACACCAGTCAGGATTAGGGCCCAACCTAATGGCCCTGTTTTAACTTAATCACCTCCTTAAAGGGCCTATTTCTGAGCAGAATTTGGGTTAAAGCTTCAACATAGGAATTTGGAGGTATCACACAGTTCATCCCAAAACACCTACGTTTGAGGTCTTACGATGACTTTTTTCCCCTCTCTCCATTTCATACCAGCTCTGGCGCCATCAGCTTAGATTGCGTTTTCCTCTCCTGACACCAAGTCACAGCTTTTTTTTTTTTTTTTTCTTTCATCTATAGAAAATTTTATGAAACGCAAACTCACCCATAGTGACATGGAGTAGCCCAATGATTGCTTACAGATAATGAAGGGAGATGATTTGGTCACAAAAAGGCATGAAGAAACCCTTAGGGGCAATAGATATGTTAACTGTCTTGATTGAGGAGTTGCAAGACATATTGGAGACCCAAGCCATAGTTTTGTGTGCCAGCAATTTACTGCCTTGAATTCTTCAGCACTCAGACCCCCCAGGTAGACCTAAGACCCTTGGTAGAATGGGGAACCTGAGACAGGAAATGGGGACCTGAGATGGGCCATATGGAGATCAATAGAGAGCACTTAGTAGCTGAGGAATCAGAGTCAAATCTTTTTTGTTTCTTTAAACTTGTCTGTGTGTGTCAGGAAAACTGTGAACCCTCAGGCTCCATGTAGATTCTAAGTGAGGAAGGAAGTGAGTCTTGTTGGCTTAGCTTCCTTAGTCACTGCCCGGTTGTAGGTACAGTCTTAAGCACATGTTAAGTCTGGGGGCAACAATTCCTTCTACAACTTTTTGATTCCCTGACAGCTCTTAGTATGTGCTGAGCATGGAATGGAGCATAGCACCACAGATGTGACGCTGGAAGGGGCCTTCAATATTAATAAATGCTAGGTAAGGAAATGAGTGAATTAAGGAAAGAGTCTTTGATTCATAGAAAGCCTCTCTGTCTGCGTTAGAAGCTAACCCTACACTGTACTCATCTGGGAAACAGGACAAGAAGGAAATACCAAATGTTACTGATGACTGTCTCCTAGTAGCAGGATCATGGGTGACTTTCCCTTATAATTTTCACTTCTTTTCATGATTTATGACCAGGGCCGGGAGGAATAGCTCAGAGGTAAAGCGCTTGCCTAGCATGCAAGAGGCACTAGGTTTGACCCCCAACATCATAACTACCACCAAAAAAAAGTTTATAGTATCTGGGATGGGGAAAGTAGAAGGTTGGTGTCAGAGGTCTTTGCTACATACTCAATGTAGACCAACGTAGATCCAGAGCCAGGGGAGTATACGGTTGGACTAGTGTTTCCGGCATAGTCTGGTCACCTGAGTTCTGAGATTCCTCTTCCTGAGTGCAATACTGACCTCAGGGCTTTCCTGTCTGTCCCAAGGGCCACATTGTCCACAGCTGGAAGGCGAGGTGGTTCATCCTTCGGCAGAACACACTGCTGTACTACAAACTTGAGGGTGGTCGGAGAGGGACTCCTCCCAAGGGCCGGATCCTCCTGGATGGCTGCACCATCACCTGCCCCTGTCTGGAGTATGAAAACCGACCTGTAAGTGATGGCCCCTGCCCGCTCCCTGCTCCAGCCTCCCTCCACCACCCCCGCCTCTTCCAGGAGGTGCATAACGAACGAAAGAGCTCAACTTTATAATCCAGTGAATTAGGTTCAAATCCTGGCTCTACCATGAACCACGTAGGTGGTATGTGACCTTGGGCAAATAGTTAAACTTCTTTGAGCCTTCATTTTTTATCTGTAAAATGAGATAAAATAATTGCACCTGAATATCTCCCATGGTTGTGATGAGAATCATGAAGGTAACGGTCTGTTAGAAGACTTCGTAGGCTGGGAGGCAGGCACCCACAAATGTGAGCAATTACTGCCGTCTTGGGCATCAGCAGGATGGCTTTCATTCCGTGAGGGGTGCATGTTCTAGAAGTGAGGGGCAGCTTTGACCTTACAATAAAAAAAAAAAAAGTGTATTGGGAAGTTGGACATGGTGGTGCAAGACTGTAATCCTAGCACTTAGGAGGCTGAGGCTGGAGGATCTTGAGTTCAAGGCCAGCCTGGACTACCTAGTGAGATCCTGTCTCAAAATAAAAAAGATATATCAGGGGCTGGGGTGTAGGTGTAGCTCAGTGGTCGAGCACTTGCCTACTGTGCAGGAAGGCATTGGGTTCCATCCCCAGCACTGAAAAATCTTATTGGGAAAGCAAATGGTTAATTGAAAAACATTTGGAGCTCTAAATGATGGTGTAACCATTATGCACTGCGGAGAACACTGTTGAGGAGGAGGAAGACGTCATTATGGACTGTCTGAGTCAAGTACAGCTTCAGGAATAGAGACTGAGGCAAAGAGGGAAAGAGGTGGACACTTGGGCAGGTAGAATGTCTTGAGTAAAAGCAAGGAGAAGAGTGTTCATGGAGCTGGGTGCAGCGGCTCACACCTGTAATCCTAGCTACTCAGAAGGCAGAGATCAGGAGGATCATGGTTTGAAGCCAACCCTGGCAAAGAGTTTGCGAGACCCTATCTCGAAAAACCCATCACATAAAAGAGTTGGTGGAGTGGGAGTTCTCTTAGGCTAACATGCGGAACTCAGCTCAGTTATTAATAAAGAGTCTAGGTCCATAAAGAGGGAGTCTTGTCATTTTCCCTTTCTGTGATTTTCTTCAGTGCCTGCAGTGTGCAGGGACGAGACCAGAGGCAACAAAGTCAATTAAGGAAGCTTCTCAATGACAGTGAATTCTGGATGGAGTGCTCACTGGCATTCGTTATGTTAACCTCAGTCCTCTTCTGTAATTAAAATCTTTCCTCAAATAAAATAAAAGGAAGCCTGGGTTACACAGTAAGACTTGCCTCAAAAAAAAAAAAAAGCTATTGAAACAAAGAAATGAAGCAAAAGAAGGGATGACTAGGAGAAAGTTTTATGATCGAAATATCCATAGGGTTGGTGATGGGCTGGATGTTGAGAGCAGGGGACAGGGAGGCACCAAATGTTATTCCGTGGGGACAGAGTGCATTCTGGTCACTTGGCTTGGGAGCAAGAGAAACGGAGGCAGAAACGCGGGGGAGAAGAGAATGTACTACTTCTGCCCACAGACCTTTCTCTAAACGGAGAACTCCACACACTGAATGAGGGGTGGAGGGTGCAGAAGGAGGTGAACACTGCCTGCGCTGAGCTTGAGGTGGGAGGGACAGAATTACTCCCCCAAGAGAGTTACTCTTTTTCCCACAAACAAGATTTTGGCTGGAGATTAAGGGTGGTTTTGAGGACATAAAAAGTGGGGAAGATCTAAGTGTGGTGGCAGGGGCTAGAGATGTAGTTTAGAGATGTAGTGGTTTAGTGTTTGCCTAGCCTGCATCTCCAGTACCACAAAACCAAAACCAAAAACTAAAATTAAGTGTGGTGGCATTGTGTAACCCCAGCTACTTGGAAGGCTGAGTTGGGAGGATCATTTGGGCTCACCCAGGAGTTCAAGGCCAGCCTGGGCAACATGGCGAGATCCTGTCTCAAAAATACGAACAAGCTGGGCGTGATGGTGCATGTCTATAATCCTAGAACTCCAGAGGCAGGAGAATCATGAGTTCAAGTCTGACCTGAGCCCCCATAGTGAGATCCTGTCTCAAACAACAACATCCAAAGCAAACAAATAAACAAACGAAAACAAATTAGGGAAATAACTTGATTGAAATCAGGAATGAGTTCTATTCTTAAACAACCATCTTTTTTTTTTTTTCATTTTAACTTTGAATATGGGATAAGGGAGAGTTGGTCATATTTCAAAGATTTACAGTAGATTGATTTATATTTGTCTGCATTATTTTTACAACAACTTACATTTTTCTCAAAGTGGGGGGGGAAGAAAGGTTATAAACATTTTCAGGATGAGTTTACAAAGTAACTGTCGTAGTAACTGTCATGAAGCTTATTTAAGAAGAGTGGGTCTTCAGGACACCAGAGGCTCATATTGTAGTTCTAGCTACTCTGGAGGCAGAGATCAGGAGTGTTGCAGTTTGAGGCCAGCTTGGGCACATAGTTTAAGAGACCCCATCTCCAAAATAACCAGAGCAAAATGGACTGGAGGAGTGACTCAAGCAGTAGAGGGCCTGCTTTGCAAGCACAAAGCCCTGAGTCTAAACCCCAGTCCACAAAAAAAGCAAAAAACAAAAAAGACCACCTGCTGGGGGGTGGGCAAGGAGCCAGGGAATTGGGTGGTTAGTGAATCCTGGATACATTGTGACCCTGTCTATCATTTCTAGCATTCTCTTGCCTGTTCTGCCTCTGAGTACTGGTCTGACTGGCTCTCTTTCCACAGCTCCTCATTAAGCTGAAGACCCAAACTTCCACCGAGTACTTCCTGGAGGCGTGTTCTCGAGAGGAGAGGGACGCCTGGGCCTTTGAGATAACCGGTGCGATCCATGCCGGGCAGCCAGGGAAGGTCCAGCAACTCCATATACTGAAAAACTCCTTCAAGCTGCCCCCTCACATCAGCCTGCAGTGAGTGTGTGTGTGTGTGTGTGTGTGTGTGTGGTGTCCCATGGTGTTACACAGGCCTGCCTGGTGCCCCCAGTGTGCTTCAAGGTTGTCAGCTGTGCCTGGCCTGCTTGGGACTGGCCTTACCTAACCACACGCTCCTATGTAACCTCTTGGAGCCTCTGCCACTTCTGCCCACCTCTGTGAATGAGTTAGAGAACTCCCTTCTGTTTCAGGCAGGGTGCTCAGGGCTACAGCACAACTCCCCAGGAATCTCCATCGATCAAACCATTGCTCTTATTTGTAGTCTGGTGGCAAAAATGATGGTTCTGGTAGTAGTGGTCTTCTTGCTGAGTGGGGTTCCTCATCCATTCATTCATTTATCCAAGAAATATCTATTGAATACCCTATAACTAGGTGCAATTATGGATCAATTTAAAAAAATGAGAAAAGAGATAGTTACTGAGTGTCTTCTGCATACTGTACACTGTGCTAGGTACTCAGCATATACACAGAGATTTTTTTTTTTTTTTCAGTGATTCCGGGGTTTGAACTTTGGGCCTCGTGCTTGCCAGTCAGGTGCTATACCGCTTAAGCCACTGCACTGACCCTTGCTCAGCAGGTACAAATAGGAATAAACAAGATCTTCTGGCCCAAGTATATGTATAGAAAATGAGAAAAGATCTTTGGTTGGTGGCAGCAGTTGTCTCAGAGAGCAGAGGGAAGGCCAGTCAGTGGTGGAGGTGACACTGTAACACAGGGACATGTGAAAGGAGTTCCCATCATGAAGATACCCCTAACCTCTCTGGTAGCTGAGCAGTTAACACCCATCAAATATGTGAAATGGGTCATTCCTGGGTGCATAAAACTCCACACCAGGCACTGAAGTCTTGGCACTTTCTGTGGGTCTAGGGTGCTGCTGAGCTATGGTGAGTGTGGGGAAGAGCAGCAAAGGGTGTGAAGCAGATGAGTTCCCAGAGGGGTGACGTGGAGAAGCAGCTGGAGTTTAGACTGAATGCAGCAGGCTATAGGGAACCATTCTTGGTTTTAAATAGCCACAGTTTTTGAGTCTTACTTCAGTAGATATACTTGTCTAGTAGGAAGGATTAGAATATTCAGATGACTTAGAAGACAAATGTCTGAAAATCCTGTCTCTCTTGGGCTGGTAGAGTGGTTTAAGTGGTAGAATGTGAGGCCTTGAGTGCAAACCCCAGTACTGCCAAAAACAACGAAAGAAAATCTGGCCTCTCAAATCTCTGATGTATAACAGAAAGCCACTCTGTTTGTGGTATGTGTCATGCCGTTTGCCACTTGCTTTATTTTATTTACTTATTGTGGTACTGGGGTTTGAACTCAGGGCCTATACCTTGATCCACTCCATCAGCTCTTTTTTGTGTGTGTGTGATTTTTTTTTTTTTTTTTTTTTTGGTGTGGTTCTGGGGCTGGAACTCAGGGCCTTCTCCTTGAGCCACTCCGCTAGCCATTTTTGTGATGGGTGTTTTCAAGATAGGGTCTTGCGAACTATTTGCCCAGGCTGGCTTCAAACCGCAATCCTCCTGATGTCTTCGAGTAGCTAGGATTACTGCTACTACTACTCGTCTGTCTACTGTGATGGGTTTTTTTGAAATAGGGTCTTACGAACTATTTGCCCAGGCTGACTTCCCACCATGATCCTTCTGATCTCTGCCACCTGAGTAGTGAGGCTTACAGGTGTGAGCCACCAGCACCCAGCTTGCCACTTGCTTTGTATCCTTAGCAGTAACTCTTGGAGATTCCCTTGTAGCTGCCAGGGTGGCAGTGGTCCCTCTTCTTTGCCTTTCTTCCATGTAGTCTCATCGTGGACAAGATGCATGACAGCAGCAGTGGAATCCGGCCGAGCCCCAACATGGAGCAGGGAAGCACCTACAAAAAGACCTTCTTGGGTGAGTCTTCCTGTTCCAGAGTCAGGCGAGGCTGTAGAGACCTGGGACACAGTGACTGGGGTTCTTGACCAGCCCATAGTGAGACAAGAGATGCCTGCTAAGCAGTGGGCTAGCCTAAGATGGCCACGTGTGGGTATGGCTGTGGCTGTCTGTGCAGCAGGTGTGGCCTTCAGTCTGCTCTTGGGTGAAGCCCTGAGACTGCCCAGGAGGTCAGGGTCAATGAGGTCATTAACCAGATACCCTAGGGAGCCTGGGATATAGCCTATGTCTGACAGGTGCCTGCCTCCCTTGCCCTGGCACAGGCTCTTCCCTGGTGGACTGGCTCATCTCCAACAGCTTCGCAGCCAGCCGTCTGGAGGCTGTGACCTTAGCCTCTGTGCTCATGGAGGAGAACTTCCTCAGGCCAGTCGGTGTACGGAGCATGGGAGCCATTCGCTCCGGGGATCTGGCTGAGCAGTTCCTGGATGACTCCACAGCCCTGTACACTTTTGTGAGTTAGGGAATGGGCTCTTCTTGCCACTAGGCCAGAGGGAAGGAAACAGCAAGAATGAAAGCTTGGGGATGGGGTAGGGTGAGGGGTGATTCCACAGCTTCATTCCAAGAGGGAAGGGTATCCTGTGTGTGTTAAGGAATTCCCTCTTCCCTTGCAGCCCCCATAACCTCTCCCCTTCCCATTAGGCTGAGAGCTACAAGAAGAAGAAAAGTCCCAAGGAAGAGATGAGTCTCAGTACTATGGAGTTAAGTGGCGCAGTGGTCAAACAAGGCTATCTGGCCAAGCAGGTATGGCTGCCCTTGAGCAAAGAGGATGGACAGTCGTTACACTCGGGAGAGGCAGAAAAGAGCCTAGAGAGGGGCAGGGGCTGAGAAAGCTGGCGTGTACTCATTGCCAGCAGGATCCAAAGGAAGCAAGTCAAAGATGCACGTGCTCACTCACACCCATGTCCTAGACACCAGGGTTGCTCTGGAAAACATACCCACATGTAATTATCACATTAAAAAAGCGACTTCTCTGTAACTTCCCAGTTTCACATATTGTCATCTCCTTCTTCTATGTCAGGATTGACATCTGCTCTTATTTATCAGCTACATAGCTGCCTGTCTACCCTAAGGGTTCTTCTTCTTCTAGGCCTGATGGGATCCTTACCACGGGAAGAAATGAGGCCCCCAGAGCTGTTGGGAGAGGGGATGGGAGAGACTCTGAGTACTATAGACTAGAAACTAAGGAAGACGTGTGTTCTCGGATATGAGGGCAGAGAAGATCTCTCTCTCTCTCACACCACACACACACACACACACACACACACACACACACACACACTTAGATTTTTATCATACTGTAATTGGTCATTTCTTTTTCCCATGTAGAGATTTTATAGTATATGTGTGCACACATGTCACATGCACAAATACACATGCAGTTGTAGGTAGTTTGTTTTTGGACTAAGTTGACCCTTAAAAGTTTGGTGCCCTTGGGTTCAGGTTGGCCTTTCAGCTCCCAGTCCAGCTGACACCTGCTCCCTCCCTGGATTAAACCCAGGGCCCTCCCTGCACATATCAGGCAAACGCTCTATACCTCGCCCAGCCCCTCCCTGTCCTTTATGCCCAGTGTAGCAGTGAGGGTGGTGAGGCCCGTTTCCTTCAGTGCTAACTCTTCTTAGCTCTGTCAACTAAATGTGAAGGGTATTTTTGCTAATGTGTCACTGAGCAGAGGATCATGTCAGGGGAAGTCCATGACCTGCCATGGAAGTCTTGGGTTTTCTCTAGACTGTCTTTAGAATGTAGTCCCATTGGAGCAGGCTGGCTTGTTGGGGGGTTGGCAATAGGTAGATTCATGGAAACTGGGAGGGGATATAGAGCTGTCACTAATGAACCTTTGATCCTTTCTTTGCCGAAGGGACACAAAAGGAAAAACTGGAAGGTACGTCGCTTTGTTCTAAGGAAGGACCCGGCTTTCCTGCATTACTATGACCCTTCCAAAGTGAGTAGTATACACTACCCTGGTTGGAGGGAGACTGAGGGGGAGGCTGTGCTGCTCCCAGACACCTTCCAACAAAGCAGCGAGCTGCCATGCTGCCTTCCTGTTTCACGTCCCTTTCCTCCTGCAGACCAAGCTCCTTTTTGTCACAGGGTTGTCTGCTCAGTGAGTGGATTCTTTTGTGCCCATCCCCATTTCCTGTGGGCAAGGATCTTCATTATTTTGAGAGGAAAAGCATCTTTCCCCAAAACCTCTTTGTGGGTAAAGAGGGGGAGGAGGGCTGATGAGACTCCTAAGCGGCCCTTCCCAGCCTCTTCTCTTTTCAAATGATCCCAAGAAGCCAGGCACCAGTGGCTCACACCTGTAATCACACTAGCTACTTGGGAGACTGAGATAGGGAAGGTCGTGTTTTGAGGCTAGCCTGAACAAATAGTTCTCAAAATAATTAGAGCAAAATGGACTGGAGGCATGGCTCAAGTGGTAGAATGCCTGCTCTGTGAGTGCAAAGCCCTGAGTTCAAACTCCAGTAACACCAAAAACAAAACAAAACAAAAAAAACTGCATGAAATTTGCCTTTCTCAACTCTTACTCTATTTGTAAAGTTCCTTTTTATCACATATTTATATTATATACTAATAGTTAAGATATAATTTACTTATTTTTAAAATTGAACCAAGAATTGATGTTCTGAGTTTCAGATAAGTACTACCTCATGCTGAGTTACCCTAATTCCAATCAAAAGAGAAGAAAACTGGACTTTCAGTTGGGGTATTCAGCTTTGTGTTGATACATGTATGATTTTCATTAATGTTTGAAATAGTGAAGAGTAGGCAGTTCCTTTCTTACTGAGTTTTCAGTCAGGAACTCCTACCAGGAGGGCCAAAGCCCAGGGAGGGGCATGGCGGAGAGCTGCCTGAGGGACTCCAGCCACTTGGGCCTCCATAAAGCACCCATTTATCTTTCCCATGGTCATGGTGGCCTGGCCATAGAATAGAGACCAGTCTCCTTCATGGCTACCTCAAACCCTTTTTGAAGCAAAGAGTATAACAAATGAATAAACATTTTAGTTTTGCATTGCATTCTCACTCCAGCCCAAGCTGCTTTGTGACCTTGATGAGTCCAAGGCCTCAGCCCAGGCACTATCTGAAAGACATTTTGTTGTTAATTTGGTTCCTGGCTTTACCCTCACCCCTCCTCCTGTTGGGGCTCAATGTCTACCCCTGTGCCAAGGGCTTACTTCAGAGGGCCAATTCAAGTCTCCTCCCTGGCCCCTCCAGGGGTGGAGCTCTTCTTCCCTTGGCATCTCAGTGTCAACATCTCTAGCATTGTTATTTAGCCACTTTGTTTTTGCTCTACCTCTTGCTGGGACCACTACTCAGTAGATTACTAATTGAAGGGACCAAAGGGCCCATGAAACAGCTTCGTTTAATGCAAAGTTTCATGCTGCGTACATACTAGAATCTTGTATAATGGTGTCCAGTGTGTAGGAATATCTATCAGTTTTGTAGAAATGGTAACTATAAATACATGTTGATTTTTTGATTAGGTGGTAAGATGCACACAAGGGTTAAGGAAGCCAGTGCATGTTTCTCTTGGTAGAATGTTGGATCTGAGGCTGTTTGAGACAGCTCCAAGAATCAAGAGCAGATTGATATTCAGCTCCACCATGCCTGGTAACAGGAAGGTTGGTGGCACTGCTACTGAAACAAAGAGGCCCAAACTTCTTCCTGGTACACATGATGCCCAGGTTCAGCTTCATCTTCTATTACAAATGACTTGAAATGACTTCTTCAACAAGTCTGGCTGAGGACGGTCATAGGAGTGTGCCTCTTCCCTTTGTGCTTTCACGAAATTGCTAATTATGTCTCCTTTACTCTCCAGGAAGAGAACAGGCCAGTGGGTGGGTTTTCTCTTCGTGGTTCACTCGTGTCAGCTCTGGAGGATAATGGTGTTCCCACTGGTAAGGCACAATTTCGACACTGGCCTGAAGGGCTTGAGGGCCTCCCTTCTGCATCTCAATAATGCCCACACGAAGCAAGCTTTGGTTGCCAAGTAGGGCTTTTCTCAGTGAGATAATGAATGATGTAAGTTTTGAAGCCAGTTTCAGAAATAGAGGGAAGGGCACATTGGGTGTTGATAGTGTTTTAAGAATATGACTGAACCAGGCACTGGTGGTTCACACTTGTAATCCTGGCTACCTGGGAGGCTGAGATCAGGAGGTTCATTGGTTGAAGCTAGCTCAGGCAAAAGTTTGTGAGACCTGATCTCCAAAATAACCAGAGCAAAATGGACTGGAGGTGTGGCTCGAGCAGAAGAGTGCTTGCTTTGCAAGCACAAAGCCCTGAGTTCAAATCCCAGTCCCACCGAAAAACCAAAACAAACCCAAATCAAAATCAAACCTCCAAAACCCAATACAACTCTCCCCAAAAGAATACAACTAAGTAAACCTTATCTTTAATGGTCCCCTTCAGTTTCTATGCAGATGGCCTACAAGCTTCCACCTGAGGGTAACCACTCAGGCTTACATGGTGCTGTAGCATTAATAACATGTTCTCATGTTATCACTAATTTTGTAATAGCCAGCCATGGTAGAGAAAGGTAGTATTATTCCCATCTACAAATGTGGAAATTGGGGCTCAAACACCAAACTTTGTGCCTGCATTTGACATAAACATACTGGATTCTTTGATGTGACTAAAATTGTAAAGTCTAGGAGCTAGCACAGGGGCAAGCAAGAGGGCTTTCAGCAATGTCCAGACTAACTAGTGACAGGCCTTAAGGGAGGGCAGGGAGGAAAGGGGGAAGTCATGCATCAGGTGGGATCCCCTAACCACTTACATCTGTATGTAAGAAATACTTCATTAGATGTTTTTGTCCAGGTCTCAGCTGCCTTTCAGCTGCTTTAAGCTGAAAGTAGACAAGGATATTCAACAGATTTTTTTTCCTTCTGCCTAGGGGTAAAAGGGAATGTCCAGGGAAATCTCTTTAAAGTGATTACCAAGGATGACACCCATTATTATATCCAGGCCAGCAGCAAGGCTGAACGAGCAGAGTGGATTGAAGCTATCAAAAAGCTAACATGACAAGAATCTGAGAAAGCAGGACCAGGATTCCTTTCTTCTACCAGTCAGGCAGTGGATGTGGCTCTGTGATAGACTGCCTGTCAGGCCTTTGTCTCTGGGTTCGATTCCCAGCAACATAGAAGACTGTAACGTTGTATATTTTGCACTGTTTGGAGTGAAACTGCTGAAGACTTAAGTTCCTTGGATCACAAACAGAAGTGGTGCTATTTCCTTCCCCATCTCCCTGTTACCACTTGGAAAGCTGGAACAGCCATTGGGTGTCAGCATCGACTCTTGCCCACCAGGACAGCTGTGTATTTAGGCACTAAAGCAGTACCCCTTTGTTGGAACACTAACACTGGCCACACTGCATATGAAATAAAACTCTAGCCTCAAGGCAGCTGTCTCTTAAATGATCTCAACTCCTATCTCCTATGGAATTAATAAAAATCAACATTTGTTTCTGGCAGTTATAACTCTTGTAGTTTTGTGCTTTCCAAAGATTTCCTACTTCTAAGGCTTATGTATTAAGTAAGTTCATTATGGAACTATTTCAAGTGATCTGTTACCAAGGCACACTTTAAAAGTGGGGCTGGGAGTGTGGCTAAAGTGGTAGAGCACTTGCAAAGCTCCAGTTAGAGTTCAAACTCCAATAGCATCACCCAAAAAAAAAAAAAAAAAAAAAGGCTGTTGGCAAAACTAAACATTCAGATACTGTTTTGCTTTGTAAAATAAGCCTGATTAAGTATTATACTTTGTAGAAAGAAGTCACGGACTTACTTGGAGAAACTTGTTATACATACAAAAATAAAAAAGTACAATTGCCAGGCACTGGTGGCTCATGGCTATAATCCTAGCTACTCAGGAGGCAGAGATCAGGAGGACTGCGGTTCGAAATCAGCCCAGGCAAATAGTTCATGAGACCCTATCTCGAAAAACCCATCACAGGACTGGTGGAGTGGCTTGACGTGTAGGCCCTGAGTTTAGGCCCCAGTACTGCAAAATAAATAAATAGTAAAATTACAGCTTTCCCAAGAAAAATGGGCATTTAGAAAGAGATGTAGAGCAAGAGCTCTCTGAAGGACAAATGTAAACCGGAGGAGTTAAACCAAGGCATGAATTTCTAGGTTTAAAATGAACATTAACTGAAAGAAATAGGCACCAAGGAAACTCCCAAATTGTGAGGTTAACCTAAAGTAGTGAAAAGTCTGTATCATACAGTATTTTCGAAAAACATTTTTATTATTTTCCAGGTTATACAGTGATCTGGCACAAGCTATTGCCAGCATTCTTGCCAAGTACAAGTGCTTGGACTTTAATGAAAAGACAAAATACATCACTTACATTTACGGGGAGTGGATCAGTCCACAGTGCTTAAGTAGAAATTTGTTCTCTTAGATGATGTTGACTAGAATACCTGACCCCGAACCTTCAGGAATTCCAAGCTAATGTCTTTTCCTCTATTCCTTATGTTGTAAAGAGCTTGCCTTTTAAAAACACCACTTTCCATTTGGTGCTTTGGCAAGGCCTAATGCCCCTTGAATTTTATTGCTTTTTGAATATTGACAGGTGCTTATCTGAATTAAACTACATTTGGTTTGATAGTGTCCTGCCTCCAAAGTGGCACAGCTGTGCCTCACTATATACGCATCAGGATTTCCAAGGGTTGGAAAGTACACAAATTAGTCAAGTTGGCAAGGTACTAGTACCTAAACTTAAAAAAACCCAAAAAACCCCACCTAACCATTTTAATTGCTGTTAGTGTAAAAGTAGCTAGGTAATGAATGGCTGGACTGACAGCTGAGTAGTAACTTCTGCTTAGCATGACAGGGATTAGCATATCTCTGTAGTTCCCATTAAGTGCTTAAACATTACTCACATAAGAACTGGCCTGTTTTGAAATAAAAATGGCTCGAGTGTTCACATTTTCTTCTAGTCATTCTTTCTTCATTCATTATTTTCAGTTCATTTATGCATGAGACCCAAACTACTGCCAATTTTATCTTGAGTTTATAATCACTTAAAGGCAGAGGAGAGGGGATATGGAATTGTGACTATTAATGAAAAGGCTTTGGTGCAAGAATGAGTTTTGGATAAGCTGCTCAATTGTCAATTCTGTTCAAGTCATTCAGAGCTAGGTTTACTTATGCTTTAAACTTAGTTTTCTTCATATTAGTGAAGCATGGTCCTCTAGGCTAGGACCACCAATTTACAAAACTGTTGTGGAACTGAGCAAAAAGCTGATCTGGGACTAAAAATCACCCATGAGATGATAGACCACCAATATTTTTAGACAGTTATGGCTTTTAAGGTACAAAATTTTTCAGTAAACCAAAGGAAAAGATTAAATTCCCAGAGACTCAAGCATGCAAGGTAAGCACTCTACCATTGAGCTAAGTCCCCAACCCTTTTCATTTTCAAGACAGGATCTCACTAAGTCGTCTAGGCTGGCCTCGAACTTGTGATTCTCCTACCTTAACCTCCTGAGTAGACGGGATTACAGATGTGAACCACTAAGTTCAGCTTTGATAATATCTGGATGCTGCAAGTTTTATAAACTTGTTTTTGATGTCTCAAAGACAGAAGTGAAAATTATGTCCCAATCTTGAGTATATCAAATAATCTAAATATTCCCAATGTAGCATGCTGGGTGACAATCATGGCTCCCTTTTAGAAACAGACCATCTGAAGTTAGACCTTTGGATTTAAAAAATAAAAACCTTTACAATGGCACAAACTATCTCCTCAACACACTCTTCTATTTTCTAGTTCCTTTAATTTGTTGCCCAGGCTCACCTTGGAATTCTGGGCTAAGTGATCTTGCCTCAGATCCCAAGAAGTTGGACCTACAAGTCCCAGGCCACTGCACCTGGCTGCTGCACCTTTAACATCAAGCTAATTCTAGTTCTGAACTGAGTAAGGCGGGTTAAATTTAATATTCTATATATTTTAATAGCTAAGCCTACAGATAAAAATAAATAACTTGTACCTCAAGTATCCTAAAAGATTAAATCTATGAAGACAAGCATGCCAAAATAATTCAAGAGTTTCTACACCTACCTACTGTAGCTGGAACTTCAGTGTGTAATCTGTGAAAATTGTGCACATACACTTTTAAAATAACTAGTTCTTCAAGATAAAAATAATGGAAACATTAAAAAAAAAAAAACAAAAAACCTGCTTCAACTGTGCTCAAGCAGATCCCTGTTCTATATAAAGAGAAGATCTAGCAGATAAAGGGAAAAAGTCCCCCAAAAGTTGGATGACTCAAAATAACGAAATCAAAGCAGCATCTTCTTTTAAAAAAACACTTTACCCACCTTGAACTATAAATTCAAAGCAAGTTTAGCATACCAAGGACCCAGTGTGATCAATTCTCTCATACCACAAGTTGTTACAGGCCTCAACTAGGTATAGGCACATAATATAATTCTTTTAATTGCAATTAAGGCTTTTCCCCAGTAAGGGTCAATTTCACTGGGTTAAAGTAAAATTACATTCTCTAAATTCTCCATTTGAAAGGGTCTGTTGTACAGATCCCTTGCTCACTTGCCCTTATATTTCTACATCTAGACTACAAAGGTAATTCAATTAGGGTCCTAGCATACAGAAGGCTTTTGCACTGGTGACAAGAAGGAAGAAGTCTATAGTTAAATATCCCAGAAATTTATTTGATGTTTGCTTGAATACATTTTATATGGAAGATTAGGACTGCTATTGTTTGGGTTGGGTGTTGCTGGTAAATCTCAAAGAGTGCCAATTGGGACACATCAGAAATGGAAAGCACAAATCCAATTTTAGGACTGTTCTTAAAGATTTGCTCTAGTAAAATCAAGCCACTCCCTTAAAAAAATGCTCAGTGTTTTGGAGTCATTGTGTGAAAGCAGCTGACATTTAGGAGGGCATTTCATGTTCTGGTCTGTTGGAACATTTAAATACTTAGAAATAAAAAATAATCGGCTTTGAAGTTTTCAATACTGGAAAACTTTCAAGTCTAAGGTTTACAGCCAGGAAGGGCTGCTTCGTGTTCCTTAAATTGGACTGTTTCCCACAAAGTTAATCTTCAGCTTTGGCCTCCATTTCTTCTGCATCATCATCTCCATCCACTTCTGCATTTTCTCTCTCAAGCCTTTCCAGCTGCCTCGCAAGTTCAGTCTCATCTGTATCTGTGACCACTTTGGGCTGTGGAAGTAGAGGTATAATTTCAATGTGAAGTTGTTAAGTAGAATACAGATTCATTTTCATTTTGTATTACTACCTAGTATTTTAATTTTAACTCTTAAAGAAATACTTTCTAACTGTCATACCTGATCACCTTTGAGTACTGACTTATCACTAATAAATTCTATTAACTAATAAATAGAATATGTGAAATAATCACAGTGAATATATCTTTCAAGGCCACAACTACCTGCAAAAACATGCACCTTCTGGGCTCAAAATAAATCACTTGCTATTCCTTTTCAGAAAAGGAAATTGTTATATACACAGAGATACATATAGAAATTAAGTTTTGTTCTTCTTGAGATGAGGGAAAGACAGGAGATTAGTTTTTTTTTTTTTTTCCCTTGTTTTTTTGAGACAGTATCTCACTATGTACCCTAGGCTGGCCTCAAACTTGCAATTTTCCTACCTCAGCCTCCTGAGTGCTGGCATTACTAGAGTATAACACAATGGCTGGCAAATTTATCATTTTTATTGTCTATTTTTCTCCCTGAGGTAAAAATAACTTAATGCCACCAGGGACTGTAGGCTAGAATAGCCAACATCCAGTGTTGATAGCTTTCCCCTTTTAGGAATCCTCTGATTATTTTATACTTAGTTCATTTGTAATCCTAAATGTATCTGATATGTTAAAAGGCAGTGATCAGGATCAGGTATGTTAGAGCACAAATGATTTGTTTCTTAAAAACTTTAAGAACAAAGTAAAAATAAAGGCACTAATCTTACCTCCATTTGAACATTGAACACTCCCCTCTTTTCCTCAATCTTTTCTTTGATAACAGCCATAGCCTGATTGAGGACAGAGAGGCCTTCTGTTCTCTCCAGGGTTGTCGTAGTCATCACATACCTTGGAGGAGCTATTAGATTTATCTAAAAGAGAAAAATTCAATTATAACTGTATCTATAGAACACAACGACTAGGTTGTTATTAAACTGCTGTATTAACAAATCACCCCAAAACTCATTTTCCAATTCTTTAGGTTGGCAATTTGGGACCAGGTTTTTTTGTACATAGTAAAATCTAATTGATGTAATGATCTAATCCAGTACTACAGCCTATTGCAATACTGAATTAGAAGAATTACAATCTTTAGAGTGTCTTTAGTGGCTAAACTAACTACAGCTGTCACTAGCATAATGGATCATTATCTCTAGACTAATGGAAGAAATTCTTTCAAGAGATTCTGAGTAATATTCATCCAGTTTATTTTATTGCTAATGAAAGATGCAGCTCTAACCCATAAAAGTTGTGTGTGGGCAGTTGTGAGAGTATGTTACCCATCTCAAGGTAACTATAAGCATTTTTTTTTCTTTAATGAAAAGGAGGTTTAGTACTGCTGACCCACTCACTTTAGGAATCCCCATCTACTGTGATATAGCAGTAGCAACAAGAAACCCACTAGATAGTTACAAACATCCTCCAGAAATATCACGAAGAACCACAGCTCAATTCTAATAGCAAAAACCACTTTTGTTATGAAATAGGATGTATATACATTTTTTTTTTGTGGTACTGGGCCTTGAACATAGGTGAACACTCTACAACTGTGCTATACTCACAACCCAGTATGATTTAGGAAAAAAAAAAAAAGAAGGGTTGGTGGAATGGTTCAAGTGATAGAGTGCCTGCAGAGCAAGTTAAGAGGCCCCAAGTTTAAACCTCAATTACCACCACCACCACCAAAAAAAAAAAGAAAGGCTAGGAGGGTAGCCCTGTGGCTCTGGCTTCAATTCCTAGCACAAAAGAAAAAAACATCAAAACAAGTGATGACTTGTTTAGGGGGTTACTTCAGCAGGGCTGGAGAAAACTGATGACTCACCTTGATGGGCATGGTTTCTGTAGAACAGTTCAAACCTGCTCTCAGGGCTTCTTTGACAGCATCGATGCCTTCATAACCATAGCAAGCCACTTCAATATCTAAAACAGAAGAGTTCAAAGGCTGACACCAAGAAATATAAAAATACTTAAAGGATTAAAAGAACCAGAGTGATTGCAGATGTAGCATTCAAATACTCAGGAAAGTGCTCATTGACCTATCAATTAGAAATGAATCCCAGCTATTCATTTTCACAATTAAATTTTTTTTATATGTGATTGTAAACAGTATTTTATTTTTTGGTGCTGGGGACTGAACCTCGGGCTTTATGAGTGCCTTATCACTGAGCTATACCTCCAGCCCCTAGCATGTTTTTTGTATAGTATATGTAGAGGAAAAATGCCTGAAAGAAAATACCGCAAGCTAAAACAAGTGCTTAATCCAGGGGCATGGAAGGAGATCAATGTCTTGTTGAAATATATTAAAACATGCAGTTAAAAATAAATAAGTTTATTTATTTTGGGAGGACTAAGGTTTAAAATCAAGGCCTCACACTTGCAAGACAACAACCTTTTTTTGTGTTGACTGTTTTCGAGAGGGCCTTACAAACTATTTGGCACAGCTGGCCTCGAAACTCAATCCTTCTTATCTCTGCCTCCTGAGCAGATAGGATTACAGAAATGAGCCTACAGGTGTGAGGGCTAACTTAAGGTTAGTTGAAGTCATATGACTATTTTCATTTGTGTCAATATATACATCTTATGAGGCCTCTGTAGAAGAATAATTCCTTGGCTGAAGGTGTAGCTTTGTGGTATAGTGCTTGCCCAGCATATGTGAGGCCCTGGTTCAATACCAAGAACCAACCAACCAACAACAAACCAAAAGCAACCCCTGAAATGTTTCTTGCTATGAAATACAAATATTTAGAAAAATTTACAGTTGTTGATGTAGCAACATATGTTTTGGAAAGTCTCATCATTTAACAGCTTTTTTGGAACATGCAAATTATTTAAAAAATCATTTAAAAAGTCATTTACCTGCTCGAATTTTGACAGCCTGTGGAGTCAAACGCCTATTAATATTGCTAATGAGTACTTCCCGTTCTTTTTCATTCAAATCTAAACTATCCAAAATAGATGGGTCTCTAATTTAATAAAAACAAAACAAACACAAAAGGTCAGGGTTATATTACTGATAATTGAAAATACATACACTACACCACAGAATAATGCATGTAACAGTAAAGCACAGTTTTTAGTTTGCACAAAATTTTAACTATGTGTCTTTGGCCCTTTCCAAACCTTTTTCCAAAATGTGTAAAATGAGGATGAAAATACTGATGCTCACAAGATTACTATATTAAATGAGATAATGCAAATAATACTCCTAGCAGTACATGACAAACAAAACACTCAACCGATTACCAGAAGATTTTAGCAATCTGGCTAAAATAAACAATTTAATACCTCCTAATACATATGACACGGTACCATAATTAAGCATTTCCATTAGCAGTTCCTGCTTTAAAGAACTTACAATCTAGCATGAAAAGAACAAAATATGGCAAAATGTGTGAAACTAAAAGTACATCCACGGGTGCCAGGAGAAGGAGGTATTACTGCCAAGTTAGTGGTGCCAGGAAGGGCTTCATGAAGAGAGTAGCATTTCATCTGACCCTTGTAAATGCTACAGGATAGGGATCAGGGAGGGTCTTAGCCACTGGCATATTAGTTGAGCAAAGGAAAAAAAAAAAAAGAATGATTAAAGGAATGGTAGCATCATAATAAGCAATGTGAACTACTGCAAGAAAGTTATGATAAAAAAAAACAAAACAAAAGGAAACAAAACAAAACACCAAAGAAAGAGAAAAAAAAAAATGGTGTAAGCCAGCATCAGTCTTAAATAACATGAAGTCTGGTTAAGGACCAGAATTTGGGTGCAGTAATTTTCACTTAGGTAAGACAAACCAAAAGAAAGGTCTACAAAGTTGAATATATAGAAAATGGACAAGAGAGAAAAACAGATGTTTCAGAAAAGAAATACAATTAACAAACACGAAAAGTTGTTAACCTCACCAATAGCTAAAAGCATGCAATCAAGATAGCAGCAAAAGGAAAAAAAATCTGAGCTATATACCAAATGTTGATGAGGATGAGGGGAAAAGGAATACTTACACAGTTGCTACAGGGAATATAAATTATAGCATCAGTTTGGAGAGCAATTCAGCAAATCAACTGAATATAAGATAGTTATTTTATAGGTACAAAAATATGTATTATATAATAACAATAATAAAAAATAATCCTATGATCCAACAATTCCATTCCTAGGAACATATCTTAGAAACTTTCAAACGTATACACGAGACATACACGTTATTAATCAGAACATTGTTTGAAAAGTGGGACAAAAGGGAAAATTAAATATTTCTTAATAAGGGGAATGAATAAAACATACTCTCAGGATGAAATGCTATACAGAAGTTAAGATGAATGAATTAGAAACACATTTATCAATTTGGTAAAACCTGCTTAGTAATAGCCTCATAAGGCAAAGTACAAGCTATGGAAAGATACAACAATGGATTAAAATTTAAATACACAAATTATTCTACAAGTACTTTATGGATTTACAGGTTGCATGAATTGCTTGGAACCAGAAATATTTTGGATTTTTTCAGATTTTGGAATGTTTTCATGTATAGAATGAGGTGTACTGGAGAGGGGATCCAAGTCTAAACCTGAAATTCATTTATGTTTCACATATATTTTATACACACATCTTAAGGGTAATTTTTTTTTTTTTTGGCGTGATGAAGCAAAAAGAGCATTAAGGGAAAAGGAATCAAATATGCCAAGGCTTTGTGATAATGGAGGGGAGCTGGTAACAAAAGCTAAAGAGGTAAACTGGGGCTAGGTGATGACACTAAGCCAAGTTAAGAAATACTGACTGAGTCAGGTGCTGAGTTAGGTATCTTAACTATTTGGGATGCTAAGATGAGGAGGACTGTGGTCTGAGGCCAGCCTGGGCAGGGAGTTCACAAGATTTCCTGTCAATCAACAGCTGGGTGCAGTGTTGCACACTTGTCACCCCAGCTATGTCAGGAAGCATAAAATATTGTGACCAAGGCTAGCTTGGGCAAAAAGCGAGACTCAATCTCCAAAATAAGCAGAGGAAAAAGGCTAAAGGCACGGCTCAAGCAGTAGAGCACCTACTTAACAAGTGCTAAGTCCTGAGTTCAAACCTCAGTACCACTTAAAACAAAACAAAAACAAAACAAACACAAAAAAAGAAATAGAGACTGAGCTGGGGTGTAAGCTCAGGGCTATAGTAACTCCCTGGAATGCATATGGCCCTAGGCTCTATCCTAACACTATAAAACCCAAAACAAACAACAACACAACCAACCAACCAAAAAAAAAAAAATAGTAGAAAGTATTGACTGAAGAATTCAGAACAGAAAGATAGACAATAAACTACAGAGAACTTGACCCAAGAAAGGAAGTAACTGATAGAGATACTTGAGAAGGTGGGCACAGGTGGCAAGATTAGTTTGAGAGCAGGAAGGATATGAATTCCAGGAGCACAGGAGGAAACAGGTGAGACAGATAAGTATGTTTGGATAGTTGAAGGAAATAGAGGAGTTCTTGTGTGATGACTTCTATTTTCTTTGTAAAATAAAACAGGTACGGGGCACATCAGTTAAGAATGAGGAAGATGGCAGAGTGGGTTTTCTGAGGAAAAGCATGGTGAAGCGCTAAACAGACACTATGAAAATGAGAGGAAGGGTCGGGCACTGGTGGCTTAAGCCTGTAATCCTACCTACTTGGGAAGGTGAGATCAGGATCACAGCTTGAGGCCAGCCCAGGCAAACAGTTCGTGAGACCCCCATCTCCAAAATAACCAGAGCAAAATGGACTGAGGTGTGGCTCAAGCAGAGGGACTGCTTTGCAAGCATGAAATCCTGAGTTCAAACCCCAGTCCCACCAAAACAAACAAAACAAAAAAAACAAAAAAAAAAAAAAAAGGAAGAACTGACCAGGAGCAGAGAGAATGTGGGACAGCAGTGAAGGCCCAGCTGAGATTGGCGACCATGAATATGCCGTGGCACCAACCTGTAGGACTGATTTTTCCTAGCAGCACCCAGCAGTCTATAAGTGCAGAGAAGGCAGGAACATCGATCCATGGCTGGATGTAACAGAAGGAAAAACAGGGCAAAAGCTCATGACATTGGCAAGAAAGTTGTTGAAATGATGGCTCATGGTGTGTCTATGTTGGATGAGAAAGTCAGGAAAGGGTGAAAAGACAAGAGAGAAAACCAGGTTTGGAACCAGGGCCTAATTCCTAAGAATTTAAGAAGATATACAGTAGGACCAACTATGAGGGAGGTAGAAGGATAGGAGGTTGTGGTAAAAGAATAGAATGTGTGAATTAAAGATTTTAGAGGCAGAGCAAACCCTGGCAATAGGCCCAGAGTGGGGCCACATGGAAGACTAAAGTGGCATGGGCTGAAGTTCAAAGGAATTGAGGTAAAGAAAACAAGAGGCTGTAGTTTTAGATGAGACATCCACATTGGTCCTGAAGTCATCAACGACAATAACAAAACTAGGAAATGAAAATGTGTAAGGAATGTGAGATGAAGCCACGAGTTATGAAGCTGTATCGTTATGATATATAAAAGTATAAAACTTGACCAGACAGTATTGGCTCACATCATGGGTCTTTTATACCGAAATATTTTAACCTAAATTTGGTGAGGACTTAATATGTGATTGAATGTCCGAATATCAACCTCTGTGCTGGACCCAGCAGCTAATATTAAGGCAGAATCAAGGTGTCCTTACGAGACAGCATGCTTAAATGCATCATAGGCACCATATCCAGGTCTCTTGTACTTGTCATCAAAGACCCAGGCAGTCCTCTGAAACAGGCTTTCTAGCTGCTCATCCTTGGTGTATTCTAACACCTCAGCAACATGGCGGAGAATGCTATAAACCTAGAAACAGAATGAAGAGCTTAACCACTCTGAACTAAGAGATCTATAAAAAAATAGCTATTTTTACATTTTAGTAGACAGTGTGATTTGATTATAGTTATTTTTTTGATAACAAAAGCTCTCCAAGTTCTTTCTTATAGAGAAACATTTACTTCCTCACAATAATTAACTCAAATGGGTATAACAAGTAGAAATAGTACACAATTTAGGGTCCTGAGATCTGGATCAAGTCTTGACAATGGGACAAATTAACATTCTGAATTTGTTTTGTCATTTGTGAAAGGGAGTTACCAGTGTCTCTCTCTACTGCAAAGAGCTTTTGTGTAGGCACAAATACATATAAACACATTATAAATAGAAAATTGTTACATAAATGTATGCTATTACTCCATGATAGCATAGAACTAATTAAAATTTTAATATTCCTTTTGCTCTGTTATCACATAATTATCTTACAATTTTACCTACCTGTCAAACTATTTTTAACACCATAAAAATAATATAGGGTTTAGAGAAGAGAAAAAGCATCTTACAAGGTTTTCATGTTACACATGAAAATTGAGGACTAGAGGTGTGGCTCAAGTGGTAGAGTGCCTGCTTTGCAAGTGTTAAGCCCTGAGTTCAAACCCCAGTCCTGCCCCTTCCTCCACCCCACCAAAAAATCTTGTGGGGTGAGGGGGCACAAACAGTGTATACACATGTAATCCTCACTTTTCAGTCTCCCAAATAGTGAGACTATGGGTTCATGCCACTGTGCCAGGCAAAAAGTCATTAAACAATGTCCTAGGGAGACCAAAAAAAAAAAAAAAAAAAAAACAAAAAAAGAGGAAGTTTCCTAAAGCAGTGCTTTTCAAACTTGGTGGGACTTGAGATTCGACATTTCTAATATGCAATCAGGTAATACCAATGCTCCTATCCAAAGACTGCATTCTGAACGTTAAGGTCATATTAAAAATGGTTTTCATATGTCTAAACCACACTACATTTTACTTATGTGTAAACAAACACATAAAACAAATGGAGAAATCTGAATTACAATTTGATGGACCTTAGATCTCTAGTCTACCTCTTTTACTGGGGTTAACCAAGATTAAAATTTTTTTTCTTTTTCTCAAACATATTTACTTGGCATTTTATCTTGAGGACAAGAACATACATAGCAGAAAAGAATAAAATACATCAGTGAAAGGAAGAGAAACCAGAGATGACACCATTAAGAACTGAGGGCTGGGCTAGGTAGGGCATGGCATACTGATAGAGCACCTAACTAGCAAGCACCAAGCCCCAGTAGTGAAAAGGTTTTAAAAAAAAAAAAAAAAGAGGATCTGGAAGTGTGTGTATGTGTTGTAGCTTGGTAGTAGAATTTAGCATATGCAAGGCACTAGACTCAATCCCAAACATTAGCACACAAAAAAGCATAAACAAAAATACCGTACTAGTGACAGGTCCCTGGACTCCCAGACATTTTACAAACCCTTACTCATTTTCAACAAACAGTTTCTCTTCTTTGTTACCCTTATCCCAGAGAAGAGTTGGAAGACAAGAGCCATCTTGTTGGAACACAACACCATCCCAATCGGAAACAAACTAAGTTGCTGGGTGTGGTGACACAGGTCTGTAATCCCAGCTACTTGAAAGGATGAAGCAGGAGGATCACCTGATTCTACAAGTTTAAGATTTATTTGGGCAACAATAGTGAAACCCCATTTCAAAAAGGTAAAGAAGATAAGGCTGAGGAGATAGCTAGGTGATAGAGGACTTGCCTAGCATGCCAATTAATCAACCAAATAAAAAAAAAGAAATTTAAGCTGGCTGAAATCACAGTTAATTTAACTCAAAAAGCTAGTTAAAACGCAAACTTATAGTGCTGAGTTGGAACAACACATACTGATTACTTAATAAACACACAAATAGTGGACTACCCAGGTGCTGCTGGCTCACACTTGTAATCCTAGCTACTCAGAAGGCAGACATCAGGAGGACTGAGGTTTGGGGCCAGCCCGGGCAAGTATTTGGAGGCCCTATCTCGAGAATATCCAACACAACAAAAAAAGGTTGGTGAAGTGGCTCAAGGGGTAGAAGATCTGCCTAGCAAGCGTGAAGCCCTGAGTTTAAACCCCAGTACTGCCCCCCAAAAAAAAAAAAAAAAAAAAAAGCTAATCTGGGGAAAAACTTTTATTCAACTAAAACATTAACTTACAGTTTTGGATTTTGTGAATTTGTCTTCACATTTGATTGCTTCCTCTGGAGAGACTCTTCTTTTTGATAAGTCAATATATCCTGTATGAGAAAATTTTGAAAGGAAATTACCTATATTCAGGTGCCAGGATATTACTGTGTTTGGCAAGCTTACATTTATTCCCCACTACCATATGAACAAAATACTTCCATAAGAAATAAAAGACAAGAGATTTGTCTTCCCAAATGTGTTTTTATTATCAGGTAATTATAAACTCCCCAATACCTTGGAGGAGGGAAATTAATTTTTGAATTATCTAATTGAAAGCTAAATCTTTCCTTTCTCTACTTTGTCCTTCTCTGAGCTTCTGCAGAATGAGAATTTACTATGACTTGATTCAGTTTAAGAGTCAGAGGTCACACAAAAAAGGAAAACATTAAAAGTGACATCCACTGAATGAGTACCATCTCTGAGTGATGATGACAGTGCTTAAGCGTGTCACTGAACCCTCAGAACAATCCTGTAGGGTAGATCCTCTTTCCCAGATGCTTTAGCCTTTTAATCTGAAGAAACTAAGACCCAAGAAAGGTTAAGAAACTTAGAAAGTGTCAAGCATCCAGAACATAGCAGAAACCCACAAACCTATGCATGATTAGGACTTCAGCACAATGCTAAGCAGCAGTGGTAAGAGTATTTTTGCCTTCTTCTTCATATTGGAGGAAAATGTTGCCTTTTCCTAGACATCATTCATTAGATTAAGGAAATTCCTGTCTATTTCTACATTGCTGAACTTTTTTCCTTTTTAAATTATGAATGGGTATTGAGTTTTGTCAAATTTATTTTGCTTAAGTATAGTTTTCTCTCATATTGTTAATAAACATTGACTTTCACATTCTAAGCATTTCTTTCATTAAAAAAAAAAAACTACTATAAAACCTGCATAGGCCTATTTGTTTGTTTTATTGTAATTTTGGCTGTACTGGAGTTCTCTGAACTCACGGCTCCAGACTTGCTAAGCAGGCTCTCTACCACTTGAGCTACACCTCCAATCTTAGGCTTCTTTGTGAACGCAAATTTCCCTTTCACTTGGGTCAATACTAGAAATGGGATTGCTGGGATTGTACAGCCAAATTGTTTTCAAAACATGTAATATGTTACATTTTCTTGGGTAATGTGAAACTGTTCATGTTGGTTTTTTTAATTTTTCGAGATGAGGTCTGACTACGTTTCCCAGACTGGCTTCAAACTCCTATGCTCAAGAAATTCTCCTACATCAGCCTCTGGAGTAGCTGGGATTACACAAGTGCACACACTGCCTGTCTAGCTTTTTTCCCCCACAGCTGGGGTCACTGTTACTAACTTGCAATTTCCTACTAACCAATTATGTTCAACATCTTTCTGTTTATTTGCTATCCATTTTCTTTGGTGAACTATTCAAATCTTTGGCTCTTTTTAAAATAAGTAGTTTTTCAGATATTCTGGTTTGTCCTTTTATTCTATTAGTCCTTTCCAAAGAACCTAAGTTTTTAATACTTGATGAAATTCAATTTAATATTTTTCTCTTCATAGATTATTCTTTTGGTGTTGTATCTAAGAAACTATTACCCAACCAAAGACCACAAAGACTTATTCCTATGCTTTCTTCTTAGAAGTATTATAGTTTCAGATTTTACACTTAGGTCTATGCTTAATGTTAAATTGATGTTTCTATAAGGTCAGATTTATGAAGTATTTTTTTTTTTTTTTGCATATGGACATCCAACTGTCACAGCATCACTTTTAAAAAGACAATTCTTTCTCCATTCAGTTAATTCTGTATCTTCGTTGATAATCAACTGCCTAAGTGAGCATGCACATACAATTTTGAGAGTTAAATCAAACTGGTATTCCACTTTTCAGTTAAGAGTTAATATTATTCCACTGCATGTAAAATATATAGATTTACCATTTCCTGCCCTTTGTGTTTTAGTTGTCAAATGTATTATGTTTGCCTTAAACACTGTTCTGTTTTCTTAGAATCTGCATTTGTCTTTTTGGCATCCATTCACCAGAGAGCAACAGTTCCCCCTTATTCTCAGGGGATATGTTTCAAGACTTAACCGTGATGCTTAAAACTGTGGATAGTACAGAATCATGTCCCACATGATGACATCTTGGTCACCAACAGACTGCATATATGTAGGTGGTCCATTAAGACTGTAACTTAGGACAAAGAAATTGCCTAGCAACACATTTTTTAGAAACAAGGTCTCACTATGGAGCCAAATCTGTCCTGGAACTCACAATCCTCCTGCCTCAGTCCTGAGTGCTGGGATTACAGGGGTACACCACCTTGCTGTACCCCTTCTTAAGTGATGCATGACCGTGTATGTCTTTCCTACACATTAATAACTATGATTAAAGTGTTCTACCACTGAGCTAGAGCTGCAACCTATGATTTTTTTTTTCTTCTGAGACAGGGTCTTGCTATGACTCCTGGGCTCAAATAATCCTCCTGTCTTAGCCTCCTGAATGTAGGCATGTGCCACTGTACCTAGCCTATTTTCAGCTTTTTTTTTGGGGGGGGGGGTGGTACTGGTGTTTGAACTCAGGGCCTTGTGCTTGCTAAATAGGCATTCTACCACTTGTGCTATACCCCCAGCCCTATTTTCTGTATTTTTCATGCTCTGGCATTTGTGGCCTCAATGACTGGAGTGAGAATGCCCCTCCAAGGGCCTGCCATTTCTTAACAGGAGTTAAGCAATGTTGTGTGTGTGGAGCTCATATATTCTCAGCATAAGCCAATGTTTCTCCTGCCCTAAATTAACCCAGAAGGTACCAATTATTAGCAGTCCTTGTGTCCCAATGCTTGCCAAAGTCATTCAGAATGGCCAATTCTAAGTTGTTTATCCTGACCTCCCTCACTTTTCCTGAAGAAACCCTAATAAAAGCTCTTCCCCCTAGCTCCTCCCCGACATGAGAAATGTAATAAAAATCCTCCTGCTATGGCATTGGTTTGTCATTACTCAAGAATGTATTTGGCAATACATTCTTACTTTTTATTTATCGGAAAATGTGTTCATTTTGACTTTCATTGTTCAATATTACCTTTGGAAACACAATTCTCATCTGACTTTTTTTTCCTTTCAGTGGCTTGAAAGTTTAGTTCAATGCTCTGGCCTCTATTATTTCCAATAAGAACACCATAGTAATCGGTATCACCATTCTCCTGTATGTAACACGTTGGTTTCCTCTAGCTACTTTCAAGATTTTGTTTTTCCCTCAGTAATGTGGTGTCCCTAGATCTAGTTTTCTTTTTTTCACAGTAAGTTTTATTTTGCATTGTATCTGAGGCACTAATGAGAATAAAGGAAGAAATTAAAGATCAATTCTGTATTCAATTTTAAGAAGTCTCATAATAATGAAAACAAATTTTGAAAGTATGAAATGTCATATTTACAATACAGAAAATATACTATGGGGAGTTCCTAACAAAAGGTGCAATCTTTCAAATCTGAAGGCCCTAATCTACGTTGTTCTGCTATTTTCCCCAATTGCAACTAGAATTCTATGAACAAAACTAATAATAAGGGAAGTTTTGGGGGCAAATAAGGCTAAGAGGGATTGCGACACTGGCCTTGAGAAACAAGTACGCTGGTCTAATGTCCAACCAACATAATGATATCAAAGCTTGCAAGCCTAAATACTCACAGCTAAGATTTGGTCAAGGACACAATTCTCTTTAAGCTACAATTTCAAGATTACATATAAAATCATAGTTCTTCTGACAGCAAATTCATGCTAAGTATTTTAAGACAATTTTTAACTTTTGGTGAAGGAGTCAAAATAGTAATTAGGAATTTTTGTTTAGCTGGTTTTGCAGTACTGGGGTTTGAACTCAGGATCTTGAGCTTGCTAGGTGGGGGTTTTACAGCTTGAGCCACATTCCCAGCCTAATAATCAGGATTTTTAGAAATGAAAAATGATGTGCATTTGAGGTTAATAAAATGAATCAATGACCCAACTCTGTGTGGTCCCTAAATAATTACCTCTTCCCAGGCTGCCAGGATAAACAAATGAATTTAAAAAAATTAGAAGCTAACATACAGGAAGGTATTTTAAAAACTACAGACATCGAAAAAGGAAAAGGAGTGGCTGAAGTGGTAGAGCACCTGTCTAGCAAGATGAAGTCTTAAGTTCAAATGCCAATACTGCCCACTTCCCCACCGAAAAAAAGACCTTCAGATATGTTGTATTTCTTCAGAAGAGCTTTCTTTGAAATGTATACTTATATAAGCAAGGTAAGAAATACAGGAAAAACCAACCTAAAGACTGGTATTATAGTAATCAGTAGAGTTTATTTAATTAATCCTATTTAAAAAACCTTTTTTTTTTAAACTAGGGCTTGAACTCAGGGCCTGACACTTGCTAGGCAGGTGCTCTATCACTTGAGCTGCTTCGCCAACCCTTAATTCTATTATTTTAAAAACCTTCAACAAAAGGGCACTGAAGTTCTTCAGTTCATGCAAACATATTAGAATGCTATTGTTCACACACCTGCTGTTTTACAGCAGATACTAGTTTGCCAAGCTTCAGATGGCAAAATACTAAGTTGTGAATTTGGTACTGTTCAGTTAGATGGTTCTTTTTGCTCTGGGGACTCTGGTAGCATGTGTTGTTATGATCACCCTGTCACCCCTATTTGTTTTCCCCCACAGTTGAATCTACTAGGGTGGAACACACATGTCCTCAAGATACAAGGCCTAGCCGGATGCCAGTGGCTCATGACTTTAGTCCTAACTACTTGGGAGGCTGAGATTTGAGAGAGTAATGGTTCAGGTTGCCTGGGCAAATAGCACGAGATCCTATCTCCAAAAAATACTAGACCAAAATGGACTGGAGGTGTGGCTCAAGCAGCACAGCGAGTGCCTGCTTTGCAAATACAAGGCCTTGAATTCAAATCCCAGTCCCCCCTCCCGCTGACACGGCAAAAAAAAAAAAAAGCCTCCCACAAATCCACTGGATATCACAATGTTTGGTTTAATAAACTCTCTCATCAATTATATTGTTGGTTTCAGGTGCTGCTGGATTGCTCATTTCTTAACCTCTCTTTTTGCTTTGTTTCCATCTTTTCAACTCTCCTCCAATCTAGTATGCACATAGGCACTGTGACTAGTGACCTGAAGAAGACAGCCACCATCTATTGCAGTTGCTACAAATTTTCCAACTTTCAGAATAAATATTCCACACCAGTCAGTTTTGCCACTCACTATAATCTGGGTGGCTGAAAAGTACTTTTCTACCACAAGTCCTGAAATGTGGCCAAACACTTGATTCTACCAGTGGTGTCTTCTTGAACACTCAAGTTAAATCGAACACTTTGTAAGAGTTATCACTTTCATATTCTTGAGGAGAAAGGGAATTCCAGGAAGCCATTATACTGCTGGTAGCCAGTTCGAGAGGCAATTTTAATAGCATTTATCCTGCACCAAGGTTATGGGGCTACTTACGAATTTATGGATTTTTTCCTTTCAACAAATACAGGAAGCTTTTGGCTATTTCTGTTCTTCTGCCCTCTATTGGAATAGAACGTTTGATATTGAATATTTTTCACCCATATTTTCTATCCTTCGAATTGGTTACTTTTCAGTGAGTTACCTTCACTGAGCCATCTGTCATCTTTAACCTGTTGTTAGTCATCTGCAGTGACTACCTTCCTCCTTTCTGTATAGGTCAATTAAAAAAAAAGTTTAGCAATTTTGGATGTATCCTGAACATTATGAATAATATTTATATTCCTGTATGTCCCTCTTATGAATGCTGATGCAATTAGCTGTCTCAAAGACTCTCCAAGTGGGAAGCAACTGAAATCTTCAAAATTTTGTCTTTTTGGGCTGCTTGGTGGCCAAACTGTGTATTAGCAGTTCAGGGACTCAAAAAAGTTTGGGCAGAACCTATAAACAAATACAGACATTCTCCCTTTGTGGCTCTTTCTAATCCCAGTAACTACTGTCACTTCCCAACTTTCCAACTGCTGTGGCTGTCTAGTTTTTATTTTTTTGTTGTGGTACTAGAGTTTGAACTCAGGGCCTTGTGCTTGCCAGGCAGGTGTTCCACAACTTGAGCCATATGCCCAGCCCTTTCTACTGTGGGTACTTTTTGAATAGGGTCTCAACACTTATGCCCAGGTCAGCCTGGACTGCCATCTTCTTATTTATGCTTCCCGTCAACTTGGAGTGACAGGTGCACACCACAGCACTCAGTTTTTTTTTTTTTAACTGAGATGGGGTCTCGAGAATGTCTTACCCTAGCAGGCCTTGAGCCACGATCTTCCCGTTTTCTACCTCTGAGTAGCTAGGATTAAAAGCAGGAGCCACTGTACCCAGCTGTTGAGAACTGTTGTCTCTGGTTCTTAAGCCAGTAATACTGCAGATTTTCCACTAGAATCCCAGCTGCCCTGCTTGATCCTGTTTTCAGCATGTACTTAGGCAAAAAGCAGTTCCTTTCTTCCAAGTGTCTACTTGCCTTCAGTTTTGATTGCTTCTCATTGTCTTTAGGTAGTTGTTTTTCATGTGTGTTCATGATTTGCAGTTGTTATGGCTAAGAAAGACTGAATCTTTTTGTACCAGAAATGGATCCTCTCTACAGGCTCTTTTGTACTTTGTTTTTTCCTTATCCCACCCTGGAGATCTTTCCATATCAGAGTATTCAGATCTCATGCTATTTAAAAATGCAGATTCATTTTAATTACTATTTTTATTTAATCCTGTACAAATTCTGCTATAGAAATATTTTAATACATCTTTTTATTGTACTTATCAAAAATATATCTTTCCATCTTATTTTTTGATTGCAGCTGAAGATATGACTCCTTTCGTATATATCCTTTATATCGTATAAAAAGAAAAGGTAAGACACAATTCGAGGTCCTACTGGGACAGTGATGTAGTGGCTTATATTAATTTATGGGACAGCCTTACTCTTTTGGGTAGGCTACAAGTAAGTTATATCAAAACATCTGTTATAATCAATATGCTAAATGGTAGTCACTACCTAAAGGATAACGTAAGATGTTTAAGTGAATCATGTAAGACTATAATTAGAAAAAATGAAAATGTCAGCATGTATAAAATTGGTCACTTGCAGAAGTAGCAGTAAACTGGATGGTTGAGGAGATTTAGAAAAACAAGCCCAATCAAGGTCACTGATAATGCAGTTATTCAAGCAGAACAATAATTAGTTTCCTGAAACTAACACCTAATAAATTACAGTGAGATTACTGAAACCAAAATCTATTGAATAGTATCCAATACTGTTTAGGAAAAAAATGTGTTCACAACGGTGATGGTTTACTGGGGTCCAGGAAAGACACCCAGTAAGCAAAAAATGAATACTCATTCAGCACTGTCTGAAAAGACCTTACAATGTTTGTGGAGACACAAACATCCTAATTATCAGACAGACATAATATTGGATTTCAGATGCATGCACACAAAGCATGTTACTTCTTTAAACTTATATAAAATACTCCTAAAATCCATTTACTTTTGCCTCGTTTCCTTGTTAGACCAATAATATGACTTCTAATTTAGCTTCAATTAAAAAATTATCTAACATCCAAATGAATCAAATAAGATGACCAACATGGATGAATGAGTTAGTACTCTAGTTTACATATTTGTCTTTTCTGGGTTTGGTTATCATGAGTCAATTACCAAGATCCTCATAGACACTGGAGAAAAAGGTTCAAGTTCTTTACTAACCCTGCGCTGGGTATGGCGACTCAAGGCTGTAACTAGCCTCTCCAGAGGTGGAGATCAGGCGGATCAAGGTTCAAGGCCAGTCCAGGCAAAAAAGTTCATAAGACCTCATTCTCAAAATAAAACCAACCAACCAACAAACAAAAAAACCCAAAACCTTCCCCCCATTCTCAACTAATAAAAGCTGTGTCAATGCACACTTGTCACCTCAGCTAGATGGGAAGTGTAAATAGGTGTACCTGTTGGAACAACGTTGTATATAAAAGAATTTTGGGGGCCGAGGTCCTGGAGTTTGAACTCAAGAGCTTCACCCTTACTAGATGGGTGGACTACTACTTGAGCTGCATCCCTAGCCCTGCAAAAGAATTTAAGTATAAAAGGTTTTTTAAGTGCAGTAGACAATTTTTACTTTAAACCATTAAGTCTGAAAAACTTACATTTTTATAATTAGTTTTATAATTATGTAATAATTTTTACTTTTCACTTACCTTTTTCTTTGTCCACTCTAATAACTACTACACATTCATTCCTGCCAATTCGGATGAGTTTATTTATAGAACGAATACGTCTTCTAGATAATTCACTAAGAAGAATCATGCCTTCAATGTTGTTGTATTCCAGCAAGCTGACATAAGCCCCCATTTCAGCAATGGACCTTACATTCACCATCACTACATCTTCCACCTCAGGAAATTTGTGTTGATAAAATCTACAACTTAGACCCGGCATTCTGCAATTTAAACAAAAGAATCGAGTGTCTGGTTAAGGTTGAAATAAAGAAATGCCAATTTTTTATAATTTGCTCCTGAAAGAAAAGAAAAGATAGTTACTAGTTTTCTTATCTCTTTCAACTTCTCTGTTTTTTTTTTGGCAGCACTGGGGCTTGAGGTCAAGGCCTCACCTTTGCTAGGCAAGTGCTCACCACTTGAGCCACTCTGCCTTTTTTTGTGTTGACTTTTTTCAAGACAGGATCTCTCAAACTATTTGCCTGGGCTGACCTCAAACTTCCATCCTCCTGAGTAGCTAGGATTATAGGTGTGAGCCACTAGTGCCTGGCTCCTAAACTTCTTAAATGGCACTGGAAAACATTAAGAAACCAAGCTTTAATTTTTATTTTGCTCCACTTTTTTATAAGGCTTAGGTAATCCTCTGCCATCAGGTACAGAGGAATCGTAAAAAAATAATGAACATATCTATAAATTACTGCGAGATCTAAGGATTAAAGGATACCTCGAGAGTAAATACTACTGTAATACCATCACTTTAAACAGGGTGTGGTGATGTATTCCTGTAATCCCAACATTGTAGAGGCTGAGGCAAGAGGATTGCCAGTTTAAAGGTCAGCCTGAGCTACATAGTGAGACGCTGTCTCAAGACAAGACAAAACCACCTCCACAAACCACCATTTTAAGGAATATCAAATAATGGGTAGCATCACCGCTATTGTAATAGTATCGTAGTATTACCTATCAGCAAAACTAAGCCACTCTTTCTCCATGTCAGCTCAAACTGCAAATGCTACTACTCAGTGTGTAAGGGGAAGAGCCTTCTGAACATAAACCTTAAATTATGTACCAACTGATAAGCCCAATCTTTATTTTCTTTCTTTTTTTTAGTTGCTGGGGATTTAGAGTACAAACAAGGCAAGTACTCTACCACTGAGCTACATCCCTAGCACATTATCACCTATTATAGCCAAAATTATAGTACCCCATGTCAAGGGAATAAAAACTTACTAATCACAAAATATGAGGCTTAAATATTCCTCATTCCCATAATTTCCAGCTTCTATCATTCCCATTATTCACCAATATTTATTTATCAGTGCTAGGGAATGAACCCAGGGCCTCACACATACTGGGGAAGAACTCTACCTTTGTGCTATACCCCTAGTCCCTCTATTTTTTATTTTGTTGGATAGGTATACTTAATTTTGAGAATACAAACTTCCATTTCTATAGAATTTAAGTTTCTCTTAATCTCTATGCATGAAAGATATTTATTATTCCCTTTAAGTCATCCAACCTATAATCAGTACCAACCCTTTCATGACCAGAGCTGGAAATCGTAGCACAGACAGAAGTATATTTAAAAAAGGAAAACCTTAGGGATGGAGGTGTAGCTCAAATGATACAGCACTGGCCTAGCAAATCCAAGGCCCTAAGTTCAAACCCCAATACCACCAAAAAAAGGTGAAAATTCATTTAATAACTTATTTTTTCTGTTAATTAGGAAATAAGGCACCAATACTTGACCTTGGAAGTAGACCATTTACATTCACCATATCAAACACAGAAGCTCTGCTTCAGTGTAGTATGAGAATGACTGCCTGGCACCCAGTTATTCCACCTCCCACTGGGAAGATATATGAGGGACTTACACATCTTTCCATTACCTACAGGGTTCTATATAATTTGGCCAATGCCTATTACCACTCTCTTCCTGGTTCTCTCCATTTTGTAGATGAAGAACTTGTTCTTTCATGTTCTGATAGGTGGTAAGAGTCATGTTTTGAACTTATGAAGTTTGGGTTCAAACCTGTGCTCTTATAAAATAAGGATATGTTTTCCCTCAATATTATTGCTGTTATAGTTACAAACAGCTTACACAAAATATTATATTCAGTGCTGGGGGCATATGCTACAAATCAGTGCAAACTACTAGTGCTAATCTATTCTGTTTAGCAACAAAGTGCAACATACTTAGCAGAGATGTATTTCTCCCCCAGCTTGACAAAATAGGGACTTAGGAAACAAAGGGAAGTAGACTCTCAATGGCCAGAATTACCCATTAAGAAATAGCTGAGCTGGCTGTTTCATTTTAAACAGGATTTATGGGGGAGGGCAGCAACTGTTTTCAAATATCTGTATATAAAGTACTTGTGCTTGAAAACTAAAAAAAGACTTTCAAAATGGATATGAAGAATAAATGATGTCATGGACATGTGTGGAGCAGTTTTAGAGATTTAACACGTTAGCCACATTTACTTACCAAGTTTCTTCAAACACTGAAGGTGATGCTTTTGGGGATTAATTAGATGGTTAAAAAAACATAGGCAATAGAGTACGAGAATCCAGAAGGGAGATATTGGTACTACTTCTTTGTTTGCCTTTTTTTTTTTGGTGGTGGTGATTCTGGGGTTTGAACTTGAGCCACTCTGCCAGCTAATACTACTTAAGGCACAAGTCTCCTTGTAACATATAGAGTAAATAAAGGAATACTGCGATGGCATGTTAATCACTGTAAAGATAGAAAGTAGCCAGTAACTACCAGAGTCCATACCACAAGGAACCTGCATATTGGGTGTTAAGATTTTTGAACATGTTACCTTATGGAATGCTAGTAATGTTTTTTAAATAAACCAACCAACCAGCCAGGATCTGGTGGCTCAAGCCTATAATCCTAGGTACTTGGGAGGCTAAGATCAGGAGGATCAAAGTTTGAGGCCATCCCAGGGAACTAGTTCTGGAGACACCCCATCTCCAAAATAACCAGAACAAAATGGACTGCAAGTGTAGCTCAAGTGGTAGAGCACCTTGTTTGAAAGTGTGAAGCCCTGAGTTCAAATCCCAGTCCCACCAAAACAAATTTTTTCTCAGTCAGGAAAGCAGAAATCACAGCGGGCATCTACTCAGCCTCTATCATTTTCAAGTGTCAAGCCAGGCAAGAAGCCTTGTGAACAGTCCTATACCTGGGTTTCAGTCCTTGCTCTCCTAGTTAGCTGTGGTTACTTGGGAAAGGCATCCCTTAGAACTCTATTTTTTCATCTGTGCTATGTACCTCATAGGTTTGCTGAGGGTATCAAATAAAATAAAATACATAAAAATACATTTTGAAAAATGTAATGTCTATGCAAACATAGACATTAAGAGACAAAGGAAGCATTATTTTCATTTTATAAGAGACAAAGGAAGCATTATTTTCATTTTATAACTTAATTTGTTAAACTTTTTTTGTACAGGTCTACTATGTAGTAAAACACTATTGGAACAATAAGGATTCTTACCTAGAAAGTTTAGTGTGGGAAACAAACTAGTGAGAAAATAATTACAATAGGAACATTATGAAAGGAACACAGTAAAGGAATAAATTAACAGAGAATCAAGGAACAGAAATATTAAATGACTTTCAAGGGCAAATGCTTAATACATACTAAAGCAGGAGTTAAACCCAAGTCTGTTGACACTAAAGTTGAGTGTCCTTCACCCACGAAGCCTCATTATGTCAAAGTACAATACTTTTATGTGTTTTTGTTCTTTCTTTTTTTGGAGTCAGGGTCTTGCTATGTTGCTCAGACCTCAAATTCGGTTTTCTCCTGCCCCAGTCTCTGGAGTAGCTGAGGTTACATGTACACATTGCTGCACCTGGCTGTTACGTGTTCCGATGTTAAAAAAAAAAAAATCATCCACCTCTCAACCAAACTCCAAGATAATCTCAGATTCTTTGTATTGTCAGTAATTTTGCCACTACCAATGGTAAGTAAGGCTTTTTTTTTAAAGTCAGTACATGGTCAAGTCACCATAATGGATAAAGTTCACATTCCTTTCCAAAATAAAGTATTAGCGTTGGGAAAACTCTTATCCTGCTCCACTGCTTTCTGTAATGCTCGTTGTTCTTGAACTAGAGGGTGCCACTCAAAGCTTTTAAACAATTTCACTGTAGTTGAAATAGGAAGTACTGCCAAATCTCTACAAACATTACTGTGTATCAGCTACATCTTTTGAGAATCAGCGACTGTCACTGGCACTACACGAACTGAGAAAAGTAAACTTCTACATAAGTAACAAAGTTTTGAAAAAGTTTTTTCCTTAGTAACAACTCAATCGGGGGAAAAAAACCCAAGACCTCTCTGGCTCCTTCCTTTCTTCAAGAAGCAAAGTTTTTTTTCTTTAATGATAATTACAGTAGCAGTCTAAAGTTTGGAGATAAAGAGACCTCAGAATCTACACACGCATATAACTATTTAACACGCATTAAGTATTCCTTAATCTCAGTCTTTTAGTTCTTGATAATTACAAGACCCCAGTTTTATTCTCACTAGTGGCAAAATAAGACAAACTGACACTAACTGCAGTAAAAACCTCAGCAGCATGACTTAGTTTCAAGGGGTGGCTCATTCTCATTCTACAGAAATGCGCGACGCGAGCATCAATTTTAATGATCATATTAATGAACTATTCTTTGGACCCAGCTCTTTCCAATATGGTGGCCCTCCTACTGGTTTCTTGGAGAAGAGTCCGGTCTGGTTTTCACTGAGAACCAAAGGAAAATCTTGGTAGTACTGTTGGGGCGGAAGGAAAAATAAATTCCCGGCAAAAGCAAAGAGCTCAGATCCTGGGGCAGGAATGGGGTGTCAGGGCGTCCTCCCGAAACCGCCCCCCGCAAGCCTTCCTCTTTAAACATATCGAGGGCGCTGAAAATCCGCCTGGCCCACTTTCCTTCACGAGATTCCTCCGCTGGCACAACGATGGTTCGGACACACAGCGACACCGAGCCGGCGAGAAGGCCCGGGACGGAGCCAGCGGGAGGTGGCGGTGGTGTCCAGACACTTCCCGCGCAGGGACGGGAAAGGGAGGGAGTGCTAGCCCGGGCCTACCCTCTTTCGACCACTCCTGTTACTGGACACGAACTAAAGTGAGTTCTTGGGAAAACCGAGCTGCGGGATCAGTCACCTGAGGTATGTATGTGAATCCCGCACTAGGGTCCCACGCCGTGCTCTTTAATCCAAGCGATCAGACTTGATACACCCGCGCCGGCTGCCGAGCCTCCTCAGCGTGCGCTGCGCCCAACCCCACCGCGCATGCGGAACCACCTCGCACTGCGCAAGCGCCGACGGAAAAGGCCCGTCTTCATCACTGATCATAGAGTCTGGGTCCTCCGAGAACTAGGCCGCCTGGGCCATAGCAGGACCTAAAAAGGAGATATTCTCGCTCTTGATTTTGCTAAGTAATCTTCATGGCACGGAAAGTGGTAGGACTCATTCCTTATCCCTGAAGAATGAGTCCTCTCTCAAAGCTTTACTCAACCATGAGGTGGCGCTGTGACTGAAGACGAAAAGCGGAGGAGAAGGAGTGCAACCCTTTCTCCTCTCATCCAGCGCGTACAGCGACCTGCGCACACTGGAAGCCCGACCGGGCGGGGACTGGCGGGGGAGGATGTGGGGGGCGGAGCTGGGAAGCAAACCGGAATTTCGCGTGCGCGTGTATTAACATCCGGGCATCGCTGTTGTCCAGCCCTCCTCCCGCCTCTGTCATAACAGGAAGCGGAAGTAAAAAATGGGTATCCTTGCTGCCTCTTAGAAACATCAGGGGTCAGGTGACACAATCAGCTGACTAAGGTAAAGGAAGGCACTGTGGCGTACAGTACTGGAGCTGTTGCAGCCGCGATTGCCCGGCCGGGGACCCGAGCCGAACAATCATCGTCAGAATGTCGGGCAAAGACCGGATTGAAATCTTCCCCTCGCGAATGTAAGTACAAGAATGGGACGAGTGGCGCGTGTAGGTTCAGGAACGTCTCTCTGGAGCGCGATCACTGCACACCCTGGACCAGCAGCGATATTTCTGAGCTCTCCCCTGGGTTTTTTTGTGCGTCCAGGGCGAGGTTTCTTTCTGCCCCCTTACACGTTCTGAGGAACCAGATGGAGACAGCGGGCCCAGCCATAAGGAAAAGGCGCCTGCCCGCTGACTTTGGGGAGGTCCGCTGTCTTTACTCATTTAAAGGATGGAGTCATTCATTCCACACTCCCTTGGTGAGCCGCGACGGGTTTACGTAACTCAGCAGTCGCCATCTCTGCCCCCACAGAGCTCACTGTTCAGTGGCAAGACGGAAACGCCATGGAGGTTTGCTAACTGCTCAGAGAAGGGAATTTACTGTCATGGCAAGCATACAGAAGGGGTCTAAGTCAAAGTGGGAACAGTTGCCCTAGCATGGACATCGGATTTAGCCTTAGACTCCTTTACTCATCTTCCACGATCCCGTCAATTGGCACCTGCTGTGGGATGATATCCCTGAGTTTCTAACGATTTTCTTCTTTTCTGGTGGGACTGGGGTTTGAACTCAGGACTTTGCGCCTGCAAAGCAGCCGCTCTACCCCTTGAGCCACACCTCCAGTCCTATCCCTGCGTTTTGGAGCCACTCGTTTTGCACTATTACAATTTGCACTTTTTCAGACCTCTAATAATACCACTCATCACTGGAAAGTGGATGTTTTGGTTACTACATAGCGTTCTCTCCTGCCAGTCTGTGGGCTCTCACCAGGATGAGGGAACGTCTTGGTTTTTAATCTGTAGAAGGGCCATAAAAATTTTTCTTTGAATCCATCTCTTGGAATCTTCTCAGTTGAGGGATACTTTTTTCTTTTTGGCTTGACATTTTTGTCAGGAGAAATAATTCAGCACCATATAGATGTTTGGCCAGTTTGCAAAGAAAATTTTGAAGTTTTCTCACATGTATGTAACTTGTGGAGAATAAAGATGATTTGTACTCTCTTCCTTATCTTCTTTTGTATTTTGGCAGTGAAGAAGCAGAAAATCAGTTTTCAGTTGGGCATGTAGATCTTTTCATTGTGGTCCAGTTTTTGTGGAGGTGATGTGTTGTTTTTTCCTCATCCTGTTCTTTTTTCTCACAGAATCTAAGGACAATTAATGTAAAACATTAATTAATGTCAGGCTGGACGACAAACCTGACTCTGTAGCTCTTAATGAAAGAGTTTTTAACATTTGTTTTTACTTTCACCCTGCTGATTTTCTCATGGTTCTAGGCAAGAAGCAAGCTAGTTGTGGAGAAAGGCAATGCTTGTGAAATAGATAAAGATCAGAACTACCCTGGGATAACTGCAACATTCCCCATATGTAATGACTTCCCCAAACCTCTGCATTGAGAGATAGACACCAGATTCCAATATGGCTTCTAGTAGCTTACCATTAAATTCCCCCAGCTTACCATTAAATTGCCCAGGAGGGTGTAGCTCAGTGGCAGAGCTCTTGGCTAACATGTGTAAGGCCCTGAGTTCAATCCCCAGTACCACAAAGATAAAATAACATAAAATGCCTGCCCGAAAAAGCTCAAAGCTGCTAGAATTCAGTATTTGTTTTTGCTGACACCTGATTGAGCCCTTTCTCAGAGCATTTACTAAAAAGGGTCTACAATTCTGCGTATGTATCTCTTAAAACTCAGAATTGCCTCAAGGACCTGAGAGCCAGAATTGCCTCAAGGACCTGAGAGCCTTTCTTTGAAATGTAATCAGGAAGGTTAGGGTCTCTGTTTCCCAGTTGGTGTGGAAGGAAAGAATCCTAACTTCCATAATTGTTGGCTAGCAGACACACCTGACATAATCACATTCACACTGACCAACTTTTTGTCATTTTTCACTTCTTTACTACTTGAGGCCCACTCCCTTATGCTCTCTTTAAAATGCCTAGTCACCTCTGTACAAATCAGGAGCTCAGCTCTTATCCCTACTGTCAGTGGTTACTGAGTAAAATCTGTTTCCGCTGTTTTAACTAACATCTGGCTGTATTTAATCAGTAGGCAGAAAGTTAACATGTTTTTGTTTTTATTTTGGAACTTTTAGTTTGAGACACAGGTGAAAATGGACTTGTTTGGGCTTAGCAAGAAAAATGCTAGATTTGTGAAGGTTAAAACTGCTCTTTGAGAGTGCTTAGCGTGTTTGGGAGGAAAATCAGGTGCAGGAAGTAAATATTTTCCCCAAAGCCTGACAGCAGGTTCTTTGTCATGTAGTCAGATGTCTTTGATTCAGTAGAAAGGAAGCCATTGCCCTAGATGAAGGTCAAACTTTTTCTGTAGGGCTGAGTAGCTCCGATACATATAAAAGAACAAGTTTTAAAAGTCCTGGGTTAGAAAATGCAGTAGTGACTTTGGTTTCACCTATAGTCCTGTGAAATGTTGCTTTCACTTATTTTTGTTTCAGAGAAAACAAGTTTAGAGTGGAAGGAGACATGAAAGATTGGAGTTAACAGAAATTAGATAAATCCAGGTTCCTTCTATACAATAACTGCAAGTGCTTGGGCAGGTCACTCTTAAGAATCTCAATAACTGAAATTTTCCCATTCCATAGAAGTGCCATCATTTAGGAGGAGGAAATTTACATTAGCATGGTAAATTCAGTTTTAACAATCAGTTTTCCCATATACTTGCTGCAATCTGCAAATTTAGGATTTTACCTAAATTTGATCCAAGTCTTTGAGCTCCAATTAGGATATTTAGTGTCAACAATACAGAATGTTAAATGTACACATTGGGGTGGATAGCTCCTGCTCAGGCAGGAAACTGAACCAGCTTCACTGGATTAGGCCTCTGGTGAGGCCAGTCAGTGAAAAGTCAGCCACTGCTAACCACTTTTCAAAGAGAGAACTGTTCATCTGCTATAACATCTTGAAGGGAGGAAGTGTGACATATGGCTAGGGTACAGTGGGCCTAGATTTGTCAGGCAGGTCACTGGAATCAGAAATCTGGTTTAAGTCCTGCCATCACCTTTTCTTCACTGAGTGACTGTGAGAAAGTGGTTTTGCTTTTCTGGGACCCATTTTACTAATCTTTAAGTTAATGTCTAAAATCTCTTCTTTCTGAAGTATTGTCTCAGTCACTCAGCCCAATGGTAAAAGATTTCAGTATATATCTTTAAGAGTTTGATCAAATGGTTCATTCATATGTGCTATTTTGCAATTGATTATAATACCATCATATGAAAGTATATCCACTTAAACAAATTGCTGTTAAGTGTCCAGGTTGTATAAACTATTGTTGAATTATATTACTTAATCACTTTTTTCATTAATAAATTTTATCTGATATGTGGCAGTGAGAACAGAAATGTCAGTTTCTGCTATTGCTTGTTTAACTTTGGTACTAGGGCTTCTGATTGGGGAAAAATTGAAATGAGGTGAATTCATTACAAATTTAAGCTTGTCATTTAGGAGTCTAATATATGATATTTGTTACCTGCAGTCATTTACTAGTTAATGCACTGATATTAGGGCTTTGATTGACACCAAAATACTTTAATGGCACACTGCTAATATAAAACATAATAAATGGTTAATGATATAAAATGTAAAAAATAATTAGTGAAAAAGCAAGTTCATATTTTTCACCCAGCCCAAAGGAAACTGTTAGCAGTTTTTGTGGATCCTTTGTAGAACTATTTGCTGCATCTGTAGAAGCACATTAATTCCTTACTTTACATAAATAAGATAACATATACATATATATAAAGACATATATACCACATACATGGCTGTGTGGTGAACCATGATTTGCTTAACATTTAACTTGTTTCCTCCCTTTTGCTATTACAAATAAGGCTGGAGTACTCATCCTTACCTCGTACATGTTTTATATACAGGTGGCAATAAGTTTGTAGGATATACTCCTTGAAGTGGAATTTCTGGACTTGAAGGCAATTGCATCCCAAAATTTTGTTTGTTTGGTTGTGGTGCTGGAGATTGAACCCAGGGCTTCGCAAATGCTAACCAAGCACTCTACTATAGAGCTAAACCCTCAGCCCCCAAATTTTGATCATGTATTAGTAGATAGGTTTTTTTCCTTATATTTTTAATGGAAACTGAACCATTATTAAATATTATTTCAACTTACAAATCAAATATTAAATTATTTTGGCATTTTTTTTGTCAATTATTTTGGCATCTTAAAATAAGGCTCCTGATAATGTTTATTATGACTTAATAAATACTTATCCTATATATTGATTACAGAATTGTTTCTTTTGTAAGTAAACTTCTCATTTATGGAACACTGATAGTAGAAATCTGTAGTATTGAGAAAATGGCCAAACTTGTCAGTTACAAATGCTGTATTTTCTCATTCTACATCAAAAGTCTAAAGCACTCAGGAAACAGACACAGGAGGATTGCAAGTTTGAGATCAGCCTGGGCTACAAGTGAAACTATGTCTTAAGAAAACCAAAGACAAACCTGCGCTAGGGCTCACGCCTGTAATTCTAGTTACTTGGGAGGCTGAGATCAGGAGGATCGCAGTTCAAGGCCAGCACAGGCAAATAGTTTTTGAGATCCCCCATCTCCAAAATATAACTATAGCAAAAATGGACTGGAGGTGTGACCCACATACTACAGTGCTTGCTTTACAAGCACGAAGCCAGCCCTGAGTTCAAACTCTAGTTCCATGGGGGAAAAAAAAAAGAATAAAAGGGTAATTTATTGTATTTTTGTGTCTTTTAAACAGTGACCAATATGTGTCTTTGTTTATATAGGGCACAGACCATCATGAAGGCTCGTTTAAAAGGAGCACAGACAGGTCGAAACCTCCTGAAGAAAAAGTCCGATGCCTTAACTCTTCGATTTCGACAAATCCTAAAGAAGATAATAGAGGTAGAATGAACTTTGCTTATGACAGTATTTATTTTATAAATATCGAAGGAAAATTCAGTATGACTCTTGGCCTTTAAATTTTTTCCTTCCTCTCTCTTTCCCTCCCTTGGGTATTTTGAGACAGTCTCATTTTTGTAGCCCAGGCTGGCCTTGAACTTGAGATCCTTCTGCCTTAGTCTCCCAAGTGCTGGGATTACAGGCATGTACCCACTGTGCTGGCTCAGGGTCTGTCTATCTGTCTGTCTCTCCCTCCCTCTCTCTCCTAGGAATTGAACTCAGTGCCTTATGCAAGCTAGGCAGGTGCTTTACCACTTGAACCATGCCCCCAGCCCTTTTGTATGTCTCTCTTTGCCATGGCTGCTGGCCTTGAACTATTTTTCTTTTTGCAGTACTGGGGCGTGAACTCAGGGCCTTCACCTTGAGCCACTCTGACAGCCCTTTTTGTGATGTGTATTTTCAAGATAGAGTCTTTTGAACTATTTGGCCTCAAACTCTTGATCCTCTTGTGTCTGCTTCCCAGGTAGCTGGGACCATGCCTAGCTAGTCTTTTTCTTTACATAGCTTCTGAGTTATATATGAGGCCTAAATAGATTAGGAAAAGATTCTATTTTATTTTGTAACTTTATAGGGTTTTTGTTAGTTTGTTTTGTTTTTTTTAATTAAAACAAAAAGGTTTTGGAAATAGAATCTCGCTGTGTTACCCAGGCTGGCCTTGAGCTCCTGGGCTCCTTTTTCAGCCTTCTTAGTAATTGGGACTATAGGTGCATGCTATCACACCTGGTTTATAGTTTGTTTTTTAAAAAACTTTCCCTTGAATATGTCTGGATTTTTTTTGGGGGGTGGGGGAGAATGATGTAAGGTAAGTGGATGCATAGTTAAATGGTCTCTTGATTGTACTAAATGCCCATATAGACCTGGGCTTATTTCTGAATCCTGTATTACTTATCTGCCTAATACCAAACATATTCCCTTATTGTGGCATTAAATTTTTAATACCTGGTAAGTCAATTCCTTACCAACCCAACCCAGTTTTTCTTCTTTTACTGGATATTCTCAAGCATTATATTTTCTGACTGCGCTTTAGAATTAGTATGTCATTCAGAGTTTGACTGTAACTGCAATGAATTTAAGAGATTAATTTGAGCAATTAGCTTGTACTCATATAGGAATAAGATAGGCTCCTCATTAAAGATTCAGTGTTGTAATTACTACTTTAAGGACCTGAGAACCTTTCTTTGAAATGTAATCATCAGGAAGGATAGGATATCTAATTCCCAGTGTGAAAAGATAGAGTTCTTTCATAATTGCCAGCTAGCAGACAGGCCTGACGTAAGCACATTTGCACATTTTTACTTCTTGGCTACTTGAGGCCCACACCCTCATTCGTTCTTTTAAAATGCCTAGTTACCCCTGTACAAATCAGAATGGAGCTCAGTTCTTTCTCCTACTGTCTGGTTACTGAATGAAATCTGTTTCCGCTGTTTTAAGTAATGTCTGGCTGTATTTAATCAATAGGCAGAAAGTTAACATGTTTTTGTTTTTATTTTGGAACTTTTAGGTTTATCATTAAAATGGATACTACACAGCAAGCATAAAATACTGATGGTTATTAAAGGACTTGAATTGTCATATGATTTTCCCTATAAAAATCTTGGTTGGTTTATGCTTTTGCAGACTAAAATGTTGATGGGTGAAGTGATGAGAGAAGCTGCCTTTTCACTAGCTGAGGCCAAGTTCACAGCAGGGGACTTCAGGTAATGTGTTTTTAAAAAACTGCTTTTAAGTTCATAATTTCATTAAAAACCATTTTAATTGGGCTGGGGATATGGCTTAAGTGGTAGAGCACTTGACTCGCAAGCTTGAGGCCCTGAGTTTAAACCCCAGCACTGCCCAAAAAAAAAACCAAACTGAAAAAACATAAACAAACCCACATAAAAGTGTTTTAATTACAAAATATATAAGCATTAAAGACAAATGACATAGTAATAAGAAGAACATTTAATCCTATTACTTGAACACCACTGTCTTATTAACATCCACATAGTTGCAGGCGCAGGATTTAAAAATCCATTTTCATTTAACTTTATTTCCTAAACACTTTGCTTTGTTTCACATGGTTGTGTAATCTTTCTCAAGATGTACTAGTAACCTTTTCTCCTAATGCTAAATCTTGGGGTTGATTTTCAGGTTTTTGGACTATTAGGGAATGAACATCTTCATTCATACATATATTTTTGTTTCCGTTGAAATTTTGAGAATGGAATCCATGATTTAACGGGCAGAAGCTTTATGGCTTCTGTATCAGTATACGCCTTACAAAGCACACACATGGTTAGCAGATAGGCTGTGTCAATTTATTCACTAGTGATTCTCCAAATAATCCTGTGAGGTAGAAAAGCATTGTTAACTCTGTTTAAGTGAGATGTGTCCCTGAAGTCACCTGGCTAGTTAGGAACAGAAGTGGGAGTAGTTTTCAGGATTTTTGATTTTTGATCTAGTTTTCTAGATTAAAAATCAAAGCCATGAGGCTTCCTTATTGTAGGAATTTTCCCTGATGGGAGGCCTTCAAGCAGGAGGGCCATGAGGCCAGCTGAAATGGTGAACATTAGGTTTTGCCAGTGCTGATAGGATAATGGCTTGCTTTGACTTTTCTAGCAGAGGGAGGAAATCAGTAGTGTTTAAGTGGTATTTGAGTGTGTTTTAGGGTGGTTATGGGGAAAATACTTTATTTTATAGTAAAGTAAATTTTATGGGTAGTCAGATGAAGCCAGAAGGAAGTTAGGGTAAAGGAATTTGAACACCAGCTTAACCAACTGCATAGTAAACTTAAAAGGAAGTAAAGTTTCCTCCATATTTACAGTAGCCAAATAAGAACCCCTAAAGTCACATCCATGCACTGACTGAAAACACAAGAAATCCATGGACTTTAAAATCATTGTTGTTCACAACAATAAAAAACAAGAACAAAAACGTGTTTTCTTAAGGCCCATGTTCATTTGCTGCTCTGTGAGGCCCTCCTCTGGCAGCAATGATTTTTCTCCTTTTCTGAAAAAAGGACAATTACCAAAACATACTTAGTTACGATACCTTACTTTTGGTCTAATTTGATGTTGAAACTATCCAGTGGTCCCTATAGGTTTATTTCTAAAAGGACAACTAAATAAAAGCTTTTTTTCCCCTGCAGCACCACAATTATCCAAAATGTAAATAAAGCCCAAGTGAAGATTCGAGCGAAGAAAGATAATGTAGCAGGTAACTTACCAACCCTTTAGAATGGTGGAGGAGAAAAGAAGACATTTTAAAATTGACCACTTATAAGACATTATTTATACAATGGTGTCTTGATGTCATGGTTTCTCTCTTCTACTTACAACAACTTGATTGACTTTGCATGTTAAAACCATTAACAACCAGGTCCTTATTATTCAGGATAATTTGAGTTTTGAATAGCAATGAACACTTCAGAAGGCAGGTTCTTTAATTCATTAATTGAAACCATTTATAATGCCAGACTTAATCTCTTGACTTTTGAATATTTGCTGAAAAAAAGAAACTTAGGAAACACTAATTAAGAAATAGTACTTTGGTGGGGTATGGTGGTGCATGCCTTTAATAACAGCACTGGGGACACATAGGCAGGAGGATTTCAAGTTCAAGGCCAGCCTGGGCTACACAGTGAGTTCCTGGATAGCCTGGTCTGAATAGCCAAGCCATCTCAAAAAAATCTAAAAAAACAAACAAAAAAAGGTGTATCAAGTCCAGGTTTGTGAATCCATGTATGCATCTTCATTTAACAGGTGTTACCTTGCCAGTATTTGAACATTACCATGAAGGAACTGACAGTAAGTATGAAACTTCTCATGTTAGCGTGTGTTTCTGGGATCTTGTTTCCTGTTTAAAAACCTTGTTCTGGAAAATCGTGCTTGTCAGACCTTAGAGTTCAGAGGCCTCAATACTTGATCAGTTAATCAAAAAGATCCTTTGTAGCCAGGTGCGGGTGGATCACGCCAGTAATCCTAGCTACTTGGGAGCTGAGATGGTGGGGGGGAATCATGGTTCAAGGCCAGCCCTGGCAAATAATTCTCGAGACCCCCTCATCTCCAAAATAACAGAGCAAATGAACTGCAGGCATGGCTCAAAGCAGTACTGCTTTGCAAGTATGAAGCCCTGAGTTTGAACCTCAGCCCCACCAAAGGAAAAAAAAGATCCATTGTCAGGAAGTCCTAAAACACTGTGCTGATCTTAAAATACTTTAACTTAGAAACATATCATTGTATAGTCATTAGCCATTTTAAAAATATGAGGCCTTTTCTTTGATTATGAATTTATGGATTAGATTGCTGTGTTGTCTTTTTGCCTACACTAAACTCACAATGCATTGTTTACAATTTCCAGTTTATAAAAAAGAATTTCAGTTTTGTCTTTTTCAAGTAGAATGATATTACATGTGATGATACAATTTGAATGCTGAACAGTTTTAGATTTTTATAATGCATTCCCAAATTTTGTAGTTGTTTCATTCATTCCATCTCTAATTTGGCAGCATTTTAAAGATAGTAACACCTGTTTATTAGTCTTCTCAAAGTAATGAACTTTTCTCATAGAAACAGTATTCTTTCTTTTGGCACTCACATCCAACTGGTTCATGTAATAGTTAATTAAATCACTTAGACTATTAAGTGTGGCTCATATGAAGAAATAGAATATTCTAGAAGGTCATCTCTAAACAGAGAGTATTACTGTATTAATAGGCACCAGGCAGTATAGTTTCCTGAGGGAGTCGGGGCAATAGCTAGTCCAGCAAGCTAGTGAAGTGAAGGCTGGCTGAAAGGGCTGGGGATGTAGCTCAGTGATAGAAGCTTGCCTATAGGGCATGCGTTAGAGGTTCCATCCCCAGCACTGCAACAAACAAACAAACAAAAGGCTTCTCCTCTAGTTATAGTTAGACTAGTATCCTTGTGGAAAACTTTATTTAGCAGCACACTCCTACAGTGACTGGGAAGTGAAATGGACACTTTTGTTTGCATTTAATAGGAGTTAGTGAATTTCTCTTTCCATGCTTGGTATTTTTCTGAATTACCTTCCTTTTGGGAAATCCACAGAAGATTATTTACTCTAACTACAAATGTTGTCTAACTGGTTCTTTCAGGTTATGAACTGACTGGTTTAGCCAGAGGTGGAGAACAGTTGGCTAAATTAAAGAGGAATTACGCTAAAGCAGTGGAACTACTGGTGGAACTAGCTTCGCTGCAGGTAAGTAGCAGGAGCGCTAAGCACTGCTACACTTTAGCAGTTTCTAAGAGTCAAAGGGAGGCGTTTAGCGCATGCTGCACTTCAATTCTGCTTTTGTGTGAAACCTTATATTCTGATTTCTGAAATGGTGACTTCTGCACAGTTGTCCCTACTTTTTATTATTAACAAAATGTATGTGTAGTCAGTTTTATTCTTTGCTAGGCTAGTTTTAAATGCAAATATAACATGGTTTGTGCATGAAAGCCATTTTTAGCGAGTTAATATATATCTAGGTTATTAGTGAATGATTCTCTGAGTCCGAAGTAAGCAAATCATAATAGCACAAAGCTGTATGGAAATCTCATACAGATTTTGTGTTTTAAGTGCTGATATGAAGACGTCTTTTAGTTTCCCAAATGTTCTCTACAACATTTCTGCGGTGTGTGTGGAGCCATGCAAACAAGGAATGATCAGGAAGGCTTTGTGCTTACGTTATTCATTTGTCCTCCTGTTTAGACTTCCTTTGTTACTCTGGATGAAGCTATTAAGATAACCAACAGGCGTGTAAATGCCATTGAACATGGTGAGTCACAGCTGCGGTGAGGCACTTTGTTCATTTGCTTGTCTGTCCTCCCCACTTGTTAGGCAACTGCTAAGACTCAGGCACTGAGTAAGACATTGCCCCTGCCTAGTGTGATGAGAGACGTGCTAGTAGTTTAAAAAGTGTAAAGAAGTGACACGTGTGTGACTTGGGGAGTTACAAAAGACAGTGGTGAGTTAAAGATTATGGAATGTCAAGTTCATTTCTGGTCATTCATGAAAGAGTAGAAACTATTTCCCAAGACCCTTAGTGTTTTCTTTAGTTCATTCTAATGGTTGAACGACACATCTTTTTGAATACGTTAAGTACTCTGTTGAATTATATATCTTTTTGAATACACTAAATACTCTATCTCCATTAAGCCATTTTCTAAAAGTAAAATTTTGCATTTGATACATTTATTTTACATCTTTCTTATTTCATTATTTTAAAAACATTACTACATAGTGTTAACGTGGTGTTCACAATACTTTTTGCTTAAGAAACATAGTTTCCATTACATGATTTGCTGGGTGCTGCTGGCTCACGCCCATAATCCTAGCTACTCAGGAGGATCGTGGTTCAAACCCATCCTGGGCAAATAGTTCATGAGCCCCTATCTCAAAAATACCCAACACAAAATAGGGCTGGTATAGTGGCTCAAGCAGTAGAGCACCTGCTTAGCAAATATGAGGCCCTGAGTTCAAACCCCAGTACTGCTCCACCCTCCCACCCCCAAAATCTACTCAATTTTAGAGGAAGAAAGGAGAAAAATTTGAAGCAAAGAAATATCTTTGGTTGGGACTCTATTAGGAAAGAAAGTTACCTCGTTTTAAAAAAAAATTCATGAACACCTTTTGTTTTGCCATGCTGGGGATCAAATCCAGGGCCTTGCATATACTAGGCAAGCAGTCTACCACAGAGCTACATCCACAATCCAGAAACACATTTCTTGACTGCTTGCTAGTGTCAGGTCTTGTTCATAGAACTACAGACAGTTCACATTCTTGAAGCAGAATAGGCAGATCCCATGTAAAGCAAAATACAGCATTCTCTCTGCTCATTCTTTTAACTGTGGGAATCTATTTTATTTTAAAATATCATTTGTGGTTCCGTGTTATTCATTTATATTCATTATATTCAGTGTTTATAATGCCAACAGAATACATACCAAAATATCGTAATTATCTTTGGGTGGTTGGATTATACTGTTTCAATTTTTTATGTGTTTTTATTTTCTAAGTTCTCTGCATTTAATGTACATCAATTCTAAAATTAGAAAAAAATTAACTATTATACAAATGAACACTGGTAATTTTTTAAAAAGGGGCTTTGAAATTCTCATGTATGTATTTTTTTAAACTCTAGTCATCATTCCGCGGATTGAACGTACCCTTGCTTACATCATCACAGAGCTGGATGAAAGAGAGCGAGAAGAGTTCTACAGGTTTGTTGAAATTGGCAGTTACTGATTTTTTTGTTTTGTTTTGCATATTCCAAAGGCACAATTTGCTGAGTGACTAGTTGGCTTATATTCTTCAGGATTAGCCCAGCTTGTATTTTTTCTGATAAGAAGTAAAATACACCAGGCATAGTGGCTACAACTGTTAAGTAATCCCAGCACTCAGGAGGCTGAGTAAGTGGATCATGAGTTTGAGGCTACAAAGCAAAACCCTGTGTCAAAAAAAAAAAATTTAAATTGTTTTGGAGATGCCATGTTTTAGCTATATGCAAAACATCTTTACAGCCTTTGTCAATACAGTAGTCCCTTCTTACCTGTGGTTTTGCTTTCTCTAGTTTCCATTACCTGTGATCAGCTGTACTCCACAAAAATATTAAATGGAAAATTCCAGAAATTTTAGGTTCTCAATCTCATGCTGTTCTGAGTAGCATAATAAGATCTCACTGTCCCACTCCGTCAGGTGAATCATCCTTCTGTCCAGCATATCCACACTGTATATGCTACCGGGTTGGCAGTCACATAGTGTCCATTTCAGTTCACTGTCATAGTACTGCAGTGCTGTGTTCACAAATGGCTCACTTTATTTAATGCCCCAAAGCATTAAGTATAGAGATGCTGGCAGTTCAGACATGTCAAACAGAAACCATTTCCTTTAAGGGAAACTCCTATTGACTTGATAGGACAAAAAATTGTTTTTTAATTTCTTAAGGTACCTAATTTGCAAGTTAAACTTTATCAAAGGTATGTATGTATATTAATTCACAGTTGGTGTAATGCAGACACAGATGTGAAACTCAGATACAAAAGGGTGACTGTTTAGAAAAAACAGTATTCAAAGGTTTTAATACTATCTGTGATTTTAGACATCTGCAGGTCTTGGAATATATATCCTGTGGGTATCGGGACTACTATATTGCCAAAGGCTGTGGAGATGTTTGGATATATCTAAAACATGGCACCTTCAAAAATTTAGGCCTTTTAGAGAAACTATTGAGACTTCATTGGTTACAATGAAACTGATTCAGATTGGGTGTTTCCTGTATAAAATTTGAGATAAGAAACTGGAATTAATCAGTCAGCAAGTAGTTATAGGTATTGCATGTTGAATAAGTACAGGAGATGGTATAAAATTCTTGGGGTATTACCAAATAGTATAAATCACACCATCAGAGAATTAGCAGCATGGAGAGAAATGCATGTCCATGAGTTGGTTATGAAGATGTAGAGTCAGTAGGAATACTAAATTGGGTTCAGAGAAGTGAAGGGCTAGGTGAGAGCAGGAATGTTTTGAGTAGACCTACTGGTCTTAGACCTTGAATAGCACGAGTAGGATGTATAATCTCCATTATTAAATCACACAGTTTCTGTCCTTCATTGACACTCAGGGATATGATCACCTAAAATTTTAATGTCTGAATGCTTAAAATCTATTCCATTAGGGAATGGATTTCAAATTTTATTTAACCTGGGATAGGACTTCTGAAATTAGTTATTAACTTAAACTAATACATTGTACCTCAAATATTTTTTGAAGGGTTATTACTGAAGTTGAAATTAATAGTATCAAATTTTCTAGTTTTCCATGTTGATTGTCCTTGCTACAAAACTAGAAGAAATCAAATTTAGTTAGTGCTGAAATAGCATTCAGAAGATTTCTCCTCTTATCTTGCAGGTTAAAGAAAATACAGGAGAAGAAAAAGATTTTAAAGGAAAAGTCTGAGAAGGACTTGGAGCAGCGGAGAGCAGCTGGAGAGGTGACGGAGCCTGCAAACCTTCTGGCTGAAGAGAAGGACGAGGATCTTCTGTTTGAATAATCTCGCCTGTTGTGCTTCTTTGGAAACCCCCAACACTGGCTCCATTTAACTCAATTTGTAGATTTGGTATGTGTGGCTATTTATTTTTTTGGCCTAAGAATTTCACTGGCTGTAAAATTTACCTGGATGTCCTGTGGGATTACTTTTGCAGAATTATAGTTCAGAAACCATTTATCACAGTTGAATGAGATTTGTAAAACCTGTCCAGTAATTTACAGAATTTATTCTGCAGAAGTGTCACACTATTCCATTTATAGCTGTTTCACATGATCTGTTTAAAAGCATTTTAGGAAATGCCCCTTAGGAGACATCAGAGGTGTCAGGCCAACTACTGTGGAGCAGCCTTCATTCCTACCCACCTGCAGGCCTTGGCACTGTTGTTTGAGACTGCTGCAGCCATCCTGTGTTACCATGGTACTTCTCTCCTCAAGCTTTATGAAACCCTTCACCTATTTTTCCTTGCATGACAGGTCTGTCTGTCATGGGAACAGTTCTGCCAATTTAATTGTAACTATGTTATAAACAGTAAAATGATTTAAAAAATGAGTCATTTCTATTTTTAATTAACTGCTAAGAAGAGTTATGTTCTTATGCTCAGATCAGTAACCCATATTGTAGACCTGTAGGAAACAGCCCCCTTTTTTTAAAATCCCCTCTCTATATTAGTGTTTTACCAAAAGGCTTGCTTTGAGACAGTTACTGCATTTTTGGCTACTAATAAATGATTGCCAAGAGCTAAGCGGACTTTGTAATTATTCTCACCTAATCTAAGAAAAATACTAATTCCCATTTTGGAGTAATAGGTAACTTTTTACTAGTTCATAAGTAATAACAGCTTGCTTTCATGTGTGAAGATGAGACACTTGAATGGACATATCAGGTGGTGGCTGAGGGTTTCAGTAGTGCTTGACTTGGTGAATTGATTATCCACAATTATTCAGTTTTTCTTGCAACCAATTCCAGGCATTCTCATGACTGGCCATGGAATAGTTCTTAGTTAGGAAACTATGACACTAGCATGACTGTATCATAATCAGTTGAAATCACAGTCTAGGATTTTAAAATACTAAATGATTTTGCAAACATTGAACACTTGCTAAAATATAATAGACCGTGGTTATTATGTGTTACTGTTTTATTTATATCATCACAATAAATATAAAAGTTTTTTTGCTCTTTTTGGTGGTGCCTGGGATTGAACCCAGGACCTCATGCATGCTAGGCAAGTGCTCTACCACTAAGCTACATCCCCAGTCTAAAAGTATGTATTTTTGCCTATCTCATGTAGGAAAAATTTGAGCCACAGGGAGCCTGACTAATTTTGGTCTTAAATTCAAGTAGTCTGCCTTTATAGTTTTTATACCTTTAACTACATCGTAGCACTCTTTCTGCTTCCCTATATTTAACAACATCAGATATTTAAAGGTAAGATATAGAGCCTATCCTAGAGAAGCTGATTTGTAGGAAACCTGTTGTTGCTAAAAGAAAAAATTTCAGGTTCAGTGTACATTCAGTCATGATTGGAAAACTAACAACTGAGTTTACAAGTCTTTTAAAAGTATGTAACACTGAACTGTTCAACACCTGGTAAGGTGTAAATTCTACCCAGCTATTTTGCAGATGGGGAAACGGAGGCTTAGATAGGTGAAACAGCATAGCTGGAATGCAACCCAAGTAAATCTTGGCTTGATGTGGTGTTTAAGTACTATGTACCACTTTTCTAGGAGGCAAAAACTAGTTCAAAGATGGGAGAAGGAAGCCATATTATTTAGTGAATTTTCATTTGGGTAAATTCAATTCCACCATAAAGCATCAACAAAGGAACTTAGCTTTCTCATGTGGATTCAAGCTCTCGTATTTATTGGCCTTGTTTAAGCTGCCTTGTTTAAACTTGTAAAACTGCAGGTAATTTTATGGTTTAGTATTTGTTAAAGAAAAAATAATGACTAGTTTGTTGGGTGGAGTTGGAGTGATCTGATCCAAAGGGGATGGATCAGGAGTAGGGATACAAAGCAGGTATGTATATGAATTGTGCCTTTTCGGAGACACAGGGTGTTCTAGTAGACAAAGGAACTTAGGTATGTTACATATTTGTGGACAACTTGGATACTACCCTTAGTGTTCTCAAATTCCAAGCTGCACTTAAGGAAAAAAAAATTTTTTTTTGTGGTACTAGGGTTTGAACTCAGGGCCTCTAGCTTGCTAGATAGACACTACCACTTGAGCCATTCCACCAGCCCTTTTCTGTGTTGGGTATTTTTAAGATAGGGTCAAAAGAACTGTTTTGCCCATGCTGGCATCAAACCATGATCCACCTTTGCCTCCTGAGTAGCCAGGATTATAGGCGTGAGCCATCAGTGCCCAGCTACACTTATGGTAAATTTGCCTGGGTATTACATACCTGCTTCTACCAAAGTTTCAGTTCACAGCCTTAATCTGTCCATCTTTAATAGTTACTTGTCTGTTTCAACAAAAAAGGAAACAGAAACACTTATATCTGTGCTAACGAGTGAGGCTCTTCCACCGCATACAACAAAAGTAATTTGTGTTCCACCCAGGGCTTCCAGTGGTCTTGCTTCTGTCATACACTTGGAAGAGGGCAGTGGTCTTTATATGTGTGGAAACCCTGAATGGCAATGGATACAAACACAGCAAGAGGAAATATTCAGTGGGTTGTTAAATTTGAAACATAATTTTAAGTTTTTATTTTTACAATACAGTGTGCAGTATGACATCTCAAAATAATAGAGTGCAGATACAGGATAAGAGTACAAAGGGGGATTAACAACAGACATCAGAAAGGTTACCTTTACTAAGGCTAAATCCCTGGTTTATATTCCACACACATTCACAAAATTACATTCAAATCATTATCAGTACTTACTCCTTAGGCTACAAGAAAAGGAAAAAATCCAGACATTAGATTTTCATAGAAAGCAAATCTGGATTAGTCTAAATACTAAGGTCCTTCCATTTGTTCCAACTTAAGAAAATTTAGGAAATGAAGAGATCTCCTTGCTTGGATTTCCTAAGTACATTTCATTAGCCATTGGTATCATTTCTGTAAGTGGTTAAGACCTCCCTGACACTGCAATTTCCACAGAGGGACAGGAAATGGAACTGGCCAGAGTGGCTGTGCAACTACAGGTAGAGCAAAGCTTTCCCCATATTCTTTTGAGGAAACCAGCACAACTCCATTTTCACTTTGTTAAGGAACTATGTTGAATATCAGTACATTTATAGCACTAGGATTTAGAAAAGACCAGGACATATTCCTCTACTATTGCTGATGAGGAAGGAAAGAACTATAAGACCTCACTGACCCTCAAAGTATCAAGAGTTCCTAAGAGTATGGCGTCTGCCTATGAAAGTCATGGGTCTGAGCTTTGATAGTACGTGGCTTACTGATAGTGGCACAATAGCCACTCATAGACACTACCTAAAATCTCAAACAGTATTTTCTTTTTTTGAGACAAGAGTCTTGTTATGTAGCCCAAGCTGGCTTCAAACTGGCAATCCTCCTGTCTTAGCCTCCCTAGTGCTAGGAGTATAGGCAGGCACTACTGTGCCCGACTGTCAGTGTTTTCAATCAATACTCAGATCACAAAGCTCCACTGACTGTAAACTACCTTTCTTTCCTGAGGAGAAAGTAAACTGTGGAAAACTGAGGTTACGTGCTAAGCATATTCCTTGGTTTTCAATGCTAAAAATGGATGTGGCCTTTCATTTTCCTGCTGTGAGCTGGAGTGTTTTAGACCTGAGGAAACAGTAAATATAGCATTCCTTCCTCCAACCCCAGTAATGTTACTTTCTTCCTAAGGAACATTACCTTGAAAATGTTTCCACATGAGACACACCTCAGCCAACTAAAGAGGCCATGCAAAATTGAACAGAAGGAGGCAACACAAACTGTCCACATTTGTTCAAATAAAATTATGTAGAAGAGAAGTCAAATATATACATGACACAAACTCTCATTAGTAACAACTACTTGTGTTAAATTAAGTGAAAGTCAGTATGATTCCAGTGTTTAGCTCTGGGAGCACAAAATGCTGTAGCTAAAGTCATAAAAATAAAAAAGCATTCACATTTGAGGTTGTTTGTCACGCATCACACTATTCCTTAAAAGCTTGAAAAGACTACAAATTAACTTTTCATGCCAATTACAGACATTGAATTTTAAAGCTACAGCTATAGAGACAGTACAAAATCCCATCAGCTTAAACATTTCTTTTACGATTTAGCAAACTGTTGCATTCTGGTCATGAGGTGGTCCTTGTAGGATAAAAACCTGTTTGTATATGCTTAATACTTTTCCTCCATTGTTCTTTTCCTAAAATGTTCAAATGACTTTCATTCAGGTCTTTCTTCTGATCTCAAAGTCAAATGTCGTAGTATTCCCCTAGTATATATATTTTTATTCCAATGCTGGACAAATGTTATCAATGACCATTTGTTGATCTATTAAATATTAGTATACAGTACAGCAGCTATTTCAATAGAATTCCAGTTTGTTACCTACATGGCACAATCATAGACTTAATACTGTGCTCATGTATAAAAACGCAAAAACCATCAAATGTGCTATGTCCTTCCATGTATATAAAAAACTATGTGCATCATGAAGAAACTTTTTAACAGTCAACACAGTTGTCTGAGTGCTTGACATTCAAAAAAATAAAACTTACACATTCTACTGTACTATGAAGATCAGAGAAAGGAAGCACGGCTATCAAATCACTTGAGACAACTTAGGAAAAAATCAGAAAATTATTACAGCTTTAAAAAGATTAGCATATTTTGCTTACTTTTAACTACATAAGTCTGCTGACTGTGCAATCTGATCTATAAAGTTTGAGCTAAAAAACTGGTGCTTCTAATGGAATGTTTTTTAAAATTAAAAGATACACAAGTTGTTTCAAACCAAAGTGGCCCCATTTTTTTTCTTTTTCTTTTTTAGGAAAGTTTTTCTGATGACTAAGCCAGTCTCCTGAGCAAAATACTGTTTTGCCCAGTGCACAGAAGCAGCATTTCCCCCAAATATTCCCACAAAATCTGTGCGTGTTAAATGTTAGCATTTATAATTGCGTGAGGCATGGAGTACTGTGTACACAGACATGTTTTTCATAGAAATATGACCAAGCAGGAAAGATTTAGGTAGGTGAAAACGAAACGTTTTAACAGGATACAGGAAACAGTTCTGTTTCCATTTAAAATCTCCAAATGAGGCAAAAATCCCTAAAGCCATGTGTACAGAATAAAGAACGTAGTGCACAAATTGCCTAAGTGGCTTTCTTCTCACTGGTTTGAGGGGTCTAAGAATAGGTCTGTAGTTTACCCTGCTACCTTCCACTTTCTCTTCAACCTTGCTGAAGTATTGGGGCCATCTTCCTATTGGCAATTTACCAGATCAAGTCTAATCATGCCACAGAATGGATGTTTCCTTCACCTCAGCCAAGTGGAGGGCACCCACTGAGGTTCCGTATCAAGTTTGTTAATTAACCTAAGTAATTCCTGATAGGCTTTATCAAGATCTGAATTCACAATTGCTGTGTCAAAGTAGTGGCCATTGTTCTGCTCCATCTCTCTAGTCTTCTCAATGATTTCTCTTAATTCTTCAGGCTGCAAAGAAAAGATAAAAACCATGAGGTAATTCCTATCCTATCAAACTACAGATTGAATCAGATGCCCAAGATGCCCTTACATCACTTTCTATCTCTCAACCTCAAGAGAAGCGCAAGAGCTGCTTTTCTACCCCACTATGGTTTTCTGTGGCACGTTAGGACTTAGAAATCATTTGAGACTCAATATGTCCTGTTTTATACCACTATTTAGGTTTTCATGTATTTCTGTCTTATCAAGACTATAGGCTTCAAAGTGCAAACTGTTACTCTGAATTCCTTACATTGTTTTCCAGCATAGCCTCTTGCTGAAAATAACGTCTTATGTAAGGTGGAAGCAGCTTTTTAGTCAGAGTAGGGACTCAGTGCTTCTGCTCTCAGCTCTAGTGAAGTCCACTTGCTCTTTGTATGTGCGACAGTACTAGGTAGAATACACATTGTGGGAAAGGAAAAGTGGTTATAGAAAGGGTTATCTTTTTCTAAGAAAATCTTGGGTCAACCCAAGGTCTAACAACCTAATATATATTTCTGGGGGAAACATGCAGTTTAATACTTTAAATTACTGCTGTTTTCAAAGGATTTCTTATTTTTTAGACAGGGTTTTGCTATGTATATAGCCCAAGCTGGCCTTAAACTCAGGATCCTCCTGCCTCAGCCTCCCACCTGCTGGGATTCCAGTCACAGGCTACCATGCCTGGTCCAACAAAGGACACTTTAAAGATGCAAACAATTATCTTAACAGTTTGGGAAAGTATAGAGAGCAGGTGACTTTAAAATACTGAGTAAAGGATTGTTTTCACACAGACAAGCAGATGGCGAGGCCATGTGCAAAATTTATCCAGAGCTTATCCACACCCCTCATTATTAGGCACACATGTTCAATAAAAAGAAACTGCCCCCAAAACACCTAGTCAATGAAAATAAGTAATAAAACCTAAGACTAAGTATCTCAAATATAAAAGTCACACAGCACTATACTGGACCCACAAAGCAATTTATATTATTTAGCTGAATTTCTAACAGGAAGAAAACACATTAAAAATATATCCACTGTGGCCTTTCCTGAAGCAGCTTCTTGTATAGCTATCTAATTTTATTCTGGAATGCTGTGCATCTGAATATGGTACACAGAATCCTTTGTTCCCAGCAGGGGCTCTACTTCATTGTAACCCAACACAGTGTGACATGTTTTGTTAAAACTTATGTCCATTCACAGCTTCAGATTAGGTCTTTTAAAAATTAATTTCATGACATTTCATTTTATATTACTTAACTAGTACTTTGTGTCTGATTTTCTTGTTCAAATTATAATTCATGACTAGGATGAAACAAAATGTTTTGGCTCCAAATATTTTGAACTGAAAAAATTAGCTTACAGGCAAAACTATTACTTCATACTCTCAGCTAAGCACTCTCAAGCCCCCATACTAGCAAAACAGATTCAGAAATTTGTAGAACAATTAGTTAAGTGAGTGGTTACTTTTTCATCCAGTGAGTAACACCATCACTTTTTTTAACACAATTCCAGAGTTAAAGATTTGTATTTACTCACTTCTTATATGTGAGTAATTATGTATTAGAAGCTAATGGAGGTAAAAACATAAGTGGATGGAAAAAGATATACCAACAACTGTAGAATATACATTTTTACAGGTATGGATGGAATATTCACCCAGAACAGATGACAGGCCATAAAATAAGGCTGAAGAAATTTTAAAAGATTAACATCATCTGTCAGGGTCTATTCTCTGATCATAATGGAGTTATAAATCAGTAAGATCTGTTTTTAAAATTGATTAAAAACAAAACGAGGCAGAGATCAGGAGGATTGTGGTTCAAAGCGAGCAAATAGTTTGTAAGACCCTATAAAAAAACCCTTCACAAAAAAGGGCTGGTGGAGTGGTTCAAGGTGTAGGCCCTGAGTTCAAACCCCAGTACCACAAAAACAATTAAACAACAAAAAAACACCTCTCCTGTTACTTCATTACCTCATAGTTAGACTAAGTTTGTGATAGATCATAGGCCAAAACATAAAAGCTAAAACTGGACAGCTTTAAGAAGAAAACATAAGATAAAATCTTTACAATCTTGGAGGTAAATTTTTTTAGACAGGCACAAAATCATTAACCATATGAAAAGTAAAAAGCAAAATTTATTAAAATCAAACATTTCTGCTATAAGCAGTAGTGTATGCCTTTAATGCCAGCCTAAGCTTTCAAAAAAAAAACAAAAAAAAAGAAAAAAGTAAACACTTGTGATCTTCATAGGATACTGTTTTTAATAAAAGAGAAGATATAAAGACCTGGAGAAAATAATTATAATATGTAAATCTAGTAAGGGACTTATATCTAGAATACATTAAAAAAACTCTTACAACTAAATATTAAAATCAACCCAATTTTTAAAAAATGCATTTCACAAAAGAATATGCCCAAGTAGCCACATGAAAAGATTATGATTAGTCATCACTATGAAAACCATAATGAAGCATGAGGCCCTGAGTTCAAACCCCAGAACTGCCAAAAAAAGAAAAAAGTGAAAACCATAATAACACGTCACATCTATTAGGCAAGTGCTCTTATTACTTCCCCACCTCAACACTTCATATCTATTAGAAACCACTACAAGTTACAAAGAGACAACAGTAAATTGGTAAGGAGATGGATCAGCTGGAAACATCACACATTGTGTGTGGGGAGCATAAAATGGCAAGTCTTTCATAAGAGTTGAGAGTTTTTGGTTTTTTTTTTTTTTTTTTTAAAGTTAGGTCTCGCTATGTAGCCCAGCTGGCCTCAAACTCAAGATCTTCCTGCCTCATTCTTTTTAGCTTACATTTTTTGTTAAACTGATTTTTTGTAATTGTTGTACTGGGGCTACACTGTGACATTTGGAAAAGTTCTTACTGGATAAACAATTTTGAGTTTGTTCATTTATTTACAGGTGACTGGATTTTTTATCTATCTATCTATCTATCTATCTGTTTAATTTGTGGTGCTGAGCCTTGCATATGCTAGGGAAGTACTCTATCATGAGCTATATCACCAGCCCTTCATAAATTTGGGTATATGTATATCATATTATATATTACACAGCATCAAGAAGGAATGAACTACTGTTAGATGCAATATAGATGAATCTTAAATTGTGTGTTGATCAAAAGCCAGATACAAACTTAAGTATACAATATGGTTCCATTTTTATAAACGTCTAGAACAGAAAAAATTGGTAGGGACAAGAAGTGGACTAGTGACTGCCCAGGGAAGGATTAAGGAGCATTAACTTCAAAGGGGCAAACAGAACTTTCTAAAGTAAAAAAATGTTCTAAATCTTGATTGGTGTGGTGGTTATACAGGTATACATTTTGCCAAAATGCACTGAATAAGTAAGCAAGTTATAAAATTAAATGCATACATATTGAGATAAAAACGTTAGGACAATGAAGCTAAAGAAGAAACAAGAAGTTCTAATTAGAAAATCAAATATACTATATATTGTTGAAGTACTTTGGTATTAAGTTTTTGCTTTAAAAACATGTATAACCAGCATCTTTCTAGATCTTGCTCAATTCAGGATAACAAATTCAATATAAAAAAGATACCACTTTCACATGGAATACTGCCAGAGACCAATTAAAAAAAATTGGTTAACATGTTTTGGAAGTGAAAGGCCCTTGGTATGACAGTGAATCCTTGCTGGAAAAAAACAGCCGTAACAAAAATGCTTATTCTAAAAATGAGGCTGAACAAGCACAATGGAGTCCACCCTGGTGGACATCCTTTTCCTTGGGCAGCCATGATGTTTCTGGTCTACCTAAGTAGTTACTGGGCACTGAGTTTTATACAGTATTAAGCTTGTTTCCTTTACTACGCAGCGATCCTCCTTTAAAAGAGCCAGTAATCATGTCTTGAATCTTTTTTTTGCATCACCCTAAGTACAAAGGACAACAGATATCCTGACACCTGCTACTGAAATTTCTAAGTAGGCTACAAAGGTGAAAAAGTGGTGAAGCACTACTTTGTGCTAGAGCACTACTAAGGTAGAACACTTAGCCTAGACAAAGCAACCAGAATTATGCTTAATATGAAGTATGGGAACACCTAAGATGTTTATAGTTTAAGACATAGAAGAATACTACCTTGTGCCAGGTGCAGTGGCTTGTGCCTATCATCCCAGCTACTAAGGAGGTAGAAATGGAGAGGATCATGGTTTAAGGCCAGCCCAAGGCAAAAAAAAAAAGTTTTCAAGACTGCAATTTCAACCAATAAAAAGCTGGGTGTGGTGGTACATGCCAGCCATCCTGCCTATTCATGAAGCATAAATAGAAGAATTGAGGTCTAGGCCAGCTTGGTATAAAATCAATACCTTATTCAAAAAATAGCTAAAGCAAAAAGAGCTGGGGGCATGGCTCAAATGGTACAATGCTTGCCTAATAAGCATAGGGCCCTGTGTTCAAACCCCAGTAACCTTAAAAAAGTACCTGGGATTACAGGCATGAACCACTGCACCTGGAAATAATGTTTTTTTGGGTGGTATTTGGGTTTTGAATTTAGGGCACTGTGTTTTACTAGGCAGGTACTCTATCACCCAAGCCACAACCTGTGCCGAAATCTAAAATAATTTAAAAAAAAATTTTTTTTTTCTGTTCCAGACCATGTAAGAAGACCAAAAGGAGGAGAAGAAAAATAGAATAAAGTTTTAATAAAAAACCCAAAAAACCAAGATTCTCATCTTTGGCACCCTGAACATGTGAAACAGCTAAAGAAAAAAGTGGGTAACCCCTAAGAGTTTTGCTGAAAATTTTGGGGCAAGGTGCAGGAGATGGGGTGGGGTTGAGGGGAGAGTGGTCCATGCAATCCCCTTGGAAATGTTACCAGGCCTATGTGAAGAAGATTGAAGGAGTTTTAAGAAACCCAGTTGTTATTGTATACTTGGGATTAATAGTATGAAATGTTTGGGGGGAACAGCCATTTGCTTTGGAGAGCTGCCACAGTCCAACCAGTGGCAACTATGGAGATTTTTGGGCAAGTGATATAATAGAAAGAATAGTTTGAAAACTGAAGCTCGTTCAAACCCAGCACTGCCAAAAGAAATACAACATAAGAAAACTGAAGCTAATGTAGCTCTGCAGCACTGATAGATTAAGTCAGGATGCTGTCATGTTTTTCAATAGTAGTACAATAATACAGTAACTTTACCTTTGGATTCTTGCCCTCTTTGGCCAATAATGCCCGCAGCCTTTCTTGGGAAGGGGGTGCAATGAATATAATATATGGTTTCAAATCTGAATTCCGGAGGGTCTTCAAAGACTGTAAAGAAAAGGTATATGGACTTCAAAAATAATTTCAATCACTGAACTACTTCTCAATAATATACATGGAATATAATGGTGTCACTGTCTATAAATGCTTCCAAACATCTTCATAACAAATTCACAATAATTTAAGATCATATTATTCACTCTTAAGAATGTAGCTACAAATTCATGTAATTATGTTACCTTGCTCTTTTATATAATGAAATATAAATGAAAGCCACTAAAGGATCATAACTATGTGATGCCAAAATACCCTGCTAAGACTGCATACAGATTATTAGAGCCTTATGAAAAATTCAGAGAGAAACATTTCACCTACACATGCCAAAGAAAATTCTGTACACATCCAAGAAAAAGCAGACTGAATAAAGAGATTATAGTTTTCACACTGTCTTTATCACTGCCATTAGTAAATATCCTCAAACTGAATTGCTCTACCAAACTGGAAACTATAGGACATGTACTTTTCTATCTAAAAATGTTAAAATAATATGCTCAATTACTTTACTCCTGAGTTCTTTGATAAAATCTGTTAGCCTAAATATAAAGAATTTTGAAAGAATTTAGTAAAAACATCTACACTTTTCTTAAATCAAATGTTCAGAACTGAAACAGTACAGTCTTATCTACTAAAAAAGACAAACGAACAAACAAACAAAAAAAACTCCTAACTATGATTTTAGGAAGTCACTTGAGAGTCAGTTTTCTTCTATGTACATTCTTTAATGACCACTGATTATGTGGCCTGAGTTCAATACCACCACTTTAAAGACTCTTAAATCCTAGCTACTTGGAGATTGGAAGGATCAAGATTCAAAGCCAGCCGGACAAATAGTTCTTTAGATTCCACCTCCAAAATAACCAGAGAAATATTGACTGGAAGTGTGGCTCAAGCAATTGAGTGCCTGATTTGCAAACCCAAAGATCTGAGTTCAAATCCCAGTCCCACCAACAACAAAAAAAGAAAGTTCTCTGAAGCTGAATAGTCTAGAAAAAGTTTTCTACCATAAATACAATCTTTAAAACCCAAATTTCCAAAATCACTTTTTGTTTTTAAATAGAAATCTAAGAGGCATTGAGTTGTAATTTTAAATATTTTTAGCCTGCCAAATAAGTGAAACTGACAGAGGTTTTATTATTTACATAAAATCAAGCATTCACTTGTGACATCTTGTTAATAATTGGAGCAATGGCATTTAAAACCCTAAGAATGACCTTTAGATTTTCTAATTTTTCTCAGTTGAAATCAGACAAGGGGAACTTTTATAGTCTCTAAAATACTTAATGAATTATCAATACCATAGTTACTGTATTTTAAGTTTCAGAAAACATATACATGTGAAAAGTGAAAGAGATTAAGCAACCTGTTAGCTTACATTGTGAGTTAAGTGGGAAAATTGAGAACTTTATTAGGTTTTGCCATTCTTGAACCAAAATACAGTTTTCACCAGATTACTTTTCTTTTTTTTTTTTTTTTTCTTTTATTATTCATATGTGCATACAAGGCTTGGTTCATTTCTCCCCCCTGCCCCCACCCCCTCCCTTACCACCCACTCCAGCCCCCTCCCTCTCCCCCCCACCCCCTCAATACCCCGCAGAAACTATTTTGCCCTTATCTCTAATTTTGTTGTAGAGAGAGTATAAGCAATAATAGGAAGGAACAAGGGGTTTTGCTGGTTGAGATAAGGATAGCTATACAGGGCATTGACTCACGTTGATTTCCTGTGCGTGGGTGTTACCTTCTAGGTTAATTCTTTTTGATCTAACCTTTTCTCTAGTTCCTGGTCCCCTTTTCCTATTGGCCTCAGTTGCTTTAAGGTATCTGCTTTAGTTTCTCTGCGTTAAGGGCAACAAATGCTAGCTAGTTTTTTAGGTGTCTTACCTATCCTTACCCCTCCCTTGTGTGCTCTCGCTTTTATCATGTGCTCATAGTCCAATCCCCTTGTTGTGTTTGCCCTTGATCTAATGTCCACATATGAGGGAGAACATACTTTTCAAAACATGTACTCAAAGTTCAACATCCTAAACCAAAATCCTAGCTTTACCTGTGTACGAAGACTTAAAAGACATATCTTGCCAGAGTTGATCACTTGCCGTACAGAATCTATGCTGGTTCCATACAAATTTTTCTCAAATTCACCATGCTCAATGAACTTTCCAGCTGCTATATCTGCCTCAAATGCTTGCCGTGAAACAAAGTGGTAATCTCTGCCAGCTACTTCGTGGTCTCGTCTACTCCGAGTTGTATCTAGGCAAAAAAAATCAGAAAAATAATGAGCATGGATGAGAGTAGGGAGGGGAGGATAATTCATCTAGTCAGAAAGAAATTTTAGGGCTGGCAGAGTGACTCAAATGGTAGAGCTGCCTAGCAAATGTGAGGCCCTGAGGTCAAACCCCAGTACCGCCCCCCACCTCCCCCAAAAAAGGGAAGAATTTTTATTTTGTAACACAGATTATGAAGTAATAAATTGAGGAAATGTTAAGGGCCCATGTGTTTAACACTGTTCTGATTTCTAGGTTGACTCAGGACCAAAAAATAATTCTTGGACTAGGGGAGTGGCCCAAGTGGTAGAGCAACTGCCTTGCAAGCGTGAAACCCTGACTTCAAACCCCTATACTGCCAAAAACAACAACAAAACTTCCTTATAGTAACTTTATAGTTACATTTCATTTCCTTAATCCATTTTACATTCAAACTCTAAATTACTTCATCTTGCATTTAAAGCACTACCATTCATCTTTTCCTAAAGTTTATCTCCATAAGATTAGGAACTATATAAACAGAATTTGTTTTTTAGAGATTAGATCTAAATTTCTATCTTCAGCATCAGTTTAAAGAACCAGGAGATAGATGATTCCCTATGGAACACAGAATTATAAAGGGCTCAAACTGAAAAGTATTTAGGAAATAATTAGTACCATACTACTAGGAAAAATTTAAGTTTCAAAGAACTACTTTTAATAAAAAATTGTCAAAATATTTGGCTAACCAAAGTTGTCTTTCATTGACAACACTGTTTCGATGAAATGGATGAAAAATTTCCCCACATAATTAGGTGCTGAGTGGTAAATTCAAGAGCATGGGAAAATGGGAATGTGTCCAAACTTACGAGGAACTGCAGATGCAAAGCGGTCTTTTTCTTTGTTCATAAGCCTCTGACGCAATTCATTCTGGCCACAGTTCTGTGGACCGATCAAGATGATAGGTCTTTTCCTATTTGCTGGTTGATGATAAAGTGACATTTCCTCATAAGTTAAGATCTCCTCATTGTCATAATCTTTTGGAAAGAAAAAAGTTAATACCATCAGACAGCATGCCATTTCACAAAGATATTTTCATAGACTTTTCCAAAAAATGAAAAGAAGCATAATCTATTATGCTATCCATAATCATTAAAATGCTTAACTTTTTTGCATCAAGGTAGAAATAAGTGGGTATTATTAACCATAAGCATTTTCGTATGTCATTATATCCTTGCCAGGGTACTATGAAATGAATAAGACAACAAAAATAAGTAATCCTTCAAGGGATTTTTACTGCTTATTTTGTTTCATCCTGTTTATCTAATATAATACAATTATATTGCTTCTTATATAAAACAGCTCATTTGCAGTAAATACTATGACAACAGGTGGGGTTTCCAGAAGATAAACTTATGGGAATATCTGTCATTTTTATATTCTACTTAAGAAGTTTGTTTTAAGGATCAAACATAATGCATAGGCTTAGCACAAAAGCAGGTAAACAATTACATATAGTGGCTATAAAACTAGTGGAATCAAAGACTGCTGGAATATGTTCCTGTAGTTATATAATTTGAAAACAAGTTGTACTTGTGCTAGCCATACTTTCTGCATTTATGTTTACTTTATTCTGGGGCACTAACCCGAGTCATGACTCGGGATGAAGTATAAATTATAATGGGTGGGATAACATTCCTAAAGCCCATAATCCAGATGAAAGCAGAAGTCAAGTGGTAAGAACAAAAATAGATAACTAGCAGCCTGCAATGTCCTCTCATATTTCACCTGACTGGGAAGGGGCACAGGGGGTGTAGTTACACTCTCTCAGCTATTAAGTTCCATGATGGCAGGGGACCATCTTAGTCTTGCCAGTGCTCAGCAGAGAGCCTGACACAGAGTAGAAGCTCAAATTACATTTGTTTGAATTCTAGCTTAACTGTTTATTAGCTGTGATAACTTAAGCACATCACTTTAATAGAAGAACTTGAACCTATTAATTCAACCTCAGGGAACTTATTGCATGAATGAAGCATATAGCTACTGCCATGGAACAGAATAGGTATTATAAATGGTATTACAAAATGTTAATGATACCATTATGAATAACAATTATAATTCCTTCCTTTCTCAAAATAGTTGTCTCTATTCTGAGTTCCTTCTAACACATACAACCAGACTGGTGGCATTTTGATTTACAGACCTATTATTTTATATGTTTATAAAGTTCAGATTTGTCAAGTTTTCTTCTCTCTCTCTCTCTCTCTCTCTCTCTCTCTCACACACACACACACACACACCCCAGTACTGAGGTTTGAACTCAGAGCTTGGTAGGCAGGCACTCCCAGTCCTTTTTTTGCTTTAGTTGTTTTTCAGGTAGGATTTTATGATTTGCCCAGGGCTGGCCTCAGACCATGATCCTTCTACCTATGGCCTACCACATAGCTGGGATCACAGGTATGAGCCACCATACTCACTTTACTGGTTTAGATGGGCTGACCTTAAACCCCAATCCTCCCAATCTCCACCTCCTGGAGTAGGTGGAATTACAGGTGTTAGCCACCATGCCCAGCCAAGTTTTTTATAGTATATAATTTTAAGACTTGGACCAGTTAATTTTAGTCTGTTTCAAGAAATGAAACAGATATTAATCACAACCATAAAGAATAAGATAAAGAAGTCAATAAATATTAGTTATATAATCTGTCAATTAGCATTAAAGGATATTTATTTTACAGAAAAATGATTAAAGTTAGTTGAATTTCAGATCTGGAATTTCAGATATGGAATATTTCAGTAATCTATGTTTTACGGTTTAATTTGGACTGTTATTCTTAGATAATAATCCCTATAAGTTATATAAGAATGAGAGCCTCTGATTTATTATTTGACTTGTTTTTAATATGAACCAAAGCAGAGTTAGCAAATTCAAATGCCCATGAAGACATATTAAGAAGATAATGAAATCAGAAAATCAGGTGGGGTTTATTAAAAACCAGGAGTGGTGTAGACCACTGAATTAGACAGCAGGTTATCCCTCCCCAAAAAAGGGGTAACAGTCATCATTCAGGCCTAGCAGACTGTTGCCACTTGGGAATACAAACCCAATGTTATTGATCCTAACAGGACCTGTGTACTTTAAAACTGTTAATTTTAGCAATCAATCAATCAACCAACCAATCAAAATAAAACAAATCCTTAGCCAGAAAGTACCAAGCTCTGTGGAATAAGTTTGCCTCTATGACATGAGATACTGTAGATGAACTATTCATTTTTTACTTCAAACACATGTGATTTGTAAGAATGCACTGGAAGCAAGTAATAATTTTGCAAAGAATTTAAATAGAAAAATTAGAAGAAATCATCAATCTAACACTATCTATGATAAATAGTACTTTATATTTTATTCTAGTTTTTCCCAGAATTTCAAACACTGTATTACTCATAGGAATGCAAAAGAAAGTAATTTCTAATAAGTTACTTTCTGAAGCACAATTATGTTGTATGTCTAGTCAAAACATGACTAGAAATAAAGCTCCCTGAAAATACTAGTTCAATTTCTACCTAGCAACAGACTTACACAGCTTTTAGAAATAACTCCAGCTATACCTGAGAGTAGAGCTTACCATCATTTTTACTGGCATTATATAACACCTTTTTCCTCTTCTTTTTATTCTTCTTTGCACACCAAAGTTTTCCTGTTGAGCAATCAAAAATAACTATAAATGTGGTATTTGTTTCCTTGAACAAAGCTACATAGTTTGAATTGAAGAATGTAAATTGTTTTTATTTTGTTTTGTTTGTCTTTTGAGACAGGGTCTTACTGTGTATATCCCAAGCTGGCCTCAAACTCACTTCAAATTGTTTTTAATTTAAATTTATAAATACTTATTACATCATTCATAGAACTATTTTTCAGTGAAGTATTTATAATTTTCCAATTATATAGTATAGACAGATAATCCTTAATATTTTAATCTTTCTTTACTATTCTAAGATAATCAGTTTTACCTTTTTATCTTTCCATAAATATATATAGTATTCTAACTGATTTGCAAATTTAACATGGTTCCAGATGAAAACCCAAGAAACATCCTATTAATGTCAAAAGTAAGTGTCTAACCTGATTTTTCTGGCTCCTTGTCTTCTTCTATGGTTTGCTTCATGGCTTCTCTTTGCTGCTGAAAGCTTTTCCCTTAATAGCAGAAAGAAAAAGGGAGGTATAATATTTAAGATAAAAGGATAAAACATTTTTAAATCAAAGGGGAAACACTAGAAGTAATTCTTCATATATATTTGTCTTCCAAGTTCTGCCACCACAAGAGTAACGTCAGCTATGATACATCAGTTTCCAAATGTTTTAAGTATTAAACTTCAACCCTGCTCAATCCTATCATATGTCTTACCAAACTATACATCATTATAAAAGGATAGATCGTAAACCAGTATTAGAAAATATAATAACTCAACTTTTAAAAAGTTTTTATTGAGTACTTAACTATGTTGAAAGTACTATACTAGTTCTGGTCACTGAGAATTATCTCAAATCAAGCATATCAATTCTAGGCATTACTTTTCAAAGTAATATATGGGCACTGATCATTTTTCAACTATCAGACACCATTCAACATATTCCCTTACAATTATTATTTGCAATCCCTCCTTTTGTTTGCATGTATGTATATATGCTAATGACTTTTGATTTCCATCTTAAAGTTACTGATGATACAAATAAATTGGAAAGATGGTTTTCCTTGCAACATTAACATTTTCATATTAGAGGTGTTCAAGGTAACTGATCATCATCTTCTTTTTAGATCTCTATTTTAAATTAAATTTGTGTGTGTGTATGTATGTGTGTGTGTGTGCGTGTGTGTGTGTGTGTGTGCACGCGCTAGGGATAGATTCCAGGACCTTGCATATGCTAAGTATATGCTCTACCACTGAGCTATGTCCCCAGCTCCCTAAATATTCTTTTAATGTTATATATATTCTAGTGTATTGTCTCTTACCTGGAACAAGCCCAGCTAGAGGCTGGTTATCTTCGTCCCCCTCCCTATAGGCCTGCCACCAGTTTGGATCTTCTTGACTGATCACATGAAGTATATCCCCTTTTTGAAAAGACAGACCTAACTCTCGACATGGAACATAAGGGTCATCTGATGGGTCATAGTCAAAATGGGCTTTCACATGGATCTAAAACATAAAAAGGGTAAAAAAAAGGAGCAACAATAATAAAATGCTAGTACAAAATATTTGGCATGAATATAATTTAAATGCTTTAAATTTTTCATCACTGCCAAGAAATGAGTTGAAAGTAGTTAAATAACAGTATTTGGGGCAGTATATACTCAAGCTCATCTGTTTGTTGTCTTCTCTCTGTTGACTGCAAACATGTATGAAAGTATCCAAACTAAGTTATTATTAACAGCTAACAAGCTGGGTTGCAAAGGTGTTTCAAAGGCTTGAGAAGCAGAAGAAAGGTAACAGAAACTGTCTGACTCATGAAAACAATGACTCCACATGCAATAAGGTATGTGAGTTTTAAACCACTGCTACCAGAAAAGGTAGCCTCTAAAACCTTATCATGTAAGTGGGTGTCAGTTCCCCACTCTTGACCCCACTGTCAATCCAACACAGCTGGATGGTCAACGCAGTTGGATGGGTGGAATGGCTCAATTGGTAGATCGCCTACCTAGCAAGTCTGAGGTCCTGAGTTCAAACCCCAGTACTTCAAAAAAAAATTAATTCCAGCTATGGTGTTTATTCTAACATTCATGAAATAAGCACACCCAAACTGCTAAGCTTTAAGACTATTAATCTATTCCTATTTATAAAGTAAGTAGGCTTAATCACCACAAGAAAGGGACTAAGGTAGAAAGGAGAAAAATAGAGGGATGAATCAATTTGGGTTATAATACATATGTATACATGGAAATGTCTAAAAGGAAACTCCCTGTATAGATATCCTAAACAAACAAAAATATCATTTTTCCCCCACAAAAACAGAGAACAGAAGGGCATAAAAGGTCCCATCTGGGGGCTTGGTACAAGTGGGAGCAGAGAGGAGGTGGGGAAAACGTGTAGGAGGGTGTTTATGGTGCCAATATTGTGTACACATGTATGTAAATGGAAAAATGAGACCTGTTGAAACTATTCCAGGAATGGGAGGGGATGAATTCAACTATGATAAATAGTAAGAAAGTTTGTAAATGTCACAATGTACCCCCCAGTACAATAATAAAAAACAATCTATATTAACCAATGAGAATACACTTAAAAAAAAGTAGGTTTTGAAATATTATTAGTAGTACAAGTTATCATACTTTTTTAAACAATGTGTTTTTGCATTTGAGAATAAAAGAATGTGCCATGCTATGTAGTATTAAAGGTAGTTAAGAGCTCACATGAACTTTGTAGAAATCTAAGTTATTTCCTATGCAGTTCCAATATGCCTCTGTAAAATACAACAAAGAATTCTTACTTCTAAGAGGGTAGGAAGGGATTAATATTCTCTTTAATTTTTATTGAACCTAGACATGTAGCATTTCCCAAGTCTGCAAGAAACCTACCTTCATTTAATGAAACCCAACATCTATATACAATGAGTATTTCTGCCCCACAGAAGTTAAATTGCAAGTGCAGGTTCAATGAACCTAGCAACAGATTAACAGCCTAAGAATTTTATAATTTTGAGTCCATTTCTACCAAATGCTATCTGGCTTTTCTTGTCTTTTATTGTCACCATAGTTGCAGATATGTATTATAAAGATAATAATGGTCTGCTTTAAAAATCACTTTAGAGAAGACAGTATCTTTTTGCAAGTGATCTGCTATTGGGCTACAGGGTAGCCCTTTGGAGACAGGGCCTCATTATGTAGTCCAAGTTTGAGGCTGGCAAACATGCAATCCTTTTGCTTTAACCTCCCAAGTACTAGGATTACAGGCATTCTCAGTCTTAAATGAAGTTTAACAAAGCACTTTCTGATAAAGACTATTAGAAGCCAAGTGCCAGTAGCCCACAACTGTATTGTAGCTACTTGGGAGGTTGAGATTGGGAGGATGGAGTTGTAAAACCAGCTTGGGCAAACTGTGAGACCCCATTTCCAAACTCACCAGAGCAAAATGGACTGGAGGTGTGGCTCAAGTTGTAGAGCTTTGCAAGTATGAATCCCTGAGTTCAAACTCCAGTTCCAGGAAAAAGGCCCACAAAAGATTATTAGATGTATTTTCACATAGCCCCATTCTTGATGATAGCAAAATAACCTTTCAGAAATTTTTCTCTCTCTCTGTGTGTGTGTGTGTGTGTGTGTGTGTGTTTGTGTGTATGGGACTGGGGTTTGAATATAGGGCTTTGAACTTGCTTGAGCCGCCCCTCAGGTCCATTTTGTTCTGGTTATTTTGGAAGATGGGGTCTCAAGCTATTTCCCTGGTCTGGCCTCAAACTGTGATCTTTCTGATCTCAGTAGGATTACAGACAGATTTGAGCCCCTCGCTCCTGGCTAACAACATTTAAAATTTTTTTGAGACAGGATCTCACTACATATCCCAGGTTGGCCTCAAATTCATGCTCCTCCTGCCTTTACCTCCCCAATGCTGGGATTACAAGAACACAACACCATTCCTGGCTTAAAGAATATTAAACTCTCTATATACTAATAGTAACACTGAAGCTGTAAAAGTGATTCAGTTAAAGATGTAAAAACAGCTAAGTAGGACTCAAATGTCAGTCTTCTCTTGGGAAGTAATGTTCATTGATGTGTTTATACAAGTACAAAAAATACACATGATCCTAAATACGTAGCACAATGAATTTTCACAAACTGAACACACCTGTGTAACTAGCACCCAATTCAAGAACCAGTATATCATCAGCATCTCAGAAACCCCACCCCATGTCTCTTTCAGTTACTATTCATCTCATTCCCTCCATGGGTAGACACCATTATGATTTCTAGAAAAACTGCTTCCTTTATATTTTACTTCATATAAATAGAATTACATATAATTTTGAATCAAATATGGTTAAGATACCTTGCTCAGCCAGGCATGGTGGCTCAAGTCTGTAATCCTAGCTATGTGGGAGGCAGAGACTGGAATGATTATGGTTGAGACCAACCTTGGTAAAAAGTTCATGAGAGCCTATTTCAGCTATGTGGAGAAACACAAAACAGGCATAAAACAAGACCGTATCTAAAAAATACCCAATATAAAAAGCGCTGGTAGAGTGGCTCAAGTGGTAGAATGCCCACCTATCAAGTGCAAGGCCCTGACTTCAAGTCCCAGTTTAAAAAAAAAATTTGCCCAATTTGACAGTGTTTTAATGCATCTAACTAGACAGTGCTCTAGAAAGTTTTATTCTTTCTTTTTTTGGTGGGACTGGGATTTGCAATTAGGGCTTTGTGCTTGTAAAGCAGGTGCTCTACTGTTGGAGCCACACCCCCAGTCTATTATGCTCTGATTATTTTGGAGATAGGGTCTTGAGAATTATTGGCCTGGGCTGGCTTCTAACCACTATCCTCCTGATCTTAGCCTCCCAAGTGGCTAGGATTATAGGTGTGAGCCACTGGGGCTGGCTGGAAGCCTTAGTCTTGATGTGCAAACAGTTTTAATTAAAATCTTGAATACTTACTATCAAAACTGAATTTTAGTAAGTTATATGGGATAGGAATGAATCAAAACACAGTTGGGAGACTGGCTAAAAAGATTAGAAATAAAAATTTATGATCTTTGTAAGAGAAAAGTAATTTGTAGGGTGATCTAAAAGTATGCTTTTAAAAAAACTAAGCTTGAGTACTATCCCTGTCAATTACTAATACTTCAAAACCTGTTTTAAATTGTTACTTTTTTGCCACAACACCTTGGAAATCTAAAAATCGAATTTTAAAAGTCTCGAAGTAGTGGAGAAATAATTTTTATCAGGCTTTTCAGAGATCAAATTGAACTACTTGTCTGCCCAACTAATGGTTTTATCAAATTGCTTTCTGGAAGCAATTCCCAAATGTTTTTCAAAGTGTTTAACTACATCAGCTGCCTAATGTTTATTAAAATGCTGAATTCTTATGCCACACCTCAGACTTGCAAACTCTGTATTTTAATCATATTCCTTGTGTAGTTGCTAGGTAAAGAGATCTTGGAGAACTATTTCCCTGAGAGAAATTAAAACAAGTGAGGAGGGAGTGTCTAGGTTATAATCTTTGCCAAAGGCCAACAAAATCACCCAGAGATGCTTTTCCATTTACTCTTACCTAGGCAGTTCTCATTCCACTATACTGATTTAAATGGCTTGTGATATGGGGTACTGCTGTGAGTAAGCTGGGAAGATGAATACAGGGACATGCTTTGCTTATGTACCAAGTTCATCTAGTCCTATTTAAAATGTACTTTAAAAGTTCTTAATTTTTCTTAAGCAAAATTCATAACAGATTAACCACATGAATGAGCTAAAGTCTGTGTACTGCCTTAAAATGTTCTATGTAACTTATCTATGTATTCCACTGACCAATTCTTTTTTTTTTTTTTCTTTCAGTACTGGGGCTTGAACTCAGGGCCTACACCTTAAGCTACTCTACCAGCAGCCCTTTTTTTGTGAAGGTTTTTTTCGAGACAGGGTCTTGAGAGAACTATTTGCCTGGGCTGGCTTCAAATCATGATGATGTGTTCTACATTACTTCAATATTATGATTTTACATACATTGAGAAGCAGCAAGTATCAACATTTTTTAATAAAAAAGAATTCTAGACTCTACAGGATAACAGGAAAAAATGTTGATCTGTATTTCTTAATGTCAGACTCTCATTCTCAAAAGACAAAAGTCATTTACTCAGAAGGGCTGGATTATTATAAACATTTAAATAAGAATATATTCCAGCCCTTCTCATGTGTCTCCTTAGTTTGCAGAGCTGCTTTTGAAGCTCAGAGCTTTTCCATAGGAAAGATAAATGAGAAAGCACAGTGCACAGAGAATCAGGCTTGTTGAATTCAGAGACCGAGTCTGTTTCCTCATTTCTCTTTCTGCAAAGAATTAGAAACAGAAGGAAGGCTAGAGATGCAACATCAACGTCAATATGTTCCATAAACAATAACAGGAAAACATGGAGTGACAGACAAAATATAAAGCATACCTGTGATGAAATATTGAGGAAAATAAAACTGTTGTGGTTTGATAAAAGAATAATAGTATATGTAATAAAATGAGGCTTCCATGTTAATCCAGCACTTTAAAGTCTATCATTTTTTTAACAGTTTGAGATATAGTTCAAATGCTAGGCAGTTTATCCATGTACACAACTGGACGCTATTCAGTATATTCACAGTTACACAACTATCATCACAAACAATTTTAGAACATTTTTTCCACCCCACAAAAAGACCTGGTACTGATTAACAACTATTCCCATTCTCTCCTAACTTCCGACCCCCACATCTAAGGAACCAGTAGTCTATTTCCTGTTTCTATGTATTTACCTATTCTGAATATTTCATAAATGAGCCAACATACAGCCTTTTGACTGCTCTCTTTTATTTAGCATAATGTTGTCAAATTCATCCATGTTGCATATAGACATGCATCAGTTCTTTTTATTATCAAATAATATCTCATTGTATGTTTTCCATTTATTAGCTGGTGGCTATTTGGGTTGTTTCTGCTATTTGGCTATGAACATTCATGTACCAGCTCTTCTGTGAATGTATGTTTTCAATTCTCTTGGATATATACCTAAGAGAGGAATTGCTAGTAATCCAGTCTATCTTTTAATAGAGCTGCGTAAATGTTTAACATACAGCAATATACTGTAAAGTAAAAGTTGCACAGACTTTGTAAAAGCAACTTTTCTTGTATACTAAGTATGTCTAAATTAAATAAACCCACCTATAACTATAGCAAAAGACTAGGTACAATTTCAGAAGTCACAAAGATTCTGAAACTGAAGTATTTCCTTTTTAAGGTTCAGAGTTTGCTAAACTTGAAATGTTGATATTTTATATTTGTGTAAATAAAAATGATGAGTTTATTTCTTTTTACCTGAGTTCAAGAAATATTTACAGTGACGTGTCTGATACAGGTAAGTACATAGTAATAATGGAACAATAAATAATGAACATCAAAAAAATCACTTACTACTGTTTCCTTGGCAGGAGGAGGCTTAATTTGTTGACTTGGAATCAGAACAAATGTCAAAGTACCATGCATATCAGACTGTAATAGAAAGATAAAAGTTATTTTTTAAATCTGTATTTACAAAAATAATTCCATGGTTCTATGATCAGTATTCCAAAAACTGGACTATTCCAAAACTCCTCTATAGTCTTGTATGCAAATATTCTCAGTTCCCAGATGCATTATCTTTGCCATCCAGTCTATGTGTGGAAGTGTGTGTGAGTATATTTTGGTGGTACTGGGGTTTGAACTCAGAGCTTCCTGCTTGCAAAGCAGGTGCTCTATTGCTTGAGCCACACCTTCAGTCCAATTTGCTCTGGTTATTTTGGAGATGGGGGTGTCTGCCTCCCAAATAACTAGGATTACAGGTATGAGCCGCTGATGCTGGCTCAATTTTTTTTTAACTATATATAGTCTTACTGCCAGGTTCACTATTATTGTCCAGTACACCACTGTTTGCTTCAGTCAGATACCTCCAGCCTAAACAGTAATCATTATCCTCCCTGGTACAACAGGGAGGAGTGTTCAACTTAAAGACAGCAGCCAATAAAATGAGCTAAAATTTATAATCAATGGTACTTTGGTCTACCAAAGCAATGAACCGGGGTTGAATAGATATAGGGATATGAAGGTGTTTTCTAGATTTTACAGTGGACATCAGCAGATAGGAGAGATTCTACTGTAGCAACAGATACTAAATAATGAAGAATATAAATCTTGGTTTGCGGGTATGTACAAAATGATCATAAAATGCCTTCAAAAGATAACTACAAGGGACTTCTTGATTATATTAGCAATATCCAATAGGACTGTTCTATAATAGAAATATGCTATATCTACATCTTAATATGGTAGTCATTAGCTACATATTGAATTGCTTAAATTTAGCACTTAAAGCTAGTGTGAATGAGGAAATAAATTTTAAAATTAATTTAAATAAAAAGAGCTGCATGTAGCTAGTGGCACTCCTACTATCTTATATTAAGGAAATAATCAATTATAGATAAGAAAACACAAAGAATATAAAATCATGAGGACACGAACTTCGTTTTATTACTGTTCCCCAGTGGCTAGCATATAGCCACTTATTTCAGAGACACATAAAATATACTTGGGAAGCTGGGTGTGGTGGTGCACTCAGATAGCTGAGGCAAGAGGATCATACAGTCAAGTCTGGGCTACATAGTGAAACTCTGTCTCTAACTTAAAAAGAAAAATTGGTAGTAATAAAGTTCAAAGTAATAAAACCAGTGGTACCCACTCCCAAATAAAACTCTACTAACAAATACTATGGAGCAATTATATTATAGGAAAATTAGGCTAGAAATTGTCTTATGTTAATAGTTATTCAAAATGTTTTAAAAACATTTTATTCCGCATTTACTAACAAAAGTTTTTAAAAAGGTATTGATTATTCTTCTACCTATGTCAACTTACCAATATGTCAAAAACCTCATTGACATCTTTCCCCCGAATTTCAATACCATTAATCTCCAGAACTTCATCTCCTTCATGTAAGAGACCACTTTTCTCTGCAGCACCTCCTTTTACTATCCGGCTAATGATGACAGACTCCATTTCATTACGAACTGTAGCACCCTAAAAACAAAACAAATGAAACAAAAAAAACCAGCATCTAATTTATACATAAAATGTTGTATTTTTGTCAAGCAATTCTTCATTTTTAAATTCTTATTTTTTCCATTCAACAATACTAGCCTTCAACTACCTTGAGAAAGAATTTGCTTACACAGCTGGAGTAAGAACTATAATTAGATCTGAAAGATGACCATTTTCCTCATGTTTTCTGCTTTAGAATCACTCTATCCATTTGTCTTCTGAAGTCAAGCAAACTTTTGAAACATACAACAGCTGAAAACTGTACTTACTGAAAAACAATGTGTGAAGACCTATAATCAAATTTGTTTTCTATATGCTAGATCCTATTCAAATGGCTACAACTATATTTAGGCATGATTACTGAACATGGCTTTTAACTATAAAGAACTTTTTAAAATTCAGAATATGATGAAGGGATGAATACCAATATGGCTGGTTATTTAAATGTTAAATATTATAGCTGCATCCAATTCATACTAAAATGTATGAAATGCTAATATTTATTGTACAAATTGAAAACACAATGAAAAAATGTATGGTCAGAAGCTAGAAATGTAAAATACAGAAGAAATCTTATTTTTTGAAGGCTTTACTTAACATTTTGTCACAGATTTCTCAATTTCTATTTTTTTTCATGAGGAGAATTAGTTACAAAACTGCCTATGAAACACATTCTTTATTCCGTGTGCCATATTAGACAAGATATGATCTGGGACACAAAGAATATATATTAAGACTATTTCTCTGAAAATAAAGGAAAGAAACTTAAGTCAATGGAAGACTGAGAAAAAAAGAGATTAGAAAAGCTTTACATATAAAAACTATAAATAAGAAATATATACCCTTTCAAGCATATCTCAAGTACTGAAGTAATTACACTTCAATAAATTAAACTGAATTAGAATATCAGAATTTCTAGTTTTTTTTTTAAGTTGGGAGAATAGGGAAATATATTACTTATCCTTTCTTTGATTCTCAACAAATATTTCACAAGCTATTATTTTCATCAAATTATGGGTGAGAGAAGGTAAAGAACAAATTTTTCTCAACTAAGTGGTAGGAACAAGGCCACAGAAAAACTCCCAACAAATTAACCTCAAAAGAGAAAAGCTACTAAGATGTAATGGGTTCTTCAACTATCTGTCACACATGAAATCTTTGTGTAGAAGGAACCTCAGATCAGAGATTGGGACACTTACCAATGGAATATCACGAGCCTTTTCTATGCGAACTATCTTTACAGTTTCTCCTCCATACTGGCCAATGCTTTCATAAACTCTTTCATCTGTAATGGGCTCTAGCTGCATTTCCTGCTCAGCCACTTTATCATGGGCCAGTAAAAGTGCCTGTTTCAAAGAAACCCATAGCATTTTAATTAAAAGCATGATTTATTTACTAACTCAAGTACAGTTGCTATCCTGTATCTTTTGGAACTATTGATAACTAAAGATATGCTAAGTTTATCAATGTATAATCTTAAATGTTATTAAATCTGAATGTTTACTAAACTTTATAAAAAGAAAAACAGATTGAAGGACTAAACATCCTAGATAATTAAAATTTACAGAAAACAAATAACCAAAGAAGCAAGGAATTTGTGTCTAGTTTTAAAAGAAAAGGAAATTGTTTAAAAAATAATTTGTATAATTTAGATATGTGAATTTATAATCCAACAATAATAATTATCTTGCAGAGGGGATTGTGAACATCAAGACTAGCTAGATAATGTTTGAGGTCTCTTACAACTCTGGAAGACCTTGATTTAATGGGGAAAAAAAAGGAAAGATAAATGCTCAGAAAACTACATATATAAACCACTGTCCATTTTTTTTTCCACTATTCATTTTCTACCTGAATATGTGGAGCATTTAGCAAGGCAGTTAGTTCTTGTCCTTCCTTCTGATGGAATGACTTCAAAACAGTTTGCACCTAAGAAGTAAAAACAAAGATCATGCTTTCTGAAATTGGGAATATCATTAGTACCTATGCTCCTATGCAGGTGGAGATCACAGCAAAAAAAAAAAAAAATACTTGTAAGAAAGAAAACTACTGAAGAAAATTATGAGAAAAAAATTAGTACTTCCCCCATAATTTTCAAACTTGTTATCATGGGCAAGAACAGTATTTCTAAATTTAAAACCAAAAACACTAGATAAGATTTTGTTATTTATGCCTATGAATGAATTACTTCCATCTTGAAAGTTTCTCCCAACAGAGCATAAAATATAGTAATAATGACTACATAAGGGAAAAAAACTGTTCTAATAGTTACTTTGTTATTGTATAGTTTTCTAATCCCATGTTTACATAATTGCATTTAAAACCAAGATGACACCTTTAAGAGTTACAGACTAACAAGGTAATTTTATAAGGGTCACCATAATGTAGTGAATTGCACTAACATGTTTTCCTGATGTTGGAAACTCTTTGTATTCCTAGGATAAACTCCCACAATTATGATGAATTTTTTTGGCCTCTGTTTCCTTATCTGTAGGATGGCCCCTACCATTTAAGGCTTTTCAAAGACTGGTAAAATTGAGATAACCTCAATCTGGGTTTGCATTCCAGCTCTTCCTAATCTTTCCTAGTGCAATTGTTTTCTTTAAATTTTTTATATTCATCTAATTTGTCAAAGGTTTTGTCTACTTTTTTGTTCTCTTCAAAGAATCAGCTTCTAATGTAAGAAATATATTGTTCTTTCCATTTAAGTAATTTAATTCCTCTATTCTACTTTAGTCCCTTTTCAGTTTCTAATTACTTAAGCTGTAAATTCAGTTCATCAATTGGCAATCTTTTCAGCTCCCATAAATGTTCAAAACTACAATTTTTCTCTGCACACTACTTTTCCCAAGGCTGATCTGTGTGCTCTTACCATCATATCTGTTTTTTTTCTCCTTTTTAATCCCCAAACCCAATTGTACTTTGCAATATTGTGGATAACAACAACAAAAAAATCACTTTTGATGAAATTATACTAAAGTAAATCCACATACAGATTTTTTTAAAGAATAAATGATTAAAATAGGAACCTAGTAATTCTATACCCTTATGGCTACTTTATTAGTAATTCCCCAATCAAACCTAAGAAATAATCATTTTGGGATTAATTTGCCTCAAGTATATCAAAGCAATGATGGTATCAAAACCAATCCTTTCCCTGGTTTTGAACAGTGGAGATCTATACGTATAAATAGGATGGCACCACAAATGTTATCTTCTTAACTCCCCTAAAACCTTATTAATGGCCAAGAGCTGTGATTTGAAACTAAGGGTAACTGAAAGCTGAGTTTTTAGAATATTGTGTTTTCCTTTTTAAAATTTATCAAATCTGTATTAATTTAAAATGAAATTTAAAATGAAATCTATAGTCCCTGACTATACAACTTTTTGGTGGTACTGGGATTTGAACTCAGGTCTTCTAGGTAGGAGCTCTACTGTTTGAGCCACTCTGCCAACCCCTGGACTTTTGATTGTTGGAAAAAGCAACTATGAGGGGGAAAGACAATTTTGGATTAAAAAATATACAAAGGGGAGCCAGGTGTAATGGTTCATGTCTGTAATCCTAAACTACTCTGGAGTTGGAATCAGGAGATCATGGTTTGAGGCCAGACAGGCAGAAACTTTTTTTTTTTTTTTTAAGTAGTACCGGGGTTTGAACTTGCTTCACACTTGCTAGGCAGAAGCTCTAACACTTCAGTCATCCCACCAGCCCTGGGCAAAAACTTTAGAGAGACTCCCATTTCAACCAAAAGCTTGGCACGGTGGTGTGGGCTTGCCTGTCATCCCAATAACAGAGGAAGCATAAATAAGAGGATTTGAATCAGGTCTGCCTGGCCATGAACGTGAAACCCTATTCGGAAAGATAACTGAAGCAAAGGTATGTGGGTCAAGTGGTAGAGCACCTGCCTAATAAGTGCACGGCCTGAGTTCATATCCTAATACTGACAACCCCCCCAAAAGTACAAAGGGTATATAACAACCACAAGTAACTCAATATTAATTTTCTGGATTAGGCAATTTTTATATTTCTACTGTTAAGTTAGCTCTTAAACATCTCTAAGATCTTCTAAAGGAATTTAGAATTCCTGTAAGTATTTACTCTATTTTCCTACTAGCCTAGGTGTTATCTATTCTAGTGTCAACACACACCAGCTACTTTTACAAAGGCCTAAGGAATTAAAAGACTTACTTTCACATGCTATTGGCTCTTTCCACTGGCCTATAAAAATGTTCTAATCACTTTAAAAATACTCTTTCCTAACACTGTACTCTTCTCTAGCTATACTATGTTTTCCTTCAGAGGCAAGCTCCCTCTATTCAAAAAAAATATAGGTATATAGATATTCATTGTGGTGCACATCTGTAATCCCAGCATGTGGAAAGCTGAGGCAGGAGGATCCCAAGTTCAAAGGGCTAAGCTACACAGTAAGACCCTGTCTGAAAAAATAATAAAAACAAAACAAAAAATATATATTATATATTTTTGTTTCCAGGAGGAGGGGTGGGAGAAAGAGAGAGAGAGAGAGAGAGAGAGAGAGAGAGAGAGAGAGAGAGAAAAAGAGAGAGTGTATTTGTTATTTTTTTTTTTTTTTGAGATAGGGTCTCATTACATAGTCTAGCCCTTTGAACTTGGAATTCTGCATCAGCCTCTCAAGTGCTGTGATTACATAACATTTTATTTATTTATTTTCATAAAAATTTTTTTTTTTTTTGCGGTACTGGGGTTTGAACTCAGGGCCTCATGCTTGCTAGGTAGGCGTTCTGCCACTTGAGCCACTCTGCCAGCCCAACATAACATTTTAAATTACAGAAATGGTACATATTAAATGTGAAAAATCAAAAAACAGAAATCAAAAGAAATAAAAGTAAAGATTTTTACTATACCTAAAATCAACTTGGCATATAGCCTTCCTGTATTTTCACCCTGGATATGTTTCTGATAAAGGACTTGTAATAGAAATATATTAAGAACTCTTACAATGGATGGAATTGGAGAACATCATTCTGAGTGAGGTTAGCCTGGCCCAAAAGACCAAAAATCATATGTTCTCCCTCATATGCGGACATTAGATCAAGGGCAAACACAACAAGGGGACTGGACTTTGAGCACATAATTTAAAAAAAAGAACTCTTACAACACATTAAGTCTAACAATCTAATTTTTACCATGAAGAAAGATCTGATCAGATATTTCACAAAAGACAGAGAAAAGGCCAATAAACATATGAACAAATGATTAAAATCAGTAATAACTGTGAAAATGCAAATTAAACTGTTTTCTATGTCATTAAATATTTTCAATTCTAAGACAGAACTATGGCCATTCTAGCTCTCAGGGGCTCACTGTCACTTACAGGATCAAGTCTAAGCCCTTAGCATTCAGGGTCCTTCATCACCTGATTCTTGCTCTTTTCTTTTGTTGTTCCTTCTATATGCCACACTGTCTCTCCTCTGTAGCTGTCTCAGCTACCTTAATTGCCTTATTCTATTTGCCTACATAACATGTACTCATTAGACTGAACACATTTAAAATTGTGGAGAGCAATATGATATATTGTGAGAACTTTTTTAAGTATCACAATGTACCCCCAGCACAATAATGAAAAATAAATAAAAATAAAATCGAGGACTGTGTTGTCAGTAGACGGAATTCATTGAAGATGAAATGGTAAATTATTCAGCTTTGTATCAGTCTGTGGACACAATGCCACACGAACAGGAAGTCATCCTTAATGTCGCCTTTACCTTTATTCTCCACATCAGGACAGTATGTCCTATTAATTTTCCACTTACATATGTCTTTTTCATATCCAAATGCTACTTGAAATCTTGTATCTGAAAAACTACAATAGCTTCATATTACTCTATGCCTCTACTCTTGACCTCACACATCTTCTATAATGTTACCAGAATAATATTTTAAGTAAGAAGTTTGTTACTATCAAACTCGTTTAAAATTTTTCAATAGGTCTGCAATCACATATAAATTTACTGCTTTTAACCTTTTAGAGTGACTTTGTCCTACTGAAGAAACATATAAAAATCTAAATAGGAAAAGAAAATTACCTATTCACCCACCACTCATATATAGCCTTGTTATATCATGTTTGAAGAGGGTATGTATGTGCATGTGTACAAATTATTTAGGAGGCAACAGGTTAAATATAAAAATTAATCAAATTTTGTTTTGTTTTGTTTTCAAAGTGACAAATTCAACTCATTCAAATTGGGACTAACTTATACTTTCCCTATTCCTCTCCAGACAAATGCTGAATACTAGTGGTGATAATCTGGAGCCTATCTTATTACAGCCTTAAATGGTAATGTGTTGGCTGTTTCACCACGCAATAAGACATTATTGTTTTCTGGTATTATTTTTTTGGTCAAGTTAACAAAATCTGCCTAACTTTCCAAGAATTTTCATCACCAAGACAGAGGTGCTGAATTTTTTCAGATGCCTTTTCTGCAAATTGTTTTCTCCTTTCATCTATTTATGGAAGTTAATTTTAAAACCATTACCAAAGTGGATCCATCATAAGATAAATTAAAAATTATTAATTCAACAATTGGTCTTTAGGCTGTAGAGATTTATTGATTGATTGATTGATTGATTGATTGGAGGCTCTAGAGTTTGAACTCAGGCATTCTCATCACTTGAGCCACTCCACTAGCTCTAGTGTTTATTTTTAAAGATCACATCCTACCTTTACTCATTGCTCAAGAAATATGCCAGGCTTTCTGAGTCACTATCACCTGTGTACACTTTGACAACAGAATGTCTTCTTCTCTTTCTTATGCTTCATGGTAAATACTCAATTATCTTATAAAACTCAGCAAATTAAATTTCCTTCTATGTTTCTTCTTTTCTGTCAGCCTCCTCCCCACCCCTCCCACATCACATTATGCTTTTGGCACCTTTCCCACACAACCACCACAGCACTTTATATTGTAATGGTTTACTCGTTCATTGTTCCTCCACAGTGACAGTCTAATTCAACTTTCACAAATTGAAGGATGCCTGGGCTGTAGCCACTTTCTGTTACCTTGATTGCTGTGAACATTTGCTCTTAAGCATTTTGTGTAGCTGTGTTTTCATTTCTCTTGAGTATAGACTTAGTGGACTTACTGTATAGGTACATTAGCTTTAACAGATATTGTCACATGTCTTTCCAAAGTGGTAGTACTAATTTATACTCCACCTGCAATGTATGAGAGTTTCTATTGCTCCATGAGTTCACCAACATTTAATATTATTGGTGTTTTTATAGTCATCCTTGTGTCTAAGCAGTGGTTACCTCATTTTGTTTTAATTTGCATCTCTCTATTGGCTAATGATGCTGAACATTTTTTCATATTTTTTGGGCATTTGGATTTCGTTTTTTTTGTAAAGTGTCTGTTCTTTGTCAATTTTTTAAAGTTTAATAGTCTTATTAATTTGCAAATTTTAAAATATATCCTTGGCAAAAATTTTTGTCATATGTATGCTTATACATATAGCTCAATATCTGAAATTAAATATTATTTCCTGGTGTGTTACATTGTATTTTACTCTCTTAAAGATGTTTTTTGGGGTGTGTAAACTCCAGTACCAGCAAAAAGAAAAAGGTGTTTTGGGTAAGAAAAAGTTTGCTTAAAAGTTCAAATTCCCAAACTTTATTTAAAAAAAGCACTACACTAATCATAAATTGTGCTTATTAATAAAGATTCTAGATCAAAGATTTAATGTGAATCTTAATATTTGAATTTTCACAGGTTTTATTATCTACTATATAATACTTAATATTTAACTGATCCTCCTTCCCTCCTTTTTTCCTTCCTTTCAGCAGCTTTGAGGATTGGACCCAGGGCCTCATAAATACTAAGCAAGAACCCTAGTAACACCCACGCACAGGAAATCAATGTGAGTCAATGCCCTGTATAGCTATCCTTATCTCAACCAGCAAAAACCCTTGTTCCTTCCTATTATTGCTTATACTTTCTCTACAACAAAATTAGAGATAAGGGCAAAATAGTTTCTGCTGGGTATTGAGGGGAGGAGAGGGAGGGGGTGGAGTGGGTGGTAAGGGAGGGGGTGGGGGCAGGGGGGAGAAATGAACCAAGCCTTGTATGCACATATGAATAATAAAAGCAAAATGAAAAAAAAAAAGAACCCTAGTATTGAGTGCTACCCTCAGACCTTAACTGGTATTTTAAAAATTAGAAAACAAAGAATGCTTTCTAATGTTTCACTAAATTCCTTCAAATTTAAATTTTTCTATTTAAAAATGATATAACTGAAGCATGATGTAATTTCTTCTGTTATGTAATTTATGCTTTTTATTTGATTGAGATACATAGATATATATTTTTGGTGGTACTGCCATTTGAACTCAGGTCCTTGCATTTGCTAGACAGGCAACTCTACCACTTGAACCATGTCCCCAGCCCTATTTTTGGTTGTTTTTGAGACAGGGTCTCACTACGTAGCTTGTTCGAGGCTAGCTATGTAGACCAGCCTTTGTCTCAAACTCACTCTCAGTCCACCTGTGTGCTAGGACTACAGGTATATGCCACCATACCCCATAGGTTTCTTCTTTTAAATACTGCTTATTAAATTTGCTGGAATTATGAAGGGTAAAAAAGTAGAACATGGACATTTGAACAGCCTAGTTTATCTTGTTGGTCACAAAACCTCATTTGACTTTAATATTCAAAAATATAAACAGAGGGATTAGATTACATTATGGCTAAGATTTTTCTCCTAGTAAAATAAAGGCGATGGGTCTATTTAACATTTAGAATGTTGTTATTAAACTTAACCCTTCTCTTTGATGAGCTCTGATTATGTGCTTTTCTCACAAGTGTAGTGTATTGAAAGTCTGGGCTACCTCATAGCCATGAGCTACACAACTCCAAGGAAACCATTAAAACTGAAGTACAACCTTTTACTGCAGCTCTGATGAGGATAGTCATTTTGCATTCATTTTAAGACGAGTTTCAACCCAATGACCCTATCACTCACACCACCACCACCACAATACAATTTTCAATTATTTTCCCTGCTCTCTGTTAGCTTTTCTCAAATAGCTATTATAAACTCTCTTTTCTCATTCTCTTCTCTAACCATTGTTCTACTCAACAAAAAAAGGTCCAGTAACTAGACAAACCTTCTTCCTGCTACCTGGGGGCAAGGGAATGAATGATGACAATGATTTATTTGGTATTCCTCCCAAACCCATGAAATAAAAATTACACTAGGTTTGTAATATAAGATCGAAATAATGTTGGTATTTTTTTTATCTGTTAAAAAACTGTACTTTTCAGAAAAACTATTTAAGTAATCCTGAGTAAATCTAAATGTTTAAATACTCTCCCAGGTAGGGTCTTTGCCATCCAACTTTGGCAAATATTTCCCTTTGGAATCACTCTGTGCTAATCAGAAAAGTATCTCCAAAACTAATTTAGGAGCCTGTAGCTCTCAAGTTCTGCCCAACCTCCAGCCGATTTTTTTGTCTCACGTGTGGATTCAATGAAATACATTCATTTGATAGATTTCCAGGATTATTATTTTCAAATAAATTAAAATAACTAAAAATCTTACAATAATGACAGAATGTGCAACCCATAACCTTTTTAAATCTTCAATTTAAAAAGTGTTCTCAGACACATTAAATACTGAACATCAAGTAACATCAGAACCAAGAACTTTAAAGTTACCAGGTTAACAGAAAAAACTTTCACAGTACATTAAAAGTAATCTGGAACATCTACACAGTTTTTATAGGGAAAAAACTTCAAAACAGATAGAAATAATAAGTCTTAGGGTTACATATTTATGGTCCCTGATTAGGTCATAAGTTTATCTCATCAGTACTAATTTATCTGAGTTTACAATGTATAATTCACTTAAATAAAACCGTATTAAACAACTAAAAATTTTTCCCTCTGGCAACTGAAATATTTTTTGCTATCCCAACATATAGTTTATATGCAAAGTTAACTCTCTTTGTGAAACAGAACTGACTGGAGTAAGTATATATTTTTTCAGCAAATTTTTTCTATTATAATAAATTATTAATGTGATTACTAGTAATTAATTCAAACAAGCCTTATAGTCACATTGGTATTTTCCAATAACACTGCCTAATTACCACTAATAATTACCTTGTAGATGTCAACAAGATATTCAGAACACCTACCTCTTGTGCAAGATCTTGTGCATTGGCAGTAAGAGGAAACGGAGGACTGGCCTTGTTCATGTGTACCGTGACAGCATTGTATATCTTAAATGCATTCTGGAAATCTTTATTTTGTACAAGTTGTAAAAGCAATGAAATATCCTCCTGGCTCTGAGAATCTACCAAAGTATGTTGGATATGTTTAAGTGAAGAAAACAAGTCTTCAACTTCTGGTAGGAGAAGAAAAGATACCGAAAATTAATTGCTTGTGTCTTAATTCAACATGTATCTTAAGATCAAATTTCTCGAACCAGTAACAATTTACAATTTTAGGAAAAAAAACAAACCTGCGTGTATATATATATATATATATATATATATATATATATATGTAATTTTTTTGGTAAGACTGGGGTTTCAATTTAGGGCTTTGAGCTTGCAAAGCAGGGCACCCTATAGCTTGAGCCACATCTCAGTTCATTTTGTTCTGGTTATTTTGGAGATGGGTCTCAAGAACTATTTGCCTGGGCTGCCTGGAAATGTGATCCTCCTGATCCTAAGCCTCCCAAGAACTAGGAGTACAGATGTGAACCACTAGCACCCACCTCTGCATATATTTTTTGAATGCCAATCCATGCTGTTTTACTGATATTTAAGTAAAACTCTAAAAATTATAGAACAGAATAACTTGGTTTTTCTTTTTGGCTATACTAGGGCCTTGTGCTTGCCAGGCAAACAGATGCCTCTAGACCAATAACTTGCCTTTTTAAAAAAAAATCTTAATTATAAAATGAATACATACTATAAAAACAAACGAGGAGAAGAATACAGAAATAAAATTAAAACCACCAATAATCCCATTACCTAGAAACATTTTTCTTCCCTTACCATTTCGGGGTATTTCTTTTCTTTTTTTTTTTTTTTTATTAACAGTATATTGTAGTTGTTTTCCCACATCACTAGTCTTTTAAAACATTGTACATAATGGCTCCATGGTATTTTACATGACTAGGCCATAACTTGTAACATCATTGCACTAAAGTTGGACATTTAGATTGCTTCTATTTTTTATTACCATAAATAACAAATACTTCAGTATGTAATAATCATTGCTGTACATAAGTTTGTCTGTGATTTTGATGTTTTCTGAGCGCTTCTTCTGTGATCCTTAAAATGCTAATGATTAGGTGTGGCTCCTAACAACGCACTGAAAGTTCTGGGCATGTGTACGTGTACTGTGCCTAACAGCGTGCATACACAGCACATGCTTTATTATGGGAAACCGTTATTCCAAAATGATAAAGCATCATTGGTTGTCTCTTCCCTGCTCCTGAAGAGGGTTGTGTGGAAGAGCATTAAAAGACATTACAAAAAGTCATCATTTTTTAAGAAATTTCCTGACTTCTATAATTAGTTACAATTTTGGGGGGAGGAGACGTACATTCTATTCCTTTTTACCCATTCTTCCAAAAAGAAAAATCCTATTGTGATTCTGACTGAAATTAAAACCTATCAATTAGTCTGGGAAAAACTTAAGAGTGGATACTACCTGTCATATACATAGTCACATGGGAAAAAAGTCTCCTTATTGAAGTCTTTTTGTTAGGTTTTTTTCATATAAATTCTGCAGAGGGAGAGAGGCGGAGGTGGCCCAAACAATACATACACATGTGAGTAAATGTAAAAAAAGTAAAATTTTAAAAATAATCAGAAATAGAAAAGAAAAAAAATTCTGCAGAAAAGCTGTTGATTCTTATTCTTTTATGCTTGTATCTCATGCCCCCAGTACTCCTGGGACCGCAATCCTCCTACCTCAACTTCCCAAGTAGCTGGGAGGGATTACAGATGTGACTCACCATGTCCAGCTTGTTCTCGAAACAGGGTCTCGAAAACGTTTTGTCCAGGCTACCCTCAAACTGGGATCCTTCTCTCTCCACCTTCTGGGTAGCTGGGATTATAGACATCTACCTCTAGCCTGGCTCCTGCCTTTCAGACTTTTAAAATGCTGGTCTAACCACACTGTAAGTTTTATTCTGCAATCTAATACTTTCCAATTACTTTCTAGAATAAATTCCCAGGATAAGATTGCTCATCAGGTAATAAAAACATTTTAAACTTTGATACATATTGCCAGACTGCCTTCCAGATTTGTACCAACTCATACTCTTACCAGGAATAAATGTGAGTGCCTGTTTTCTTTTTCTTTTTTTTTTTAATTATTCATATGTGCATATAAGGCTTGAGTCATTTCTCCCCCCTACCCCCCCCCTTAGAGTGCCTGTTTTCAAACAGATTAAATTAAGGAATATCAATCTTAATTTTTTAGTGTTCTGGTGAGGCTGAACATTTATTTTTTCCTTTTTCTTTTTTTTTTTGTGGGGGCACTGAACATAGTCATTTGTATTTCTTCTTTCAGTTACTTTGTTTATCCTTAATAACTGGAATTATACTTATTAGACAGATATTACTGCAGACTTAAGCAGAACATATCAAATATAATTTCATTTTTTCTTGTTATATTAGGATGACTTTTAATCAAAGGTATTTATGAGAAGTCACAGAAAATTTAAGAGACACTTTAAGTATAAACCAGATGCTTGTTAATCATAAGCCAACAAGAAGAACTGGGGAAAGTGAGATAGGATAACCTAAAGTAGGAATTTTTATTGAGAGATAAAGCTAGAGATCAAGCTTAGTTCAGGAGATTAGCTAAGAGTTGAGATATTGCTCAGATAGGAAACAGGAAATTGGGTGGTTAGTTCAAAAGGAATGATAGCTTTAAAGTTCTAAGAAATAAGTACACTCCTTTTTTTGATAAGACTTAAGGTAAAGAGTACAGGTTCCAGAGAAAGATGAAATCTGGTCAATATGTGTTAATACTGAGGAGTTCTAAAGCTATAAAAACCATCTAGGCCAGTTTAAAATTTAAGAGGAAAAAGTGTCAAACTGGAGCTGTCTTTCACACATGAGGTCTGGGAGCAAGACAAGATCCACAGGAATAGGATATCAAAGCAGAGTAACAATACACTGAGTCCCAGTGAAGCTGATGATTTGGTACCTCCCCACATTCAGGAATAAAACTAACTAATGGTAGTGGGAGAACTTGAGAACCATGTCAATTCTACAAATACCAACAAGTTTAAAGGGGGAATAAGGCTCAAGTTTTTTAGGTAAGCATTAAAACCAATTTAAACTTGTTCCAAGTATCAATGCTCACCTCCATAAAGTTCCATTCATGTTTTTGTTCTTTAATTAGTAAAAACTGTTTTTACTAAAACTCCAGGTGCATTATGTTAATTCTGCCATACTAAATTGAGACCACTTGTACTTAAGCCCAGCTTTATAATTAGGTATCACCAACCAATACTGAAAAACTAATGGAATGTAGCTCAGTAGTAAAGCACTTGCCTAGCATGCATGAGGTGCCACAAAAACACGTGAGCATGTTTGTGCACAATCACAATATAATACACAGACTTCTGTTTTAATGTACCTTCCTCCAAGTTCTATTTTATAATATGTTTGCATTTTGCTTCTTATATTTTCACCAAGACTTATCTTTAAATACTTTCGCAGAATATTTTATCTCTAACATCACAATAGTATGCTAGGTAATACAATGGAGAAACTCAGCAACATAAACCAAAGCTGCAATTTCTGTGATCATAGAAACTATGCACCATTTTAAGAAATGTGGTGAAGGAGTTCTAATACTGTTGCACAAGCCCAGGTAACTGAGTTGTACAGAAAAATTGACAACTATGGTTTAAATGAAGTTTTCAGATAAATTCCACAGCTTCTTTCATTACCAGTTTAACTGGGAAAGTTTCCAGATAGGAAGGAAAGCTGCCCAAAGTACTCTCATTTTTAGGCTCAAAAGTCTCCATTAAAAATGCTTAATGAGCAAGTAGAATAGACCAAACACTCAGAAGTTTTCAAAATTTCATGAAATATACACAGCTCACAAGATATGATATGATATTAAATCACATTTAGCTGAAACACATAAAAACTTAAGAAAATCTAAACTATCCAAATGACAGAAGCCCTCTTAATGGAATTAGTATGCCTCTAATGCAATTAGTATGTACTTACAAATAAGTTTATCAACTTAAAGAACATTAAAAATGCTGCTGCTTCTGCTCATAATAGTTCATGGTCACATGGAAAGTAATAAATCCCTATGGCATTAGTCTTGAAATACTGGTTATGATAATCACTGTCTTTTCTCAATTATTCATTATTAAATTTTGACAAAGGGTTTATTCTCTGATGCTAGGAATAATGCCGTAATGAATAACTGTTGACAACATCACTCAGGGATTCTTGTTTTGATCCATTCTCACTCATATTTTGACTTCATATAAAAACCTTAATTTCAAAGGCTAGAATATTTTGTTAAAGATTTTTAAAAACTTTGCTCCTAAATGGTACATCTTGAAAAGTACTTCACAAATACATACTCTTCAAGACAGAGCAATTAATTTTCCACCCACTCAAAGAAGTGTTCCATTCTCTGACTGCTGTATCTGTAACTTAAAACACAAATTTACTTAAGGCATCTCTCTACTCCCACCTCCTGTATGCAGGGAGTTCTTCTCTCTCCCTTTCTATTTCTCCCTGCTTTGCCCTGCTTTACTAAAAAAAAAAAAATCCACCTAAGTTCTTCAACATTCCACACAATTCCAGAGAATTAAAAAAAAATCTAATCAGATGAAACTAAATCAGTCCTGTTAAATATCCATTTCTTCTGCAATAAAGAAGACAAGGGGCTGGGGATGTAGCACTTGCCTAGAATATGTTTATATGGGTTCAATCCCCAACACCAAAAAAAAAAAAAAAGACACAGAGACAACAGAGATGGACTACCAAAAGAATAGATTCCCTTCTGTATCCTATACACAGACAACTGACAAAAGGAGAAAGAACCACATGTACAGAGAAATACATGAAGGGAGAAGATAGGGCTAGTGAGAAAGACTGACATAAATTCTAGGGAGTGGGTAAAGAAGGGGAGTACTGAGGCAGAGATACCCAGAGTATGGCAGGGTGGGGATATTCTGTAAAGGGGAAGCAGAGCAGGCAAAGCAAATCTGGTTTTTGTAATAAATAAATTCCAGTCTGCAGATACTTTCTTACAAGGAAGTTCTTTATGTCTAGGTCAAAATCCTTGCCCTGCAGTTTGATATATTTCTTCTTACTTGATTTTCATTAGAAATTGTTTCAAGTT